TAGAGGTGGGTACTACTGATTCCTTTATACTTCACAGTCAAACCCAAGGAAATGAAGATATCCTTCAACTCTAAGACTGGCTTGTGCGCCAGGAGGAGCACTACAAATTAAGTAGATTCGGATCCTCGGTGTGACAGATCATCTGCTAATGTGCATCACATCCGTTGAGTGATACCGGCTAACATTCTGCCGATCTACTCCCAGGACACCCAAACACAAACACGAGAGAGACCTCGGGAAGCGCACTGCTGATGTCAGTCTACAACCCAAAGTGAGCGAGATAAACAAAGCGAGCCATTGGAGACCAATGTATTGTCTTGTCCAATTATTTCATTCTAGATGTTCCTTCCACATTCTCCCAAACAAAAATCCCAAGTCACTGCAAGGTCCTGAAATACAAACAAACATCAGTCATCGCGCGGACACCAAATACCACACCAACTCTTAAAAGCTTTAGCAGGTCTACGGCACAATCGAAGTTCTAGCCTTCTCAGGATCTTCCCCAAAGTCCTCCTCCTTGGCGTTGAGACCACGGTGAGCAGCAACCTCCTGAAGGTCCGCATCATGCTCAGCATCGAAATTGCGACCCAAACGCTCTGGTCCAGCAAGTGTAATCAAAATAACATAGGCAAAGACACAGCCCATGAAGATGCAGATGACCTTGCCGTACTCGTAGCGGTGGGGGGCTTGTTTAGTTGGAGGCAGCGGGAAGCGTTCACCGATAGTTGATTCAATGGTCGAGCTAGCAGAGGAGACCAAGTTTCCAAGTTGATAAGCGGTGCCGACGGCGAAAGTGCGGATAGGTCCTGGAGATAGTTCCATCAGGTGGATGGGGATTACACCCCATGCGCCCTGGACCATAAATTGCTCAAAATAGGCCGCGGCAATGACATTCTTGTTCTGGACAAATGTGTAGGGGTAGAGCAGGGCGCCGCCGACGATGGAGATGACGATGATAGAGAACCGACGACCGAAGATCTGACTGGCCCAGCCGCATATTACGCCACCTGATAAAGCGCCTAGGTTGGCGACAACTTGTGTGACGGTGACTGCGTTCTTTGAGAAGTTGAACTGGTTCTGCAGCATTGTCGGGTACAGATCCTGAGATCCGTGCGACTAGTCTTCATGTTAGCTTCTTCTGTTACTCAAATAGCAAGTAATGCACATAAGCACATACCATGAAATTAAACCCAGACATAAGCAGAACCAGGTATATGAGCATCATCCAATGTCGCTGCAGTGCAACCTTCCCTTCTGACATGAACGACGCCGCAACACCTCCGCGCACTTCCTGCCGCGCTTCCTGCCGACGACGGAAAGTCTCGGTTTCACCTAGGAACAACCGGAAGATAATAATCAAGACTGGCGGACCAGCCGCAAACCAGAACAGTGGCCGCCAGCCTTCCGGGGTAGTATCGACAAGGCCTCTAGCGAAAGCCGTGGCTAGCAGATATCCAAAAGCGTAACCTTGCTGCAAGAGTCCTGAAATGATACCGCGGGCCTCAGGCGGACAATCCTCCAGCGCGGTAGCAGCCGCATTACCATACAAGCCACCCATGGCAATTCCAAACAAGGCGCGACAAGCCAGGAACTGTTTATAAGTTTGGCAGAAACCAGCGCCGAGCTCGAGGACCACGAAGAGCAGCTGGTTGACAATGAAAGGCCATTTACGGCCCCATCGATCGGAGGCGATTCCGAAGGTGATGGCACCGACGGATCGCAGCATCAGCACTAGGGTGATTCCCCATGTGATGTCGGTTACTGATTTATCGAATGATTTGGCAAGCGAAGAGGTAGTAAGTGAGACGGTGAAGAAGTCGAACGAATCCCAAGACCAGCCTAGAAACGCGACCTTAGGGTTAGGTTGGTTAGCCAAGTCTTTCTTTCTTGCCCGTCAGCCCTATGGGGAGATTGACATACCGAGAAATTAAGCCACTGAGTCCGGTTTAGCAGTGTTAGGGCCTTGAAGGGGTTTGGCGCTGGGTTCATCGGAGGCACCAGAGAGGAAATACGAGTGGAGATATAGCGGCCGACACTCATATGCTCCTCGACATCCGGCGAAGGTGTCGCCGCATACTGAGGCTTTGCCTCATCCATAACTGCTGAGAATTTTGGAGCACCCGTGAATTGGAGAGAAAAAGCCAGATCCTGGCGCAAAGTCCGAAGGAAGAGAAATAAGATAGATCATAAGTCAAAACAAGGGGGGTCCAGCGCAGCTTTAAATACCGCGCAGGAACCCTCACTCTTCCCCCTCCTCTACGGCTACCGAATCTAGTGGACATATCCCGAGGACCGAAAGGAATCAAACGAATGACCACCGACGTGGGTGGTCCCGCCGAATGCAGGGATAAGACGTGATCCTATTCGCTTGCCATGCGAGTCAGCAATCAGGAGTCGGGGACGGGCACGAATGAGGGCGATCTAAGCTCAGCCGATCATGGTACACCTATGGGGTATGGCCCAGATAACAAGAGTCCCCGTGGGGAAAAAGTTAGAAAAAAAGTTTCCACTCCGGAATGGCACGGTGTTTCTGTGGATGCCGGTTGATGCAAGGCACTGCATGTAAGTTCAGTATTTCTTTCGTGAATTGTTTTATGGAATTCTTTGTCTTTCTTCTATATTGGTTTTCATTAAAAATTTCCGAGAATTTTGCATTCTCTTCCGATATGTGCTTTCGGGTTCAGCGGATGACTGCATCTACCAGCTGTAATGTAGGCAAGTAAGCTCATGTTTGACATGTTTCGACCCGAAGACATACTCCGGATTTTCTGTGGAGTTGAAAATGGAGGGGAAAAATGGAGAAGTTGTCCCCACAATAGCCATCTTTTATCTTTGGGACTTCCTGTCAAGCCAGACCGCCGTGATAGGCCGGTAATCCTCGGTCAAGGTTTTATCGGTGATTCTACAAATCACCGGTTTGATGTGCTTAAACCAGGAAAACTCACATACTGCATATACGACTTTAGAATTTCACCCGACTACCAGAAAACCATCTAGTATATGATGCTAGCTGCTCATGATATATTGCAGACTCGCATATTAGCCTTTGAATGATACAGCGGCCCGTAGTTCCAAGTTGCTTGGCATGGCTTCTCTGAAGTAAGACTTTTTCCCAGGTGGATAGTAGACTGCCAAGCATTAGAGGGGGGACAGTGCGTGGCCATGCTCGGAGAGGAGCCGAACATGTTAACCGTGGAAGTACCCGTGAACGGGATATAGAGTTCTCTTTTACTTCTCTTCTACTAGTTACCACGTATATCACTTCCTCATTCTAAACTTACGACAAGATCCGAGGTATCGAAAGCTGGTTCTTGGCTGCAGCGCCAATATAAATGCCATGTTATTGGCAAGAAAGCTTTTTATCACCGCGATCGGATTCACATGCTTGGCTATGTACCTTGCATGTACTTCCTATGTAGATTGGGCTGAATCCTTGGCTTTGCGTTTACTTTGCTTACTTTGCTATTGGTGTCCTTTTTTCTCTCGGATATTATATATCCATGAGGGTCTCCACTTCTCGGAAGTATACGGCTAAATGGGCAAGTCGTTGATATACTTTGTACCGCTCGGCGGCGGTTGTCGATCTTAACTTATTATGTAGCGACACGAGGAAGAATTACAAAGCAGATAACACTGCTCAATTTTCTCTTGGGTGTGTCCTGAGAACTAGAGGCTCTTTATGGCAGCGAGGTAGGTTATGTAGCCTAGTAAATTAGTGTAGCAAATTTGGTGGACCCATTCTCCACTTTGACAGGATCTGGGGCATAACCAGCGACATGAAAGAAGTTCAGTATTAATTAATCGAAATATCGAGAGACGGATCTAAATTCGCTAGATGCTCTGGCCTCCAACCTAATACGCCCTTACACGGTATTCCTGGTCAAGAAATTGACCTCAGATAGAGAGTACTTGTTCTTTACTTATATGATTGCAAGCCAATATCCTGATTTTTGGTTCTGCTAACAATTCTGGTATGACTTTGCCAGACCGCAAACCTGCAAACCTCTTCGTGAAAGCTGCTCCGAAGAATGCGGATAGCTCGCACGGAAACTACGTTCGTAGAGCTGAAAATTATCGCCCTGGCTGTCAATCACGCTGTTCATCCATCCATGGATGTCTTCTCCAAAGTCACTGGTAAGCGGGCCGTTTTATCAAGCTTATCTCAGAGGAGTACCAGAGCAACCAGTTATATATTGAGCATTCTAGATATCATGGAGAAAATCTTGAGCCTAGTGTCAACCTTTTAGATGCAAAATCAACAAGTTGGGTTGGATTTGTTAAGACTGCTACGTGTTGGAACTATTCTTTCGAGCCTTCGATCGTTTTTACTTGATCAGGGTTATTGTGCTGTTCTATTGGATGAATAGTGGTCCAAATCCGTTCTCATTTGCCAAGAACCATCGACCTGATTACCTGACAGGTGTGAATACTCAGCTCCTCTCCATGCTGGTTGAAGAACAAGTTAACTGGAAAAAGTTATAGCATTATTGCTTCAATATCAAGTCCATAGTACTGAACACCAAGCAGTTAACACATCAAGGCAGTGGACTTTTTTTGATTAGCATGGAAGCCATCAAGTCGAAAGACCAAAATGAATGGATAATGAACTGGATATATGTAATGCCTGATTATCGCCACTCAAATCTCTCTGATCTATAAATATCTATCAAATGAGGAATGCTCCTCGGTTCCTTGCAGAAGCCTGTCAACTGCGGGGCGACAGTCTTGGCGTTGACTGCCTTGGACATATGCCGAATGCCAAATGCTATAAAGGCCCACAATCAAACAGATAAAGACATACTCATTGGTTACCTAGTTCAGCTGAATAAAGGTTAAGCCACATTCTAAGATGGCAAGGAGGCTGTGTCGATCTGGAAACCCCCTGAGAGGCGGTGCTCAATTTCCCGCTCAGCCCCGCGAGCCCCGCTGATGCCGTGTATTTATTGTTAGGTCATCCCCAGATCTCACCTTCCTGTCCAGTTCATCCAAATATCTATACCTATCATCCTACCTAACACTTACCCAACAACCTCCCGTTATACCCCCGATACCAACATGTCGTACGGTGGACCCCCGCAGAATCAATACGGCGGTGGTGCCGGTTACTATGACCAGCAAGGCCAAGGACATTACCCCCCTCAGCAGGGCCACTCCCCTCAACCGCAGCAAGGCTATTACCCACCAGAGGTGAGTTTATACACGAAGCACATGACATTCCGTTGCACAGAACCGAGTCGCACAGCGCTCAAACTCTAATTATCCTCTCGTACTCGTACCGCGGGCATACATAACTAACTTTCCCCGCGCTACAGGGCCAGCAGGCTTATGGTCAGCCCCAGTACGGCCAACATCCAGGACCTTACGATCAACAAGGCGGCCAGGGCTACCAGACATACGCCCCACAGCACCAGCAGGGCCAGTACCCTCCCCAAGGCAGTCCTGGATACGGACAACCTCCCCAGGATCGCGGCCACTCGCCCTACCCTCCCCAGCAACAGCAGTACCCGCAAAGTGGCGGCGGCGAGAGCTCTGCATACTACGGCGGCGCACCCCCACACCAGCAAGGACAGCCTGGTGCTGTAGGACCGGAGGGCGACAGGGGCCTCGGGTCGACGCTGCTTGGTGGCGCGGCTGGTGGGTTCATGGGCAATAAGCTTGGCCACGGCTTGCTTGGTACTGCGGGCGGTGCGGTTTTGGGTGCTGTTGGTATGAATATGGCAACTAATAAGCTGTGAGTCTTGCCCTTGCGCTATCCTTTGTTTTGGTCCTTTGGGTTGAGATGAGACTGACTGTTGATACTCTGGTATAGTGGAAAGGAACACAAGAAGCCAAAGAAAGACAAGAAGCATAAGAAGGATAAGAAGGATAAGAAGCACAAGAAGAAGAGCTCTAGCAGCTCCAGCTCCAGCTCGTCCTCTGATAGCGACTAGTTGGTTTCGCTTCTTTTGGTGTGATTGGTTACGGTGACTTGTTTTGCCCTTCACATTTTGTATACCCTGCCTTTTTCTCTGCTGCTTTTTCTGTTGCAGTATCATTTGGCCCGTTTGGGCTTCTCCTCTTGGGCCACTTGATGACCTTTACGCGTTACGTTTATCATATGCATTTGTATTCTTAATGAGATGAAAGCTCATCAACAAAGTTGAATTATTAAATCATGCAACTATTCCTTCGTTGGTAAGAATTCCTGGAGTGCTTGTTAGCCTGCATTTATGCCCGATGAATAGCCCTTTGTTTCAGTTCACGGTGCATTCCGAGGTTTGAACATAGGAATGACTAGGGCCATGAGTGGATTCCAAATCGTGTATTATTACATTGGTTAATATTTTATTATTGAGAGGGTTGATGCCTCTCAGCCTCGTCTTCCTTCGCCTGAATTAACGACTTTTTGAAAAGGGTCTCTGGATCGATGCTACTGTCCAGATCGAAGGACAGCCGGGGGACTTCCTTTGGTGAATCCCACAAAAAGCGCCACTTTTGTGATATCGGGTTCCAGTACTGTCGTGGAACAAGAGCAGACAGACGTCTCCATTGACGACGCATTAACCTGACTGTAATTGTATGTGGCCGACCATTGGCATATTCGGCGAAGGTGGTACCCTTCTCAGGGCCCCTGGCCAGCAACCTAAAGAGCTCACCACCAGACTTGGCCTGGGAAATCTGGGGCTTTGAATTTCTCCTTTTGATAGGTTCCCATGGCACAGTCCCCGAAATGAGTCCCTCCAGCGTCTGGAGATCCTTCTCTGGTAATGGTGGAAGGAGACTGTTCAATGTATTGTTGTACCATTGCCTCCGAATGTTTTTCTTCCGACATTGGGCCGGTTCTTTGCCCCAGCTGTCTTGCTTGGGGATCGGGGGTTCCAATTGTTTGATCAGCGGCCTGATGCGGACTGCTGTGACCACTTTGTTCTGCATTTGAGAGGTTGCGAGGCTCTTCACGATAGCTGAGGGTACCCAGCCATCACTGAAATCTGCAGGCCGGGAGAGTAGTTCTTTGAGGGCCAAAGAATCATTGGGGATTTCCGGCGTTAAAATCTTTGCCAGCAGCTCATGCCGCCGTCTCCCAGTGCGACCGTACGACAGTAACAACACCTTCTCAAGAGGACGTGAATAGCCTTCATTTGCTCGCCGCAGAACCGACAACGCATTTCTTGCCGCGTGAACCGCCTGAGGACCAGCCTTTGGGGAACGGGAGGAAACAGCACGATATCGGGAGATGATATGGTCTTTCATGTAGTTGCGAGCGATGGGGTCAGGTAGGTAGGTACATTCGCGCAGCGTAGCGCGAAATAAATGGCGCCATTGCTGTGGGTTTGAGAGATTGTGTACCCAATGCTGAGGTTGTGGTCTGGCCATTAGGAATATCCTATTTCATTCCAATCGACAAGTGGAAAAAAGTGAAGACCCAAAACGGAGAAACGCGAAATCCTTGGCGAAATGCGTGTCACGGGAACTCCGACGCGCCATTTTCACAGCCTCCCCCCAAACCCCGCGAACATTGCCTTACCTTGCATTGAGCCTCGGATCTTAATATTTCAATTTCAACTTGACACCTCGTTCGGTCGCTTTGTGGCTTTGAATGTTATTTGGTCTGGCCTACGGTTTCCCTCCAGAGGGTTAGCCACGCGCCTCCTTGAACTCGCGTCATTCCAATTGGCATCCGGTATCTCTCCCCTTGCTATGTACTGTACCCCATCATTACCCGATTTGTAGGCTGACATTTCCCAAGAAGTCCAGCATGTCATACTCACAGGGAAGTACAGGGTCGAATGGAATGGCCTACAACATGTTGAATGCTTCACAATCCCTCTCCTCCACCCCTCGCGCAACTCCTCCGCCCCCGAAAGGATCTCAGATGTCCTCTTTCGGTTACCCCAACGGCGTCCCACGAACTAGCTTTGGTGGATACGATGGAGCCAACGACTATGGGTCGGTAATGTCATACCAGGAGGAGTACAAACCACAGATTTACCGAGTTCGTGGTCTTTATCCACACCCACAGAGTATGCCACTGACGAGGCTCAAAATAGGCTGTCTACTCTAATATCGCTGTCTATGAGATGGAAGTGAATGGTGTTGCTGTGATGAAACGTCGATCCGATTCTTGGTTGAACGCTACGCAAATTTTGAAAGTCGCTGGTGTCGTTAAAGCGAGACGAACGAAAACCCTCGAGAAAGAAATTGCGGCTGGTGAACACGAGAAGGTACAAGGCGGTTACGGAAAATACCAGGGGACGTGGGTGAACTACCAACGAGGTGTCGACCTGTGCAGAGAGTACCACGTTGAAGAATCACTCCGGCCACTGCTGGAGTACGATATGGACCCTGACGGCTCCGGAGCTCCTGCGCGAGGATCAATGATAGATACACCCACCAAAGAACAAGCAATGGCCGCACAGCGCAAGCGCCTTTACAACGGCGGGGAGAATCGCAGCGCGTCACAGCCGCAGCAGGGAACTTTCTTCCAAAATATCTCACGAACCGCTGCCACTGCTGTTAATGCCCTTAGCAAAGCGCGCTTCGACTCGCCCAGCACTAACAGTCGTCGACCAAGCGTGGCTCGCAAGCCTTCGCAGCAAATGAGCAGCCAGGAATCCGGTCTCCCGTTCAGCAGCCAGCAGAGCATGTACAGCATGTCCGACAGCGGGTTTGGGAGCCTGCAAAATCGGTACCAGGTGCAAGAGGACAACGAGGACCTTGCGGAACCACCGCGCAAACGCATGCGTTCTGCTTCGCACCAAGGCCCACCTATTGGTCTCACTCGAGAACCATCTAATCTATCCATGCACGAACCTACACCCACAGAACCTAACGACTCCTTTTATCAAGACATGGATCTTCCTCCCCCTCCTATTGATGATGGCTCGAAACGCGGCGTCGAGTCCCTGGCGCCTGCTTCTACCCCCGAGCGATTCCAGAAGATGAAGCTCATTATGACATTGTTCCTCGATAAACGAACAAAAGACTTCACGGATCACCCAGCCTTGTTGCAGTTGACCGGGGATGACCTTGAAATACCCCTCGATGAGTACCGAAACAATGCCCTGCACTGGGCTGCGATGCTTGCCCGCATGTCACTGCTCAATGCGCTAGTAGCCAAGGGTGTCAGTATATCGCGAGTCAACGGTGCCGGAGAAACGGCCCTGCAAAAGTCCGTGGGCACTCGGAACAACCTCGATTATCGAAGCTTCCCGCGTTTGCTGCAGGTGTTAGCCCCAACCATTGACATGGTTGATTACAGCGGGCGTACCATCCTGCACCATATCGCCATGATGGCTGCGACTGGTGGCGGCGGACACGTCTCTGCAAAGCATTATCTGGAAGCACTTCTCGAGTTTATTGTACGACATGGCGGTATCGTCCCAAGTGCGAATGGAGACCATGCGCCAAACGGGGGCTCCAGCGGTGAAGTCATCTCTTTAGGACGGTTCATCTCTGAGATTGTTAACCTCCGCGATGATCAGGGCGATACGGCCCTTAATCTGGCAGGGCGTGCGCGCTCAGTCCTTGTCCCACAACTCCTGGAAGTGGGTGCCGACCCTCACATTCCAAACCATACTGGCCTCCGACCTGCAGATTACGGTGTGGGTGTCGACATGGTCGACGGAAACTCTCAATCTCAACAACCGGCCAATCGGAATGACACATTCATTGATCAATTGGCGAAATCGAAGAAAGAGATTCTTGATGGTAAGGGTATTCCCGCCAATAATCATCATCCTTGCTAATATGAAATCTAGCGGCAATGTCCCAAATCAGCGCAATGGTCGAAGAAACACTTGGTGGAATTGACCGAGAGTTGGCTTCGAGCCTGACACAAAAACAAGAAAGTTTCGATCACTGGCATACGAAGATCCGCGAGTCTGCCAAAGCTCGGCAGATCGAACAGAAGCAATATGATGAGCTCAGACGCAAAGGTTCTGAGCGCGTGGAGCTAGACCGGCGCATCAAGAATCTAGAGCGATCATCTGAGGGTTTGTTGGTCACGGTGAAGACCACACCGGGACTGGACGCGACCAGGACGGTTGTTGTGGGTGATGCAGACCGAGATTCCGGTGTTGATATCGCGACATTTGATGCCCTATTCCCTGAGGGTTTCGACCCAGCGTCCGGGTTCTCAGAACAGCAAGTCGCCTTCCTGGTTTCACTGCCAACAACAGATCTGCTTAGGCGCCAGGCACAATGCTACAAAGAATTCAACGGAGGGATACTAGCTGAGGTCGATGGCCTGAAAGCAAAGAACGCAGTTCTTGGCCAGAACTACCGTCGCATGGTGATGGCATGCACGGGCTGGACGGCAGAGCAAGTAGATGAAGCCGCGGAGGGGCTCACGCAATGCGTCAAGGAACTGAATGACAACCCCGTCCCCGAGGACGAAGCCATTGAGATCCTGATGCGGGATCGCGGGCAGGACTGGTAGTTTAGTCTGATGTGTTGCATTATTCTCTGAGCGTTTGGGCGGCTTGTTTGGACGGCGTTGCTTCACTTGTATACAAATACCCTGGTGGCATGCATCCATGCCCGTTGGCACATGTCTTGTTATTTATGAGAAATGCAATTCTTGTACACTTGATCGGTTCTCTTGGCCTCTTGGCTGTGTGCTCGTGTAGGCTAAATGTCGCGATATTAGCCGGTCGACATGGCTTACTGGGCTTGGTGGCTTGAAGCCCCGTGTTAGTTGCCGAGACATTTACCCTATCCCCCGCGTTTTACTTGGCTGCTGGACTTTTGGATAAATACCCTGCTGCGGAGAACCTTAGAAGTACTTATAGTCATGCGTAGCACCTCTTATTGACTCCCGTAGGCATCATTGTAGCTTTTGACAATTGCCATTACATCACTGAATCAACAATATGGCTACCGGCTTCCTGCGCGTGAAGGGTGATACTATCGTCGACGGGAATGGAGAGGGGGTTGTGATGCGAGGAGCTGCTCTAGGAGGATGGATGAAGTATGCAGATAATCAAGTTGCCGTGTTAATTTCCCCGTCTCCGAACTGACATATCATCTCGAAGTATGGAGAATTTCATCACAGGCTTCGCAGGCCACGAGGCCCAGCACCGCGCCGCCATGCGTCGAGTCCTAGGACAAGAGAAATACGAATTCTTCTTCGACAAATGGCTCGAGTACTTCTTCACTGAGGCGGATGCCAAATTCTTCGCCGAGCTAGGACTGAACTGTCTGCGTCTGCCTTTCAACTACCGCCACTTCGAGGACGATATGAATCCCCGCGTGCTGAAGGAATCAGGGTTCAAACACTTGGATCGAGTCGTCGACCTGGTCAGTGTTTCGCATATCCCTCTACATAGGGGTAGTAGTTGCAGGAAATGGACTAATCTTAAGGCCGTATAGTGCGCAGCACACGGGATTTATACCATCCTGGACATGCACGCCGTTCCCGGTGGCCAGAACCCAGACTGGCACTCCGACAATCCTACCGGATATGCCGCTTTCTGGGATTACAAGGACCACCAGGACCGAACTATCTGGCTCTGGGAGCAGATCGCCACCAGGTACAGGGATAATCCTTGGGTTGCTGGGTACAACCCGCTCAACGAACCTTGCGATCCTGAGCATGTACGACTACCCGCATTCTATGCTCGCGTTGAGAAGGCAATTCGCAAGATTGACCCGGATCATATCCTGTGGCTGGATGGGAATACGTTTGCGATGGAGTGGAAGGGATTTGACGAGGTGTTGCCGAACAGCGTGTATGCCATGCATGATTACTCGGTGAGCTTCGCATTCCTTCCGAGCCTGCGAGAACACAGAGGTAGTGTTCTAATCCGATCTAATCTCTAGTCAATGGGTTTCCCCACCGGCGATCGCTACAAGGGCACAGCCGAACAAAAAGAGCGACTTGAACACGGGTACCTGCGCAAAGCGCAGTTCATGAGCGAGAACAAGACTCCCGTCTGGAACGGGGAGTTCGGGCCCGTCTACGCGGACCAGGTATTTGACGTCGATGCCGAGACTGTTAACCAGGAGCGATACAACCTTCTTGGTGACCAGCTCCGCATCTACGACAAGTATAACATAAGCTGGTCGATCTGGCTCTACAAGGACATCGGTCTGCAGGGTATGATCTATACGAACCCTGAGAGCAAGTGGAACAAGACGCTCAAGCCTTTCTTGGATAAGAAGAGGGACTTTTGGCTGGATAAATGGGGCAGGCGGCCTAAGTCCGAGCCTGAGGCGGCTTTGAAGCCTTTGCTCGAGTGGATTGACCGTGTTAGTCCGACTGCTAAGGATACTTATCCCACATCTTGGAATACGGAGTTGCATGTCATGCGGAATGTGTTTTATACTTTCTTGGCGGGGTCCTTTGTGGATGAGTTTGCTGAATTATTTCGAGGAAGCAGTGAGAAGGATCTGGAAGAGTTGGCTAGGAGTTTCCACTTTGAGCGTTGTGTGCAGCGAGAGGGTTTGAATCGTATACTCAAGGACCACGCACATGCGGCTCATTGAGTCCGAGCAAGAGTCGGCTTGGTCGGCTTGGTATAGCATGCTATCATAAATTGGACATTCACGATTGGATTCTGGTGCCCTAGAGCGTTGAAAGTGGTTAGATTAATAATAGATGTGATGCTCTATAAGCAGAGTGTGGCAATAGTTTCCGTTCCTGGCGATATCGTGACCTCCATCTAAATACCACGCACTACTGTTATCCGCACACTATCGATAAGCCAGAAAAATCGAAAAAGATCGCGGGGCACATTCTCGACTTCAAGATCTTTATTAAAGGTTACTGGAGGGATTTGACATGGCTGAATCTCCTGCGTATCCGTCCAATCTGGACAGCATCTTTGATGCCGCCTCGCCTCTCAAAGACTGCATCGATCCAATCCGATTGACGTCAGACAACATCGTCCCAATCCTCAACCTGCCCCTCACTCACAAGGTGCTGGGTCACGATGCCTCGAACGAGTCTCTTGCACAGGTTGCAAGCGGCGAGATATCATACACTACCTTCGTCGCAGACCAGGCCCGCGCCACCCTTCAGTCTAGCGATGACCTAACGACGGAACAAAAACAATCGCAACTCCTGCATCTTGGACTAGCAGCCTTGTTCAGCTTCCTGCAGTCCAACGTCACCGGTCCTCCCCTCGAATTCAGCTCAGCCGAAGCCATCTTGCCCTCTAGCCTGCGAACCGAACGCACAACCCTCAAAGCCGTGCGGGCAAAGATCATCCGTGATCTAACCCTGGATGGAGAAGCTGCCTACAAGCTCACACCCAACCCGGAATTGTTTGCTGTCGCCAAGGCTCTGCTGGCCGATGCGAGCAGCGATGGACCACTTGTGGCAAAGACCGCGCGTATGCGCGCCAACTTCCTTCACCAAAAGATGCTCTCGGAGGTCACGAGTACTCTCCAGGATGTGATCTACAAGGATGTTGAGATTTTGGACAAGGCTGAGTTGAACTCAGACGAGCGGAGTCGGTTCCTGCTGGAAAGGGCCATTATCCACACACACCACGGATTCGATGTCAAGGCACGGGAAGATATTGATCAGGCGGCCAAGGTGCGGAGGTTCGAGTTCGCACTGACCGGAAAGATGGGCAAGCGGACAAAATTCCAAGACCGCGATATCAGTCAGCTGGTCGTGTTGGCTAAGAGTGCTGATGAGACATCACAATATTCGGAGCCTTCTGGGCCCAAGAACCTGAACTTGGACGACGACACCCTTCTCGAGGCCATCTCTTTCTCCGACCAAAAGCCCGACGAACAATCCTTGGCAATTCAGGATAAGGTTTCCGCAACTTTGGATGCTATTGATGCCAACAACCAGCCCATTCTCAACCCCGTTGACTCTGCTCTCCTACTCGCACTGGCATCTGCCATTACTAACACCTCGCCTGAGGACGGCCTCACCCGAGAGGAAACAAACCCATACGCCACTCGAGTGCTCGATGGCGGCAGCTCCAACTGGCAAATCTACACCCAAGCACTTCTGGTTCGCAGTCGCGTAGAGGGCTACCGTTCCCGTACTGTTGAGAGAGCCGTTCTGCAGATGCAAGCTTTGGTTGATCAGGTCATTGCGGACACTGCAACTAGCGACGACGCAGCTCAGACTGAATCAGGCGACCCCACAACTTTCCTGCCACGCCCTGAGCAGTCTGAGTCTGCCCCGGCAGCTGACCGACTCGAGCACATCTGGATCCTGAACTTCTCAACACGCTGGAGCCTCGAGGCCGAACTTGCCAAGCGCTGGGTTGATCTCGGTGGTCTGCGCACCGCACTCGAGATCTACGAGAGACTACACCTGTGGGCTGAGGCCGCGCTTTGCTATGCCGCCACCGAGCGCGAAGGCAAGGCGAAGAACCTCATCCGCCGCCAGCTTTACCAGGCCACCGGCCCAGATGAAAATGACGAAAACGAGCAATTCGAAGGACCAGAGCGGTCACCACTACCAGCAGATGCCCCACGTCTGCTCTGTATCATGGGAGATATCGACAAGGACGAAAAGATGTACGAGCGTGCCTGGGAGGTCTCCGGAGAACGATACGCCCGCGCCCAGCGGTCCCTGGCCCGCCACTACCTCACATCCACACCACCGCAACTGGAAAAGGCCGAGATCGCCTATAAGAAGAGTTTGCACATCAACCGCCTGAACCATGGCGCATGGTTCGCTCTCGGCTGCGTGCAGCTCGAGCTCCAGAAATGGCAAGAAGCAACCGACACCTTCACCCGCACGGTGCAACTCGACGACACCGACGGCCAGGCCTGGAGTAACCTTGCCGCGGCGATGCTGCGCATGCCGGCCCCAGAGCCCGCCCCCGAGGTCATCGACGAGTCCACCGGCGAGGTCTCCGCCGCCGAAATCGACCCCCACAAGCGCAAGCGCGAGGCCCTATCTGCGCTCCAGCGTGCAGCGCAACTCAAGGGCACTGACGCCCGCATTTGGGACAACGTCCTGACAGTCGCGGCGTCCATTCCGCCGCCGGCGACACCATTCCGCGATGTGATCACCGCACAGAAGCGCATTATCGAGCTCGCCGGCACGAAGAAAGGCGAGAAATGCATTGACGTGGCGATCCTAGGCATGCTCGTTGATTTCCTGAACGTGGCATTCGAGTACGAGGCGTTGCTTATCCGCTCTGACGATCCATCTGAAGCCCCGATTGTTCGCACCGGTACTATTCCCGGCCAGATCATCTCGCTGGTCGATCAGAATGTCGTCCCGCTTATCACGCACTCTTCGGTTCTGTGGCAGATTGTTGCTCGCGTTGAAGTCTTCCGTGGTCGGCCTTCTAAGGCGTTCGAGGCTCATGAGAAGGCGTGGCGTGCTACTATTGCTGCTAATGCCCAGGGTGCTTTCCAGATGGGCGATGAGAAGCCCTGGCTTGAGGTTGTGCGGGCTACGGAGAAGCTCGTGAGGGATGGGTATGCCAAGTTCGGTCCTATGGACCGTGAAGATCAGAAGGTTGAAGGTGATCAAGAGGCTGAGCTTGTTGCGAAGGACTGGCGGTTTAAGGCTCGAAGTGCCGTGAGAGGAATCATGGGTAAGGGCAAGGACTTCTGGGATGGCACGGAAGGTTGGGACCGCTTGAAGCAGTTGCAGTCTGAGGTAACGGGGAATTAGTACATATAACCCTTTGATGCTGTTTATGAATTATATAGATTAGCTCGCTCATCTAGCAAGTGCAAATATTTACAAAAGTCATATACCAAGTTCAACATTATTCAAATCTCCTCGTGTGGATTGATAAATCGAGGCTGTTGATACCCGTGTACAGCTAAAGTCATAATCTTATGGGAATCATTTTGATTCCAACTTCCTCTTCACCATCCCGCAAAAGCTCTCGAACAAGACGGTGTCTGTCCCCTGCGCCCAGCGGACTAAGACCTTCACCTCTTTCTCGTCCGGTTTCTGCCCCCGGACCAGCCATATCTGCAGACGTACTCCCAGCGCTACCTGGGCCGGGATCATCTTCAATTTATCCGCACCCTCCTCACCGGCAAGTTTCATCTTCCGGCGGGCGAATCTCGACCACACATTCTCAGCAGCGAATCCCGTCCCCGCAGAACGGGTCTGATCCCAGGCCCAGAACCAAGGCAACGAGCTAAGTTCTGCATTGATATTAGCAGTGGCTATGTCAATAGACGTGCCAGGTGGTAACGTGAATGTGTAATCTGCAGGGAAAGGCAAAAGACTCTTCGGGCAGCCGGGGATTCCACGGGCAATATTCTAGAGCAGCGGTTAGACATGGTCCACAAAACACAAAAGGTGGTCCAGTACGACTTACCATGGCAGGCCGTCTGTCTACCCATGACCAGGCCACGGCCCAGCGCTTCGTTTTGCTTCCCTGCTCGAACTCGGTGACTGCGAAATTGGTGATGCCGTGCTTGATCAGCATTTCTACGAGTACGTTGATACTGCTCAATTTGCCGAGCATGGATGTGTACCATTGGACGCGGTCGCGCAGCTGGAGACTCTCGTCGATCATTTGCTTCACGAAAGCGACTTCTCCGCCGCGGGTCACCATTTCGACTTCGGCGCCGGTGCAGGTCTTCATGTAAGTTAGTACGGTACAGTACGTAAGTGGGATGCGATGGGTGGTGTGTGGTAGATTGACATGGAAATAAACATCTAGTGATACATACCGAGAAGGGCTCTCGTTCTTTCTGCTCAGCGGATTGCTTCAGCTCATTGGCCGAGGTGTAAAAGGGTGGGTTGCACATGGTGAAGTCGAGGCTGGTGAATGGTCAGCTAAGATTCTAGAAGGTCTTAACTTAAAGGAGACTAACGTTTGGCGGCCTAGCTTTTCTAGCGGGAAGAGCGGTCCGTTGGGGTCGGAATGTACGATATGAATTCGCGATTCGAGGCTGTTCAGGGCCACATTATGTCGGGATGTGCGGATATTGTTCGAGTCGATGTCTGTCGGGTTGATCAGTGGATGCTGAATATCCTCAAACTCAAATACGTACCTGTTGCCACGAAGTTCCACCGCGGCCGTGTCGCACAGCCCAAAAGGGGGTATATGCCGATGCACCCCGTTCCGCTTCACTTTGTTAGGCATGATCCAGAAATTGGAAGGACTCATTACGTACATGTCGAGGCCGACGATCTCCCGGTCTCGGTCATACCCCTCATGCAACCCTCCAGCGGTGGAGTCAAGGAGGTCCTGCAGCCAGAGGATGTAGTTGAGTCTATACTCCATGTCAGGCACATGCGTGCAGGGCCCAAGCCGTCATTTCGGGACGACATACCTATTTGGTACCTAAATCAAGTCAATACATGTGCATATGATAGGTTCTGTGTCTGCATACCGGTGGACATAGTCGATCCTCGGGGATCTCAACTTTCAGGTGAAAATCTTGTTGCAGGAGGGTGGTGGTGAGTTGTCTGCATGGTGCAAATCAGATCCACTCTCGGGATGTCAGATGTTAGAATCCTCCGACTTACCGGACGGCGGCGGGATCTGTAAAGTCCAGTTGGCCGTTTGATTTCAAGCTGGATTCGATCAGTACTAGTATTTCTGTCAGAGCAGAGACCGTTTCACGTACTGCTTGGCGAAGTCGCGCGATTGCAGCGCCAAGGCTGCAAAATCGATGTCATTTTTGTAGAGACTTCGGGCAGATTCCATGGTCAGGGCTGGGGGTTACTTTGTAGAGGTGCTCAGTGCACTGGAAATTATTGATAGAATTTGAATGTGGTTGGTACCAAAGAAAGCAACGTCCACGGCGTATGAGGGAAGCTGATGTTGGCAAGTGCATACGGATGACGAAAGCGGCCATGTGGAACTTTGACTGTGTTGGTATCTAGGGCAGAACCACATAGAACATCATATACGACCTAAATCAATGTAACTAGGTGAGCCTTGCATAATTGATTTCAGGAAAGAATTCTCATTGAGACTGGTTTCACATAGGTAGTGGGAGAGGCTTAAAATAAAGAAATAGGAGGGACTTATAGATACCAATTAGGAAGGCGGAGAGAGGAAAACAAAAGTAAGTTCCAAGTGGCTGCTATAGTCATCATTGTCCTTACATTTACGGCCTAAGCGACATATATACATATGTATATATCTTCATACGAAAAGAACGTTGCAAAAGAATGCTGAAAGTGAAAGGCTACCTGAAGGTAGCTAGCTGTACTATTTGTATTTGCGCCAATATGTGCATCTGAAACAAAAAATAAGTAATTCTCAAAAGTATGAGTGAGAAGTGAAACCATATAAGCACCGCTTTTTACTGAGAAGCCAAACCCAAATCGTCAAATCGTGATTATGTACCTTTTGCCCTTCTATGTCCAATTTTGCCCCTTTTTTCACTCCAGATATATCGGTCGTCTTCATTTAGACCGACTCTTCCTTCTTTTGAAGTCGCTCCTGGCGCTCAATGCGCCATCCATAGCCCCACTTCATCTCAACCATGAGAAGAGGGACCATTGCCATGGTAATGCCAGCGAGCAGAACAAATGCAAACTGAGCAGTGAGAGCATCAATAATAGCCTGAGAAGCTGCGACACCAGCAGCACCAATCAAACATCTCATCAGGTTGTTGACTGCCGTTGCACTCGCACTAGCACCAGGGTACAAGTCGATGACGAGGGCGCTGTTAATGGTGAATATGGCGGTGGAGCCGTAGGCTATGATAAACTGCAGGATAATCGGGACTGCAAGGTGTGTGCGGAGAGACACTCCGTAGACAGCGACACAGACAATGAAGGTCGCAGTGATCCACCAAGTGTTGCGCATGCGGGCGTACTCGATGGGGAAGTCAGGATGGCTCTTTAAGTTGATGCGAGTGTCGACAGGAAGGTTGTGCTGCTGGCAGTATTCACGTTCTGTTCGCTTGTGGTTGAAGTCCATTAGGTATCCGATTGTGTAGGAGCCGGTCATGCATCCGAAACCATTGCCCAGGAAGGTGAGGCCGACTTCCAGTGAGTTCAGGCCATATCGTTCTTCGAATAGGGAAGATGTGGAGGAAGTTACCATTGACCAGACTGTGTACACAATGCTGCCGAACAACAAGGTGATGAAGACATCCTTCTCGCCTAGAAAGGTGAGGGGTGCCACCACGGTCTTGAAGGTCACCTTGCCCTTCTTTCCGGACGGGATCGAGTTTTCCTGTGCATTTTTCTGTCCGCGAATGGAGTAGATCACTGGCTTGTAGATTCCTTTAAGGGGAACCGTGCCGTTGCCAGCGATAGAACGGAGTGTTTCGGGGAGGAAAAACAAGATAGAGAGAAGACTGATTCCGGATGCAATAACCAAAAACCAGAAGATAGATCGGAAACCAAGGTACTGAGAGAGGATTCCACCAAATACTGGTCCAACTCCCTGGCCCAACATGCGGACTGGATACTGTTAGCTTAGAACATAGCAGTACATCCAAGTAGCGGGATACTTACCACCACCAAAGATTCCAATCAGACTGCCTCGCTCCGCTGAGGTGGTGATATCACCAATGACACCAGCACCTAGGCAAGTTAGCTAAGTCACAAAACAGAGATTGTTAATATATCATACCAATTGAAATGGTGGCGGCACTTCCGGCAGCCTGCAGCGCTCGGAAAGCCATAAGTTCACCATAGTTGGTAGAGACGGCCAAAGCAATGTTCGAAGCAATGTATACACCAAATGTTCCCATAAAAAGCACACGACGGCCCAACACATCGGAGAAAGCACCCCAAAAGCTCGGGGCAAGACCTTGAACAATCATGTATATCGTGATGGTTAAGGTAGCTAGAGACATGGAAATATTGAGTTCCTGTATTGCCGTTAGCACGCACGAATTGGTCAAATATATTACTCAAGTCGACTAACCGCGGCAACGTCTGAAAGCGCTGGGAAGTAGATGTTTGAAGATAGCGGCGAGAAGATGGCGGCGAAGGAGACAATAATGACCATCAACAACTTGCGAGACCGAGTGAACACATGATATGGTGGTGATTCTGGGGCTTGGCTTTCAAGGTTAATTGACTCTGCTGGTGTGGATGGTATTGAGAAGTCTTTGTCATTCCGAGGCGAGAGATTAGGGCTTGAGTTGAGGGAGTTGTCTGTGACCCCAGGTTCTCTGAGGGTTTCTGTTGAACTGAAATGGGACAAAGTCATGATGAAAATTATTATAGAATATGAAGACAGGTCTGGATGTATCAACAGACACAAATTATTGACAATAGAAGAAGACTTATGGCTTCATTCGGCCCAGACAGTTTTAGAGATCTAAAAAGCTAAATGGTGGAATGTAAACACCCTTTTGTATCTCAATTCCAGTAAGAAACCCCTATAGGGCCTATCCAAAAATACAAACAAAATATTAGGCAGACCCATGCATCTACAGTCAACTAAACGTGCTCCACAGTGGGTTCGACCAGGGGGGTTACTATACCATCAAGGGTGGCACAGATAAGACAAATCTGGTAAACCCAACGTCGCTCAATTTGACACGTACGGGCCATGATCCGCACTTGGAATCCTCGAGGTTCTAGTTCAAAATTCCCACAAGCTTACAGAATGACTTATGTCTCTAGAGCGGACGGCTGCATGTCTATGTCATCTCTAAGCCTCGAAGGCTGACGTCTACCCCAGGGAAAGCACATTCCTGAGCTCCCCACGAGTTATTTTGGAGTCTGATCGACTATGGATGAATAGTGCTGGTGCCTAAGTCCATAAGGCAGATTCCAATACCCACTGGAATTCTCTCCGGTCTCCATACACGCGTGTATAGTGGAATCGATCTGCACAGCATGGGCAGCAGCCAAGTCCGGTTTCACCCTCAAGATTTCCAATCGGAAAAAAGATACCGGGCAAAACGTGTTCGACACCTGCATACAGAGTACGGAGGAACCTCACTCGGTTTAGCTCCGCGGCATATTTTGTGTTTTAAGGGTCCCGAACGTCTGCAAGAACAGGGATGTATGATAAGCTGGTTAACCAATCCACTAACAGTTCCAAGTTTTCCAAGCCATGTCTTGCCGAGGCGGATACATATCTTGATTATACCGGTAGGAAAAGAGAAGCTGAAACCCGATGTCTGTGCCAGGGTCTCATTTCTTCCCCACGTGTCGAATATTAGCCATTATGATAACTATCTGTTAAGCAAATGCCAAGCTTCGTCATTTGTCCTGGTCAATATTGATACAGAGAAGATTATTGGACAAAATACGCCATTGACTTACGTGTGCATTCCCCCTTGATGGATCTGTATAGGGGATGTTGGCCCTTGCTGCTTACAAGTCGCCAATCGGGGACCCGCAAAGGGGGCGGCTGGATACTCCGGACTTCCGTACAAGGTTTAGCATCACAACCCAATGACGATGCATTATGATTCCAGATAAGTGATACCCGCAAGATTGAGCAATGCAGCTACATTGCCAGACAGACGTGGATAGGAGAAAGAATGCGTCCAAGACTTTCTCTCGGGACAAGGTTCGCGCTATGGAATAGACAGGAGATGATCGACAAATCGAAAGGCCTCGACGAAGTACAGAATACAAGGTATTACATGCATACGGAGTACATACTATGTACTATGCCCTAAATGGTGCCAATCCTCGTGTCGATCAGACCCACAAATCCCCCCCCCCCCTGGTGCAAGTCTTTTCTAGCGTGATAGAGCGTATCTGACTCCACTGATGCACCCTGATGCGCCGCGCGCTACGGAGTACCACACCCTTAGAAACCGTAGCGGGGCCGCCAAGATCTCGTCATCGTCTACTTTGTACTATTGATCATTAACTTGCACATCCCTTCGCAATTGAGCGTCGACTTGACACTTTCGGGGTGTTTTTCTATCTCGAACTCAACCATCCGCTCGGTTAAGGCTGGCTAGGGCTGTCTACCCTGTAAGGCTGATGGAGTTTTTTTCTATCTTGGCAACCTGCAGAATTCTACTTCCGATCCAGTTCTCAACTTTGATGCCCAACGCCAAGCCTCTCCCCGGGCCGCTTTCACGGCGAGGACAGTCTTGCCGCAGATGCCGATTCTCGGGTGCCCCGATACCGTCTCGGTTAGTACACGTTGGGTGGATTTATTAGTAGATTGGCCTGAGATGATTCGAGATCCCCACTTCTAAATAATACAAGGGGACCCTTTCTGTTGAAGTGGGTCTTCTTTTAAACCGAGGCCAAACTTAAGGTGATAACCGTTTGCATCTAGATTTGGTAAAGACCCCGTGTACCGTCGTAGCGATCTTCCTGAAGAATATCCAAGTCTCCTCGGTACGGGGATCACGGCCCCCCGAGGCCGCAGCCACAACGGAGCTGAGAAACGTGTCTTGGAACTTCATGTAATTGGATTAATCGTGCTTAGATTTCTTGACGGGTTTTAGAATAAGAAATCTTATCTCTTGGTTGATTATCAATCCAAAGTTGTTGACTGGCCACTCGCCATCTCTAGCACTCCAAAGCAACTTGTTCTCTTTTTTCCTTACGTATGTTGTATTCTCTCGAAATTCCTTGAAACAATAGTCTCTACCCACTATGGCTTCAATCCGGCAGAGGTAGTAGACCCCTGACCAGTATGACTATCCCCATCTGAAACACAGTCTAGTCATATAGATATACTCCATAGCGATAGTAGCAGAAACAACAAAGATAATTATTTCAAATCTGTGAGCGTTACGAACACATGAGGCTGTGTCTGAGCTATTTGGCCTGGCGCTTCAATAAACAAACGCATTGGCCAGGGGATTTGCAGATCTGAAACAGCCCCTGGCTTTCCTGGTCCGCCCAAAGAACTTGACACACACAAGCTAATATGAGGAATTCCAGAGCGTCCCACGAAGAATGAAGAATGTAGGGCCAGTTTACAACAAAAGACATCCTAGCATGTCGTCATCGCATGAAATGACATCCTCACTGTCCTTCGCCAAACTGCCGATCATTCTATCATTCTCCAGTTCGCCTGAGTTTCCTCTATCAACAGAAACGTTACAAGCGCCACTCAAAATTAAAACTCCGGTCCCCTTATTTTTGCGCAGCTCAATATAATGGACCTGCTTGGCATCAGACTGTTGGGCCCAGAACAAAAATCTAGATGGGACCCTGTGGACCGAGACATTCACGCGGTTTCTTTCCCGAATGCATATCCCGAATGCATATCCCGAGGGTCGACCCTACAAGGCTACTCCGGACGCCCTGATCGTCGACATATGGAACTCGCGTATGGATCTAGCGATTGCGTGAGTTGTTCCTGTGGATATCCATAACCTGATAGCGCTGGGGTGTGGAGATGCATGTCTCACGATAACGATTGGACCAGGTGGTTGAGGCGTATTACTTTGTACATGATTTCACTACAATGTATATTGTGGATTGACGGGATTGGGTCTTCGATTGCATAAATCTTCCCCTCGTGTTGATTTGACTCGTTGGTGTCGTTTCATCGAGATCTTGAGACCTTGGCGTCGCAAAAGTGAGTATGTGGCGCTGGGCGGTTCGCAACTCTCGGAGTATTTACAAACTCAAGATTAGGTCTGGAGTGTTACCCTGGTTCAGGTGAAATAGGCTATTCTAGAAGCTTTTTCATACTGTACATGTATCTACCTGCATGTGTAATCCCTCAGCCATGATGACTTCGGCATTGAAGAGTCGTTGGCCGGAATAGTCCGAGTATTCGCAAACTCAATGCGAGAAGGTGATATAGAACTACCGTGGTGTAAACCAAATAAAGGGATCTAATTGTCTATGTATAGTAGCAAGTATAACACGTGTATGTAAATTCTTGACTGTTATTCCACATAGTACCTCCGTAATGCGCTTGGGGTCACCAAAGTCAATGCATCATGGAATTATAGATCAACTTTGGTTTGGACCAAAGAGACCACAAATAGACATAACCAGACCTAGATATGAAAAAAAAAATTTATATATCATGAGTTTTGCAAGATGCTTTCATTTCACCAAGTAGTGAGTCCCAGCAACGACCCACGGATATATATCCTCACCCAAGTACGAATGCAGCAGCGTAGGTACACCTACCGTTATAAAATTAGGTAAGAAATGACCCATAAGCTTTGCGTCTCTAATATCGTTGTAAATATAAGTTATAGTCAAACTACTAAATTTGCTGGATATCGTAATATTCGTGCTGCCCTCTCCCGAGGTCAGTCTGTAAATGTATGACGTATGTCGTCCGGCGGAATGTATATTCCGCCTAAAACCTCGAGTATTTAATTGTAGAGATTAAAACATTAATTAGTTGTACATGTAGTGAAAGTTCTTAACGTGATAGTTCATTTATTATCTCTATCGATTAAATATGTCGCACCTCCAATACTTCAACTACGACGGCTGGGGCCAGAAAGCAAAGCGAGATTTCTATTACAGCCAAGCCGTCCGCATTGGCGATCGCATCGAATGCGCAGGCCAAGGTATGTACACAAGCCAGGAGGCCTCGCTTTCCGAATAAATAGATCGTGCGGATAACATCGTGAATAGGCGGCTGGGACCCCCAAACCTTTGTGATCCATCGAGAGATCAATGCGCAGATCGACCAGGCTTTCGCCAACGTGGACCTGAACCTGAAGCACGCAGGAGGAAAAGGGTGGGAGCAGGTATTTCGGGTGAACTCGTACCACGTCCCGATCAACGACGAGGCCCTGGAGGCGATGGTGCGGAATTTCAAGAAATGGATGCCAAACCACCAGCCTATTTGGACATGTGTTGGGGTAACGAGGCTCGGCGAGGATGATATGCGGGTTGAGATTGAAGTTGTAGCTCATGACCCGTGAGAGATCGAGGTCAGAGCGGACATGGCGTATGTGCATTTGTGGATTATGAACCCATCTAGCTCTTGTGTTGAAGTAGCGTGGGTAGGCAGTGCCACACGAAGAAGCATATTATCCTAAGAATGGGAGAAGACCCTTTCTCAAATATCGTGAGCTTAGCGTTTGTCGCCTCTACCACCACCCCTGCCACCACCTCTGCCACCCCTACCACCACCGCCTCTGCCGCCTCTTGTTTTGCCCTTTCCTCTGCCACCCATCATACGGCGTCCTGACGCCTGGACATGAGCGATGTCGTCTTTGTTCAGGTTCAATGTGCCTCCCGAGAACTTGCCCACGGAAGATCCGACAACACCGCGCTCTCTTCGCCCATTGTTGCTCGATTTGTGTACCTTGTTAGGCTTCTCGAGGATGATGCCGTTCTCCTTGGCCTCTTGGCGGCGTCTGTCTTCCTTTGATTCAGCCTTAGCTTTGATGCCTCGTCGGTGCGCAGTAGGCATTTTAGTTTGCGCATAGAGCGAAGTTTTGGCTCCAAGGGATTGCATGCGCATATCCAAAGCCTTCAAACGGTTCTTTCCAGTGGGGGCAAGGTCGTCGGCGGAGTCGAGAAGGTGTGACTCCTTGAGTAGTCTTTGCAATGCAAGATCATGCTTGAGGTTCGCAGAGTCGTGGGTGTCTTCTTCTTCTTCTTTTTTGGATGTAGGCTCTGGCTCAGTGCTCGGCTTATCTAAGTCGGACAACAATTTTCCACTCTGCAGGTCTCAGTATTAGTATGAGCTCCCAATGCGTTGAGATTTAGCACATACCATAAACGCCTTCCAAGTCTTCTTGTCCATTCTGTCTTCTGGTGCCGCGTAAGTATCCGTGTGTTCGACCACCTCGACTTGGTTGCTCTCGTCACTGATGTCGGACATCCCATCCCAGTCACCTCCCGACCCAGAGAGATCAGAGTCATCGTCGTCCTCATTTCCTGCTTCATCGGAATTTGTAGATTTGGCGGTCGGAGCTGGCAAATCAAGTGGCTCGAATTGTGCTTCGAATAATCTGCGGAATACGTCCTGCGCATTGTCCACCGGAGGAGGGCTGTCTTCCTTGGCCTGAGGCTTGGAAACCACAGTGGTTTCTCTCTTTCGTTTCACAACCATGGTGAATGTGCTGTCGACCAAATTGTAAAATCGAACACTCGCGTCTCCGCCCAAGAAGTTTTTCGGACTAAGCTCGAGATCACGTGCGATAAGATAAGCCGCCCCTCGATTCACACATCCATGAGTCGTCACTGAACCAACTTGTTCTCCAATTCGCCAGAGAAGATGACCAAGTTCAGGCCTTGCATTGACCTGCATTCAGGGCAGGTCAAGCAGATTGTGGGTGGTACGCTCAGCCAGGTGGCGGCAGACCTGAAGACCAACTACGTATCCAAGTTCCCGGCCAGCCACTACGCGGGATTGTATCAGAAGCACAATTTGCGCGGCGGGCACGTCGTGAAGCTTGGACCAGGGAATGAAGAGGCAGCTCAGGAGGCATTGAAGACATGGCCGGGTGGACTGCAAGTGGCCGGAGGTATCACCGATAAGAATGCGCAATATTGGATTGATCAGGGTGCAGACAAGGTAAGCCCCCGGATTCCAGACGGATTACTATTTCTTCGCTTGGCATTGTGCTTGGTCGAGAAGACAATGCTATCTATCCTTTTACTTCAAGTTTCTGTTTGCTTGCACTGCGTCATAGCAAGAGTCCGATGACGCTAATCATGTGGAATGCGGGCAACAGGTGATCATCACTTCATTCCTCTTCCCTGGGGGCAAGTTCTCGCTCGCGCGGCTCGAGTCGGTCCTTTCAGCCCTGGGCGGCGACAAGTCAAAGCTGGTCTTGGATCTAAGCTGCCGCAGAAAAGACGATACTTGGTTCGTTGCGATGGACCGCTGGCAAACTATCACCGAGATGGAGATCAACCAGGGTATGTCCTTCCAGTACTGAACCTAGGTTGATTGTTGGCTCACTGACACTGTGTAGAATCGATCTCAATGCTGGAACCATATTGCGCCGAGTTCCTAATCCACGCTGCAGACGTAGAGGGCCTGCAACAAGGCGTCGATGAGGAACTTGTTTCAAGACTGGCTGAATGGTGTACTATTCCCGTGACCTACGCAGGAGGTGCGCGCCATTTACAAGATTTGGAAAAGGTCCACACGAGTAGCAAAGGAAGAGTGGATTTGACGATTGGTAGCGCGCTAGATATCTTTGGCGGCTCCGGAGTGACGTTCGATGAATGTATCGAATGGAACAGGACACATTAAAAATAGAACATAAATCAAAACGAATAGATGATATCAAAAATATTATGATGAGCTGAATAGTATTTCCATATCCTCATTTACTATTTCATCAAAAAGAGATGAAAACAAACAGCAAGGAAGACGAGTCACAGATGTGTCTGGACTTGTCCCAAAACGGCTTAGGGGCTTGCATCAACTGAAGGTCCGCCCGCCTCCGTATCTCAAGTCCTCAACCTCAACTCTCTGTATTAGCCGATTTGCGACCACCTTTCTCCAACAAACCAGCTATCCCGATACTTCTGCAACACCCCTAACCTATCATCAAATCGCCAATATGAAGCCCGTAGTCTCTGCCTTGAACGCCTGGTCTTGGTACGCTCCCCCATCCCAGACAGTATCCATCGAAAAGCCCTATCGCTCTAACACCTCGCCTGTCGAATAGTGTCGTTATCTCCGCTTTCGCAATCGTCATCCTCTCAGTCCTCGGCTCGCTATACAGCGTACGTCTCCCCGACTCCGACCTACCCATCAGATCCCCCAGATCCCCCAAAGACTCATTGTCACAGACCTACGTAATATGGGGTTCAGCCGCTAACACGAAGGTCCTAAATATAGAGCAACAACCACGCATACACCGGATCAGAAGGCGAACCCAAAGATGGCCCCGCAGTCGCCGCGTCCATTTACACCGCTGTGATCGTCTACGCTGTACGTCACTCCCCCTCCCTAAGCCCCGACGGGATCGTCCGTTGCATGAGAAAGGGATCGGTTACTGACAATGCGCTTTTCTGGCTCACAGGGCTTCTTCGTTTTCTGCGGTTTCCAGGCTTACCTTCACTTGCGAGACAGTAGGGGAGGTGCTATATCACTGCATTGAAATTACCTTGGTCCCTTTTCCTTCGATGTCTTCCATGACACCTTTATTTGTCGATTTTCAATCTTTGAGCTTATATCTTGGGGTTTCTTGAGTACAACACGGTGGTTTTTAAATTTGATGCGTTGGGAGTGATTCGAGGTCGAGAGAATACTTTGAATTCTCTCGAGTATGAATCACCCATGTCTACTCTGTGCGACCTAGATTCGTCTATGTTAAAGACGAGCAGGATCGGACTAAGCTTGAAAGGCGTTGGCGGGCAGGTTTCCCGGTCTCCTTTGCTAGAATACACAGATGGCCGACCTGCGACTTGTACATAGAGCGCTCATAATTATTTCGAGCTCTTTGATATCTCATTTTTTGTCCATTGGATGCAACTAAAGATAAAATTTGGTATAGACATTCAATCATTTGTTCTTCGTTGAGAAGAAAATCAAGTTTTTGTGAGACCGCCGACGCCAGTGGATGCAGAATCAGATACCGAGCCTCAGCTGGACACTGGTATCCTTTTTGTTTTTTGTTTTTTGTCTTTTTTTGCCCTGTTTTCCTCCAGGTGATTACTCCTCGTCCTCCCATGGGTCCAACATCTTGGACATGTAAGGACCGTCAAGGAAGTACCCGAGACGAGCATAGTAGCTACGCACGCCCACACCGGAGATAACACTGATCTTGCGACTACCGTGCTCCTCGCGGGCAATACGCTCCGCCTCCTCCATCAACAAAGTTCCAAAGCCACGGTGCTGGAACTTGCGGGCATCACGTCCGTGAAGAGGCACGGCAGAACCGTAGACGTGAAGCTCGCGGACAATACTCGTCTGCTGGCCGGTGAACTCAGGACGGAAGGTGTGAGTCTCACTGCACTTGCGCAGACGAAGCAATCCAATGAGAATATCCTGCTTCGGGTCTTCGTATGCCAAGAAAGTCTCCCAGCCGCCATTGGCAGTGTAGTCACGGCGGATCAACTCAATCTGCGATGGACGGATCTTGTTCTTGACTTCGTTGATACCAACTTCTCGCGTGCGGACATCACGGCAGGTCGTGCCGAAATCCTTCATACGCGCCAATGCCAGTTCGCGCAGGTTGCCGTTCTCCACGCCGGAGGTAACAAGTGGCATGGGGATATCGCGCTGGACTCGGTAGATACGGGTCCACGGGGGAACTAGGGCGAGAATGCGTGCGACAAGGTCGATAAGTGCGTTGGGTGTGTAGTTCTTGTAACGACCGGTGCGCCACAGTTCGTAGAGACCGGTGCCTCGGATGACAAGCGTAGGGTAGAGTTTGAGACCGTCGGTACGGAAGTTGGGGTTCTCGAAGTACTCCTGGAACTGGAAGAGATCGCGCTCCATTCCAACGTTAGGCAGATCGGGCATCATGTGGCTGACAACCTTGAACCCGGCATCCTTGGCAAGCTTGAACGTCTCAGCTACTGCTGCTACGGTGTGGCCGCGGTTGGTGTCTCGCGCAACGTCCTCGTACAGACTCTGCACACCAACTTCCAACCGCGTGCAACCGTAGCGGAGCATGCTGCTCAGATGTGTATCCAGACAGTAATCTGGTCGGGTTTCGATTGTGATACCCACACACTTCACGTTGCTCATTTCGCCTGCCAGCACGGCCTCGTCAACATTGTCCGTTTGGTATCCGCTCAGCGCGTTGTGAAGTTGGGAGATGAAAGTGTCCCGGTAATCTTCTGGTAGCGACATGAAGGTTCCGCCCATGATAATGTATTCCACCTTGTCCACGCTGTGACCGAGAGCTTTGATCTGGTCTACACGTCCTCGGGCCTGCTCAAACGGATCGTAACGAGCGCGGATCGCTCGCATCGAGGTCGGTTCATATCCAGTATATGATTGAGTCGAGTATTCGAAGTCGGAGTCTGGGCCACCAGGGCAATAGACACAGATGTTACCGGTATAGGCGATGTGGGGGCATCGATGAGGTTTGCACATAACCGCCACGACGGCGATACCAGAGGAGGTTCCTATAAACAAGGTTAGCGATAGTCCATCACTCCCACTTGGAATATGTAAACGTACGGATCGGCTTCGCAATCAGCTTTGGCAGGATATATTTCTTGTAGTGCTCAGGTACTGCCGCAATAATGGCCGTCAGTGGCGGCGAGCTGGACAAGCTGTGCTTTTTCGAAAAGGTAGCCCGCAACTTGTTGAGATTTAGATCCTTCTTGGGCTTGGTAGAGTCTCTGTGCGACTCGTAATCTTGAATGAGAGCATTTGCAATGTCGGAACACGCTCGCATGAACCGCTCGTTCTCCGGTACGTTCTTTGCGTTCTTCTTGGCGGCCCTTTTGATTTCCTGCGAGGTCATAGTCATGGTAGCCATGGCGAATAGAATAACACCGCGCCTTGGCGGGAAGTCTTTTCAATAACCAAAAGCGACAAGCAGTTGTACTTCCAAGGTTAGTGGGGGTGAGGTTGATTAGATAGAAAAATGTGGTCGCCGAGGCCGCGCCCGAAGTCAGTTCCGCTTAAGTAAAATAATTATCCCGAGCGAAAACTCCCGGGTGCGTATCCCGAACACCTGCCCTTTATCCCGTCCTTTTATTTCTTCCACCTCACTTCATATCCCTCAACTCTCCCCTCATACATACAATCTTGCAGCAATGCAGGCCTTCCGCCGTAACACCCTCTCGGCCCTTCGCAATGTCGGCGCCACCCAGCGTCGGACTCAGGCCACCTCTGCCTACAGCGAGACCTTGAACAACCTCAAGATCAACAAGGACACCCGCGTTCTCTTCCAGGGTTTCACTGGAAAGCAGGGAACGTAAGTTCAACCTCTGCGCTCTCATTGTCGCACGCGCATGATGCTGACATTCGGCCTTGAAATAGCTTCCACGCTGAGCAGGCCATCGCCTACGGTAAATATTTATCCAACCGCGATCGCATCCGAACAATAGCTTACACAGGACAGGCACAAATGTCGTCGGTGGTACCAACCCCAAGAAGGCCGGCAGCATGCACCTCGACCGTCCCGTTTTCGCCAACGTTAGCGATGCCGTGAAGGAGACCGGTGCCACAGCTTCCGCCATCTTCGTTCCGTATGATAACTCCTATGCTCTCGAAATATCAGCAAAACAATGCTAACTGCATTTAGTCCCTCTCTTGCCGCTGCCGGTATTGAGGAGGCCATCGCCGCTGAGATGGGCCTCGTTGTCTGGTACGTACCCGATGGAGCTCCCCCTTGCAAAGAACTTTATCTGACAGTTTTTCGTTTAACAGCATTACCGAGGGTATCCCTCAGCACGGTACGGATTGATCGACTACGGATTGAAGCGCGCGAACTGATTGATTTCATATAGACATGGTCCGCATCACCGACATTCTTAAGACCCAGAACAAGACCCGCCTGATCGGTCCTAACTGCCCCGGTATCATCGCTCCCGTAAGCTACCACTCCAACTTTCTACAATAATTCGAGCCGCGCGAAATACTGACACATCTCGTTCATAGGGTCAATGCAAGATCGGTATCATGCCCGGCTTCATCCACAAGCGCGGCCGTGTCGGCATTGTCTCTCGTTCCGGTACCCTGACCTACGAGGCCGTCAACCAGACCACCCTCGCTGGTCTTGGTCAGTCTCTCGTCGTCGGTATCGGCGGTGACCCCTTCTCCGGCACCAACTTCATTGACTGCCTCAAGGTCTTCCTCGAGGACCCCGAGACCGACGGTATCATCATGATCGGTGAGATTGGTGGTTCCGCCGAGGAGGATGCTGCCGAGTTCTTCAAGGCCAACAACATCCACAACAAGCCCGCCGTCTCCTTCATCGCCGGTATCTCCGCTCCCCCCGGCCGCCGCATGGGTCACGCCGGTGCCATCGTCAGCGGTGGTAAGGGTGGTGCCGATTCCAAGATCGCCGCTCTCACCGATGCTGGTGTCATCGTCGAGCGCAGCCCTGCTTCCCTCGGCAAGACTCTTCTTGCTGAGTTCGTCAAGCGCGACCTTGTTTAAAATTGTCGCCCCTTTTGATGCATCGCGTGTCTTGTTGTCCTGGTTTTGAAGACGGGGATCTAAGGTATATGTGCCATTTTATACTATGGGGTTTTATGGGCTGTTCCTTTTCGGCTGCTCCTGTATTCTTTTTCTCCTTTGTGTTAGAGATCCTTGAAGTAATCATGCTCGTGTAATTATTACTGTGTGCTGCTTGTGCAGAGTGGATGGTTGAAATATGTAAATATATGGAAACCATTCTTTTAAAGCTGTGAAGCAAGCTTCTTGAGCAGTCCCTCCTCTCTCTATCTACGACCGGTCTTCATTCTAATGCTCATACCGGACATCCATAGTAAACACATGGGCCTAGAAGCCAGCACGAATTGCACAGCAGAGCAGAAGCCGCCATGCCTTGCCACCGCAGCCAGCGGTCCCAGCTCTCGAAGAAAGTGAAAATTGGTATTAGTCCAGTGTGACCCGGAGGCATTGACTTGAGCCTCTGTTTCGGGTATATTGAAAGTTGACTTTGACATGCTGTTTGTAAATGGTGTTGTAAAGCTATGTGTTAGAGCATCCAGGTTATATGTTCGACATCGCATCCCCATGGCCGAGGAAGAGAGGACCGAGTCCGAATATCTGAAGGCTGGTAAATTCCCTAGGGTGAGAAATGTTCATATTTTCATCCGCCTTCGCCACTTAAACAGACGGGCGAGGCATCGTCAAGCGAAAAGGGCCTTAGAATGGCGGCTATGAAGCCCACTTTCATCGCTGTGATAAGAAAAAGAGCATCTCGGGACATGCACCGCATGTTGCATACGCCGACATCGCCCACTCATGGCCACTGTAAGAGTTGGCTAACAAGTCGGATATCGTCAACTAGGAGGGTTCTATCTTGTTCACCTTGGACAAACATCCATGGATTGTTTCTTAGAGGTTAGGTCCGCTGACTAGTGACCATCCTATACATACGATCTAAATATAAGCTCACCTCCCACCGTAAGAAAAAACTGTCATCTACTTGATTCCAGAGACTAAAATACAATAAATAGCTGCTCGTCACAATTACAGGCGGTCTCGCAAACCTCAGAAGATATCTTCTAATCCATCCCTTCCTGTCAACTACTATGTAGTTACGTTGTTTGTGTCCTTAAATGAGATCTGGGCCGATTTCGTACGCCCATACATACACGAAGTGACACGAGTGAATTGTAACTGGAACGTAGCGTTGCCGTCCTCACGGACGCCCTTGGGCACCGCTTCGAGGAGTGAAAATTATTCGTAACTCGCAACAGCCGCTTGTCGACGCCCCTAGCCGTTTTCAGAAAGAGGTTCACTGTGAAGTAGCCAGATATGTTACGACGTGAGATGATTACCCTCCTATCTAGCAGAATGCTCTACAACAAGACCGCGTAGAACTGTCGCATTCTTCAATTAGTGCAACCTTGTAAGCCACAGAATGGACCAGAAGAAACGTCGCCGTGTAGCACAGCAACGAGACAATGAAGCACGAGATTTATATCTACATGAAGTCTCACAGTTTGAAGCCAAGTAACTCGTATTCGAGCATTCGGTACAAACTCAGATGCAGAGAACAATATGCTGGGATAAGCTTCGACCCGCCTAGTGCGAATATAACATACAGTTAATTGGAATAGGGATGTTTCCTCATAATCTCGCTGAGCGCCGATTCTTTGCAGCTATCTTGATAAAGTCGTCCATTATGAACTGACACGAAGCCACGGCATTCATATCCTTGTCATTTCTCAGCCGTTCCAAGACGACAGCTTCGCCAGCAAACATAACATTTACTTCACCATTATCACAACCTGGCAGGAGAGTAATCTCGCCACGGGGAAGCACCCGGCCAAGATATGGCTCACGATACGCCTCACACCGGCCGAGGCCAGGACCCCAGTCCTCAAGCACGACTGAGCTGAGACGTGTGTGATCAGTGACAAGGGCATCGAGCGGACCTCTTGGTACTAGACCCGGGTTCATAGGGTGCATCTGCGCAATATCTATTATTTCGCGGAATACCTCTTCACTCCAGTTGTTGTTGGTACTGCGAATCATCGTTGCTACCTTGGCCAAGGCCTCCGGGGCTGCGGATGTGAAGCCATCAGTCTTTGCAGCAACTGGAAAGAAGTCCACGCAGGCCGGCATGTAGTCGAGAGGCAAAGGCGGTGTCAGGCGCGGGCGCACGCTCCCAAGGTAAACGATACGCGTCGTCTTGGGTATAGGCTCCGCACCCGGCACACCCGGGGCCCATTTGGCAGCGAAGAAACGCTGCCAAGTAAAAGCTGTCAGACAGTCGATGGATGACAGCTTGGTGTCTCTAGGCGAGACTCTGTCGGCGACGAGTTTCAGTTTTTTTATTGATAATTGAGGGAAGGTCCATACAGAGGTCGACAGCTCACGAAGCGTATCTTCAGGAAAGTTGGCCAGGTCAATGTCTGTCAAACGAGCCTTTGTGAAGATGCCATCTATTGTCTTGCCCATCTTTCGGGGATCGCGAGGGTCGAGCATTGTCCAATGTGGAAGATTTGCCGCGAGAGCCGCCAACTTCTCGAGATCATGCTCAATCTGCACATTAGGCGTCAGCGGCGAGCGGTCCATCAAATTCGCTGCTACTTGCTGCGGTAGCGGAGGCTCGGGCATATTATTTGTCCGAGCATTGGCAACAGCACGCGAGTTACGTGCCCAAGACCCCATCAAGTCCATACATTGCACGAGGTCACACATAGCATGTGCGATAGACATGGTCAACACTATTCCGCCTTTGATGACATTGAATCGAGGAGCAAGGATGGGGTCGCCGGTCTGGGCGCATGGGAAGTCTTTTTGGCGCAGTTTGCTCAGACCATCTTGGTCGCCGTCACCGAATGGCCAGCCAAATCTTCTGAACTCCTCATACGAAGGCATGTCCTTCATGTCTCGGTGGTCGTGGAACTCAAAATTGACACCGGCGTACGGCGTTGGGCGAATCTCGATCGAGTTGCGTCCAGTTTCATCCTTGACAATTCTACCACAAAGATGTGGGTGTTGGTATATGTAACGGGCGAGGCCACGTTTGCAGTCTTCGTAGAGCTGTCTGGGGTCGGCGTCTGGTTTTAAAGGGAAGAATTCTGTCGGCGAAGGATAGACTGGCGAGGTCAAATTATCCAGAGCAGATAATCTGATGAGAGAGGGACGCACAGGGCCCGCAGGCTCAACCCATGAGCTAGGCAGTGTTTGGGGGTCCATTGAAAAGTCAAGCGCCTTTCACAGCGAAGAAAGAAGATACAGAATCGCATGCTTAGGTTTTCGAGGTCGTGACACCATTAAGAACATGTGGATTAGTGCCTTCCAGTGTCCCCACCCCTTTGTTGACGTCCAATTGTAGTATGTTTCTGACGATTGAAGTTCAGATGGGCTTGCGCGCCCTTAGGGGATCGTCGCCAAGTGGAGTCATTGCGGCTGCTCGTGGTACAGTGTCTGTTCCAATTGGTCCGGTGGGGGTACTTGAAGCCACTAAGATCTTGGTCGGAGGATATAGTACGTTTAGCATTCAATAGCCAATTGATAGTTCATAATTCATAGTTTTGCCACTTTCTCTATTAAAACAGAGCTAAACCCCATTGGTAGAGATCCACTATGAATTTGCCATGAATTTGAAAATTAAAATGCTAAACGGCTCTAATAGACAAATGATCGTCGTCTATACATCAATGGTCTCATTTTTTTAGCTCTACAAAACCTCAGCCTCAGCTGGCATGCCGCCCTGACTGGATCCTATAGAGCAAAGATCGACGCATTAGCGGAGACCGCAATGGCAGGGGCTGCTTCACGAAATGCTGCTGGAACTGTGATAATGGGTCCAAACCCTGGAGTCTTTGCCTCCCCCTGGTAGCTAACTCATGTCCGTCGCCTTTTATCTTCTACAAGCCGTTATACATATAGTTGTTCACTCACTAGCTCATCCATTCCTCTTGTTTGAACAGATTGGAGGGTCATATGTGCAAAACAAAAGTCACCCAAGATGTCTGACATGGAGACCGCGGCCATTTTACCGACCAGCACTGTCGCAGTCATCAAGCCACACCCAGACAGCCACGGACAAGTGGTGAAGCTTTCTGCGATCGATCAGATTGCGCCTAGAGACTACATGTCGATATGTCTATTTTTCCGACTTGGTCCAGATGCGGATAAGAAACAAATCTTCAGCGTCCTCCAGGAAGCCCTCTTGAGGATCGTGAGTGACATGCCGGAGCTTGCGTGCTGCGTGCAGAAACACACCGATAACAGCCGTGAAGAGGTTGAGCTCGTATTCGACTCCAACAAGGGTGTTGAAATCCATTACAAAGACTATACCTCACCTGAGCTTTGTGGTCTGTGGAACTTTGGCACGTTCGACCACCTGGAGCAGGAACACTTCCCTCTCAAAAAGATGCCAAGGCACATTGTTTTCGGAACGTCCGCGAAGCTGGAGGACAACGTGAGGCTTCCAGCCCTTGTTGTACAACTTAATTTCATACCTGGAGGACTGATACTGGGAAGCTGCCTACATGTAAGCCTCCACTCTGATTTGGGTTCATCTTCTTTTTGGCTTGGGACGGGCTCTAAGATCAAATACTTTGATAGAACCTGTCCCGTCCAATTCTGAGCTGAGGGCGATACTAATGAATAACATAGCATGTGGCTGGTGATGGCCAATGTAACTTCATGTTATATTCTGCCATAGGCGCTCACTTTTCTGCTGTGGCCGATGGGTTAGACAGCAAACCTACCTCGCAAATCCATCTTCTAGAGAGAAGTGGTGTCGTTGAGGGCGATCAGAGTGTAACGCCCGAGGAATTCCCTCACTGGAAGCTCGCAGAAGACACCACCGAGTTCCTCAATCCAACGGAGTACACAGCCAGTGGGATTCCACATTCGAATATGCTACGTACTTCATCTCGGCCGAAAAGCTTGCATTGCTCAAAAGCCGCATCTCGAACAATGTTCCCGAAACCAAGCTTGGCACAGTCGAAACATTGGGTGCCTTCATCTGGCGTCACATAATCGTGGCCAGAAATATCGATTCTCAGAGGTATCCTGAGGCGAAGCTTTCCATCACCATTGATGCCAGGGGCCGTACAAAAAACCCCAACGTCCCATCCAACTATTGGGGGAACTTTGCGGAACCAAACGCAGTGGCCAGGCTACCCGTTGCCAGTCTTCAGGAAGGCGGATCATCGTCAACATCGAAACATCTTACGAGCACCATCTACCCCGAGGCGGCGCGTCGCATCCACAAAGCGATAGCTGCGGTAGATGATAAAGCAGTCAGGCGCCTTGTCGGTCTCCTGAATCAGATGCCCAAAAGTACGACATTAACGTGGAACGTAAACCGCTACCCCGGCCCAGACATGCTTCTTGTCTGTATCCAGGGTCATGCGTACAATGACATCTACTTCGGCCATGAGCTTGGTTGTCCCTCGGCATTGCGATGCACTGTGGGTAACACTGAGGATAAACCTGATGGTCGTTGTCTGATTCTGCCACCCCGCCGTGGCGACGGTAAAGGTCTTGAGATCGCGCTGCAGTATGACAGTAGCACACTGAAGAGGCTTGAGGATAACATCGAGTTCGGGGCGTTTTTTGTACGTAGAAACTAAACCATCTTCTCACCGGAGGAGGCGGCCAAGAGGTTGGTGAGACCCGTTCTCTCGTGTCTTACAACGGAGGAAGGAAGCATCAAGAGAGAACATCAGTCTTACGGATGATGTCAAAATAAGCATAGTTCTAATTGCTTCACTATACCAATCGATGGTCATTTGATTTGGGTTCTTGTTCTTGTTCGTAGCTACCGTTGATTTACCCCCAGAAGACTATTTGGGAAATTGACTGTGGCCAAGCCCATCTTCCTTCCCCTTCACTAGCTTCTTTTTACGACATCTATATGTTGTCTGACAGTTGACGCTCATGAAGGTGACATGAAGGTAGCGAGTGACCAAAGCTAAATTCCTTGCGCTCCCACTTTGGATATATTCAAAGAACTGCACTTCCACCTTAAAGCGCACTTGGTTTTTATTCGACAAAATGGCTTTGTTAATGGGAGTTTGTTATATGGGAGTCACGTCAATGATGCAAGCCCACGCTCGTTGCTCGATAATCTTTTCTTCGGCATTTAGGAGGCGTGAGCTTACCTCATTCCACAACAATATCTTATTAAATTACCATACTTAGGAGTAAGCTTATATTCAACTTACCAAGATTTGCCGGAACTAGATTCCACATAGGAGGGGCTCAACAACGTCAGCACCCGCCGACGAGGGCAGCGCAGCGCGGCTAATAGACACTCCAGCCCCTATAGGCCATTAAACGGTTCTAGAATTCGTTTACACGACAGGATCAAGCGAGGCAGTTAGCATATTCGGCAAAGTGAGAGATAACTTAGCGAATATCGCAAAAGAAACCAAGTTTCGCACCTTAGAAAAGGGGAAAGAAAAAGAAAACGCTATATATCACATCGTTTATAGTACGCAAAAAAGACTTTAATCCAGTAGGAGTCGTGTCAATAATTAGGTCAACATATGCAAATTATATTATCACCTTAGCTTAATCACAACCCTAGCTTTTCGGTTATAGAGCTAATCGGTTAAAGAAAGGCGACATTTCACCGGCCTACAAGGAGTGAGGGCCCAGGTAGCAGACAAAAAAGTGTTTATCGATACCATAAGTCGAACAAAGCAATAAGTAGCGGCCACTTAGCTACACTCTCGGCCCCCTACTTCATAAACGGGCAAAAGACTTACCATACATCTTTCTGATAGCCCTGCTCATGCGATCACTACATATACTACTCCCTTCTCCATCTTCTCCGGGGCCGCAATTTGCGTTTGCATAAGGTGGTTCTTATACTACGGCGCAAGCGGTGGCTTATCCAATGGTCTGAAAAGGGGGGACTTACCAATTTTTCCCAAATAAAAGCAATTGGCTACCTTGCAAAGATCAACATCACCTAGACCAATAATAACAGGCGCGCAAATTGGAAGTATACTAGCAACACTCAAACAAAGACATGTCACAATTCCACCTACCAATTCCAGAAACCCTGCAAAACTGGCTGGTGCTCATTTCCTTTTACTTCGTACTTCGTACTTCCGTAATCAGTCTCGACCTACCCCCCTGGGGCCGTGAATGCGCCTGGACTTTTCTATGAACTGCAAAATACCATACTTATACGATACCGTAATGTATTTATACCAATGCGGTACATGTAATGTATGTACCCAAGTGGGAGGCATAACAAGAGGTTTTTGTACGCACAGGTTACTATATCGCGAAAGAAATACTAAATTCTATCGTACCAAAAGCTTATGAAACAAGGCAACAATCTGCTTTTCTGCTATGATATCAGACATGATTCTTTCCATTTCCTTCCCCAAAGAAGATTAGATCATGCTGCTTTTACATCGAGTATACCCGTGGACCCTCTGACAGTCAACCCAAAAGGGAGTAAATGACTCCTTTAAACCTTCAGTCTAGCAAGTTCGGGAGACCACTTTCTATCCTAGTAGGGGACTGGGAAGCCAAGCCCGTGTTATCCCCGTGCGACCAATTCTGCGGCTTCTCCGAGGGCCCGTATTGAACGAATGATGGTATGTAGGTATTGCCATTTGAAAGGCCCGTCGTCGGCTATGAAGAATTGTCATTCAATGATGCCTCATGCAGACATGGAATCGGAACTTTCAATACCACAATATGGCTGCTTTCCTCTTGAGAATTCTCTTTGTCCATCCAATCCGTGAGCGTTTTAAATGCTCGTTTACGGCCAAATTTGAGGCAATATTCGAGTTCGAATCTCCCTTGGGTCCATCTTTTGTCTGAATGGGCCTTCAGCCAGGCCACACTATTCGATCTCTCTTGAGGACTGGACTTCCTACCGGGCATTGGTACTTTCTTTTGTGCTCTCGATGCACCGATGTATCTCCGTCGTTTGGCTGCGCGGGGAGATGGGCCTTCTTCACTTTCAATGAGAGTATTGGACCCCTGGCGAATCGGACTTTTGGGGAGTGGTAGGTGCGTATCCATCTGGGGAGCTTTTTGCGAGGATACAAGATCCATTGCAACGCGATTTTCGTTCTCCGTTGGCGAAGATATGGACGATGAATTTCTCGAGGACGCGGTGTTCACCGAGACGGCGTCTCCAATGTCTCCTAGCAGAGAGGCATGGCCTGTTGAGATGATATTTTCCTCTGCCATTAGAGACCTCGAAGATAGAGTCCTGGAGGACAGAGGGTTCAATGAAACAACCATGGCATTATCTGGTGCCGCGCTGCCTCCATTATCAGAGTTATTGTTCCTCAGTTGACTGGTGTCATTCTTGGAACTGTCATCTCCCGTCCCTTTGTCCTCTGTGGCCTCGTCCTCTGACTCATCCTCACTTGAGTCTTCTGAGGAACTGCTGCAACCCATCGCCATTGGCTTATCATGGTCGTCGTCGGAAGTGGTTTCCGACCCGCTTGACTGTGCTGAACTTGATGCACGGGGCCTCTCGACAGATACAGTGGTATCAGGCTCATGTGGCGTCAGACACTGTGGTGGACTTGTTGTTGTGGGAGATATTACGGTAGGGCCTCGGAGGGATTGAAGGTTGCTATCGCGTATCTTCAATGCTCGTTGGAGTTTTCCTAGACCCTTCGTATCTGTTCCAGTTAGATTACCGCTTGCACAAGATTCTTGAGTTGATGAGAAGTACGCACATTTTAAAACGTCTCTTAGTTCCTTGGAGATATCAGTCAATATCTCCTTAGTGGCCTCCGCCTCCCTTTCCACATCTGCGTAGCTTGGTCCCGAATTGGAAATTTGGAGGGCGTGGCTTCGGCAAAAGTCGACCCTATTGTGTAATTCCTGGTCGTGGACAAACACCTTCCCTTGAATGAAGCAGTGGTAACATCCATCACTTTGTTGCTGGAAATCGCCATGACGAACAATGTCCAACCAACAAATAGATGTGCTGTTTTCATCTTCATCCAGGCAGGAAGGGTCACAGCCCATATTCTTTCTCAGCGATCTTTCCATGTCGTAACTTTTTAGCGGCTGTTTCGAAAAATGCTGTGTGAAGGTTTGAGCTGTCTCAAGGACCTCTCCATAATACCGAACAAGGTCGTGGCGATTTGGCTGGAGGTCTTCGAATCGTCGTAGTGGAACGTGTCTCTCTGACCCCCAGCTGATGAAATATTCAGGGTTGTCCATGTTGTTCATCTCACGCCTTATTGAGGTCAGTTACACTCATCATACTCGGTCGCTTCTTTCCCATACAGTACAGTAATTCTTTCCTCTGTTGCTCATAGGGGTTTGAAGGGCTCTGGATATTGAAATACAACTTTGGCTCAAGGCAGTTTTCAAAGTTGGGATATCTGGAGTGAAGGAAATACCGCAAAGGAGAAGGGAAAAATATCAAATGGTATGTTTCGAATTTTTATATGATGTGCACGGCGCCGACTGTTAGGAAGTACGATCGCCGTTATACCCTGGTCACTCTGGTAGAGCCTGGATTAGGGTAGGCCCATCCACATGGGCATTGACCTTGGAATTGGCCTTACCAACACGTAAAGAATAACATGTAGTTATTCGAGTACATTGTATTTGTAATTTAAAAAACAGTAAAATATTTCCATACATAAATGAGTACCCACGTGTGAACCCCAGCCATTCCAACCCCACGAACAAAAAAAAGCAAGTACATTTCATTTACCAATCCATCACGAGGATAGGTACGGAGTACTCCGTAGATAGGATTCTAATGCGCGCGATAGAGAAGCACGATGTCGAATACGAACACACAAAGCCCCACACTTGTTTGGTTGGGATTCAAGGCACAAGGCGCCTGCATATCGCTGTGGTGTGCCGACGATATCACACCCCATCCTTGTCATTCAGGGGTCAGTTTATAGGTCGCAGTTTTTGGGGGCGGTTTACATTTAGGGGGCTGGGGGCCAATACCTAATCACCACTAGTACCAATCCGTTACTACCTACATAGGGGGTATATGTCGCTTGTTCCGTCGTATATAACAGGCCTGGGATTTTCTCTGAATTTATTTTCAGCGTACCCTCTCGATTCTGACTCGATTTGCCTGACAGGGGTGTGTGTACGTGCTATGCACCTTTCGCCTGCTGGCTAGCCTCATTGGTATTGTTATCATCTGCACTGCCCGGTGGTTGAAAACAGCACTATAGCCCTATTTGACGCAAATATTGTGCCTTGTCAACCGTCAACCCGACATATACCGAGCGCAGCTATACAATAGACGAACTTCTTATGTTGAGGATATTGCAAGAAAGATTAGAGTATGACTAGAGACACTAGTGTGATTCAGAAAGGAGAGGTCTTAAAAAAGGAAGTGATTTCTGCTGGGGATCGCCAAATTGCCGTCCTGTGAACGGGTCGGAACACCGGCTTCGCAAGACTCGTTGATTAGTCCTTGACGCTCCTACGGCCGGCTTTCCAACGTAGTGACCCAACCAATTTACCTACCCAGAGAAAAAATGAAATCACTAGAGCTCATGGCATCGATTTGCGTAAGTTTGCGCTCGCGCTGGCAAATCGTTGTCCCACAACTGAGGGCTATTTAAATAATCGTCGATTCGCTTGCATCGGTCTTCGGAAAGATAAGGAAGAAGGCCAGGCGCGGCGCGGAAAGCGGTGAATCTGGTGTTTTCGTCGAAGCATTTCATGGTTTCGCGAACTTGCTCTGAGTCCTGACACATGTGGGCACCGTCCAGTTTCCCCTCGCATTTGGTGCGCAGGCCCTCGAACAGCCTGTCCATATACTCGGCGATGGCGTCCTGCCCTTCGTCTATCTGGATGTGGGCAGATCCATCTTCGATCAAGCCGCGCATTAATTCTCGCCCATGTTGATCCCAGTGGGCTGGCCGAGGCTGACAGCCTGCGTCACACGAGTTTTGGTGGATGCTTTCGATGAAACGACGTGGGTTTAGGCTCTGAAAGGCTTTGAGACAGGAAAATCCCATTGTGGCGTTGACGCCCGGACTGAGGCAAACACCAACAGTAGATATAAGAGTGAAAATCTGAGTGGGACGCATTTTGGGGCAACTGAACAGGTTGTTCGGACAAGCTCATGGACCAGAGTGATTGGTTATCACTATTGGAATGGAAGTTCCTCAAACGCAGCGTGGAAACTGTGAAGATGATCAAATGGAGTTCTCAAGTGCGGAATCCGCTTACTGAAGTTGAAGAGTACGTTATCAAGGTAGTTGAAAAGCTTTTAAAAGGATGAGGGCCGTATTCTAGCAGATCAGAGCCGGGGATCATATGGGGGAATAAACAAGCAATCTGTTGAGAACGTTTTCTGTCAGAATATTGCGAACCCCTTTTCCATGCATGGGAAAGCTCTGCCCTCGGATTTGTTGGTTATATGTTCTCTTTATTATGAGACCCATCATAATAAGCGACACTTATATCGATTCTCAAAGCCCTTTCAGTTCCTTTCCTCGTTCCGGAGCAGAAGACATACATAATAAGCGACACTTGGGCAAACCTATAAATACCAGTATATTCTATACATATTGTCGAACCCTTCCCTTCCCTCTTAGGTCTGGTTATATGCAGTATTCAGCAGAACTGTAATACTTCGAGACAGACAAGTAGCTGTTTTCCGCTATGACCTTAAATCCATCCCTTGCTGATCAAAATTCCTGAACTCCAAAATGCCGCACCACCTTCCCCATGACCTGATAATCCAATAGACTTGTTGGCCAATGTAAGGGATAAAGGGGTTCTGGACCCTTTGCACTTCCAAGGATACTCTTGCAATAGACGCTTCCGCGTTTACCAAAAAGACCACTTATGACAACCTGATCGGTTGTCATACCAGAGTTTCCACTTATGCCTCTTATTCCACGAAGTCCTGTATTTCCAATTCAACCCAGTATTGAATCCGCTACAGCCAATCCCCTTAGATTGCTTATTATTGGGTACTGAGCGGAGGTAAATTCTAAAATATAGAAACATCTCAGTGGCTATTATGTGTGAAAGCGTGAAGGATCTATTTCTTAATTACCCCAGAGCAAGGGATATATATGTATTGCGCTAGGTCGGAAGATGATCTAGTACAGGACCCTTCTCTCACTGCATGTCATCGCTAGTCTAGCCACCAGCCCGCGGAAAGAATTATTGGGCATATCCAAGTCCAACTTATACTCTTGATTCCTATGGATGAAAGCTGCAAGATTTTCATGCTGCAAGGTGGATATGCGCTCTATCATATTGATCAATCTGTCCATTCTGGAGGTAGTACGGCGGCTAGTGCTGTTATTGATAGTCTTAGTTGGACCAAGTCATGGATCCTACAGTATATTATCTCTTCCTGTAGGTCAAGCAGTGAGATGACTAGTGCAAGACGACTTAAACACTGGTATACGGAGTACTACACACTCGATCCGAGCTACGGTCTGGGTTGCACCTAGACTAGGGTTCTATCAACGGAGATTTAAGCTTCCACTTGGGAAAGAGTGGGACCGATCATCCTAGAGCTGAATAAATGAATCAAATAAGATATATCAGACCTGTTTGAAACGGAAAAAGCAACCAAAATCCCCCGGCCGCCGACAAACTAGCATAGTTATAACCTCCTCTGGTCAGTTCTCTGTCCATATTGGTGTTTTTGTTTGTCGTCGTATAACATACCCTTCAAAGACGTCTTTTCTACATCGCATCATTATGGCTATCAACAACGCCGGTGGATCGGGTGTCGGTAACCCTCCGGAATTGACGGAAGGCCGTCCTAAAACAAATGGCATGCTTGCATCAAAACCAACGACAATCCTGGACAATGCAAATCCACCTCCATTCCCCCCGGATGATGGAAAGGCTCAAAGTCAATTGGCCTCCGGCAAAACCCAGTTGGCCATCACGGGCATGGCCATGAGACTTCCTGGGGGAATCCGAACTGCAGAAGGCTTTTGGGACTTTCTGATGGAAGGCAAAGATGGGCATTCCCCGGTGCCCGAGTCTCGCTATAGTATGAGTGCGCACCATAGCAAGACCCGGCCCCAATCGGTCCGGATCGAGGGTGGCTACTTTCTCCAGGATGACCCTTCGAGATTTGACGCGGGTTTCTTCAACATCCCACCGCGGCTTGCAGCTTCACTGGATCCCCAGCAGCGACTTTTACTCGAAGTCGCATGGGAGTGCATCGAGAATGCCGGGGAGTCACAGTTGCGCGGGGGAAATGTCGGGTGTTTCGTTGGAGCGTTTGGGAATGACTGGCTAGAACTGTCGATGCAAGATCGTTTGGACTTGGAGCGGAACCTTACCGGTTGCGCGCAAGACTTTTGCTTAGCAAACCAAATCTCACGCATGTTTGATCTCATGGGGCCCAGGTCGGTAATTTATGACCCAGAACCGAATTGACGACTGACTATTTTCAGTGTTACTTATCGAACGGCTTGTTCATCCTCTATGACAGCCTTACACCACGCCTGCCAGGCCTTGGAAGCGGGCGAATGCGACACAGCTATAGTGGCAGGAATCAATCTGATTCTGTCCCCTACCACAGCTACGTCCATGTCGACTTCTCAAGCCCTCTCTCCAAGTGGGCTATGCAGGACTTTCGACGCAGACGCAGATGGATATGGCCGGGGAGAAGCTGTGAACGCCATCTTGATTAAGAGGCTGGATGATGCATTGCAAAACAGTGACCCTATTCGGGCTGTGATTCGCGCGACCGCAATAAATTCCGACGGCATGTCGGCAGCGATTGGTGTCCCCCGAGCCTTGGGCCAAGAGAAGGTCATCAGGAAAGCCTACGAAAAAGCAGCGATTGATGATTTCTCACAGACGGCCTTCTTCGAATGCCACGGAACAGGAACTCAAAAGGGCGATGTCGCCGAAACGTCCGTGGTAGCAAAGGTTTTTGAAAAAGGAATTCTGATGGGCTCGGTGCGTCTTGCTCTTTGCTTACCATTGACTATTATCAATGTGCAGTACTGATTTTCGACAATAGGTCAAACCAAATTTCGGTCATTCCGAGGGTGCTTCAGGTCTCACAAGTGTTATCAAAGCGATTCTAGCTCTTGAACACCGGATAATCCCACCTAACGTGCATCTCAATCATCCCAACCCGCGAAGTAAGTAAGAGGAGGGTACACACCCCTTCAACGTCAATTATCATGACTGACTTTACAAAGTTCCCTTCGAAGAAGCCAGACTGCGAGTGCCCCGCCAGCCAACCCCTTGGCCGGATGGTTGTACTGAACGAGTTAGCATCAACTGTTTCGGAGTGGGCGGTGCAAACGCGCATGTAAGATGTCGAATTTATTAGGCACTTTATTAGACTAACGAATCTTAGTTAATCCTTGATTCAGTGTCTTCCTTTTGTGCGACGGAGACACACATCCATGGCAGCAAAAGTTCCGAGGGAAAGAAGCTCCTGATAATATCAGCCAACTCAGAGCAATCCCTTGAAAGGCGCCAATCCCAGATACTTGAATATCTCCGAAGGCGCCCATATACACTGCAGGACATCTCATATACACTGGGACTTAGGCGGGAGCCCCTGCGCTTTCGCAAATTCTTCGTGGCGGATGGCACGTCGGCAAGTCAGGGTCGTCAGGTCCAGCTATCCTCCCATGGCGCACCTTGGGAAGTAACATTTGTGTTCTCTGGTGGCCAGGGAGCGCAATGGCCAGAAATGGGCAATCAATTACTTACACAAATCAAGGGTTTCCGGAATGACATCAAACAGATGGACAATATATTACAATCCCTGGATCGCCCACCTGGCTGGACAATCGAAGGTACGAACTATCTGACATTAAACTGAATATCTCTGACCTAAATACAGAGGCCTTGTCCAATTCCAGACCTGCATGGATGGACGAGGATGAATCTGCACAGCTGTTATACACGGCAGTCCAGATTGGGCTTGTCAACCTGCTTTCCCATTGGGGGGTTCGACCAAGTTCCGTCGCAGGGCATTCCAGCGGGGAGATTGCCGCGGCTTATGCAGCTGGTGCCATTTCATTACATACAGCAATAATTTTGAGCTACTATCGAGGGCTGGCCGCAAAGCTACATAGTGAGCCCGGTGGAATGGCAGTTTTGGACCTGGGTAAAGCAGAAGTTCTGCCCTATCTGACAAACGGAGTTACGGTCGCTTGCGAAAATAGCCCTTTTAGCGTGACTCTGTCGGGAGCACCAGATAGATTGGAGGAAAGTATGAGACTAGTCTTGGCTGACCATCCGGATTGTCTTTGCAAACGCCTTCCTGTGAAGGTTGCGTATAATTCAGGTAAATTTTTTCACATCCTCTGATCGTTTCCACGAATAATCGAATAGCCAGGCTGACTCTTAATAGAGGCCATGTCAAAGTCTGCGCGAGAATATGCTAAGATGATCTATTCTCATCTTCGCCCCAATGAGTCTATGATTCCAATGTTCTCCAGCGTGACTGGTGAAGAAATCTCATGGCCCGATGACCTGAATACGAAGTACTGGCGTCAAACCATGGAGTCGCCCGTTATTTTCAACCAGTCAATTACCGGCCTTATCAAAGGTAGCCCACAAAACCGGGTTTTTATCGAAGTAGGGCCCCAAGCTCTCTTGTCGGGTCCGATGAAGCAGATCTTTGAATCGTGCGGTCGAACATCGCAACTCGCGTATCTACCCACGCTTTCGAAAAGCAAGGAGCCATTGGAAAGCTTGTTGTGCACTGCTGGTGAACTCTACTTGCATCATAGTCCACTTGACTTGGGGGCCATTAATGGTCGTGGCAACGTCCTGACAGATCTTCCTCTATATCCATGGGATCATGACAAGCAATATTGGTACGAAACTCGGATAACTCGAGAGTGGAAACACGCCCGGTTCCCAAATCACCCGCTTTTGGGCTCTCTATCACCAGAATCATCAACAATCGAGCCTTGCTGGAGAAATAGGCTGCAGGTAAAACATGTTCTGTGGTTGCGGGACCATAAGGTTGAGAATGAAATTGTGTACCCATGTGTTGGTTACATTTCCATGATCGGCGAAGCGATTCGGCAAGTTACTGGCTCTACATGTTGTTCAATTCGGGAACTGTTCATGAAAACACCGATGAGCCTGAAAGAAAATACCGTGACAGAAGTTATCACAAGTCTCCGGCCTCAGAGGATTACGAACAGCGCCGATTCAGCATGGTACGATTTCACCGTCTCTGCCTATGATGGAAGCAAATGGCAGAAGCATTGCTCAGGCCAAGTCAAGGGAGGCAGAGATGCCCAATGGAACTATGATTATGACACTCAGGATTCTGTCCGGAATATTCGCAGTGTTGATCCCGACGTGTGGTATGATGCAATGAAGAAGCTGGGGCTGGATCTTGGGCCGAATTTCTGCAGACTTGAGGATATCACTGCCGATCCGATGAATTACCAAGCTACTGCTACAGTTGGCACCAATAGGCATTCTGATCCCGGTGGTGAGTACGGTATCAATCCGGTGATGATCGATCAAGGTCTCCAACTGCTGGGCGTTGCCTCATGTAATGGTCTTTCGCGCCGGCTACCTAACATGGGTATCCCCATTTCCATTAACCGAATCTACGTTTCAGAATCATCTGAGCCCATATGCCTCCAGGCAAGGTTTTCCAAGGGCGACACTGGTGCGCTGAAATCTGCCTTGGGAGGATCTGTGACGGGGCATTCAAATGGACGGTTAGCTTTTGCCCTTGGAGGAGTAAAGTTCTTTCCTGTGAATAAGCCGATATCCACGGGAGCAAAGGTCCCTTTGGGGTCTCGCCTGGAGTGGAAGCCAGATATCGACCTTCTGGATGCAAAAGACTTTTTATTCAAGTCAATGCCGCAAGCTCCATACATGGACCTGGTGGTGAAGTTGATGATTGTCGTCATTATGAAGTTCGTTGATAGAATGGGAATGGGACCTTCGTCTTTTATCTCCACACAATCTCAAGCGTGGACGGAAGCAAACCTCAAGCGAATTCAAGAGATTCTAGGGTCCTTTTTCCCGAAAGCTGTTGACTGGCTATCGGATCCGATTGCCCTCCAGTCAAAGCTAATCGCAGACTTCACTGCTGCTATGGAATCCTCGGAACCCTGGGTCCAGCCTATCCAAAGCTACCTGACGAAGGTACTCGATGTGCTTGACGATCAGGTACCTTTTCCAGAGCTTTTCATAGATCACAGAGGCTTAAAGTCTCTATATGAATTCGCTGCAACAATCGTCGATCTAGGTTATGCGTTCTCATTACTTGGTCATCAAAATTCCTCCATGGCTATACTCGAGATCAACTCAGGCACATGCGGTACCACTTCAGGGGCATTGGCTGCCCTGCGGTCTGAGGAAGGGACTCGTCTTTTTTCCAAGTACACCTTTGCGACCCAATCATCAGACCTCCTGGCCGAAGCCAGTGAAATATTTGCGGATATTGACGGGTTCTCCCCTGTTTCTCTGGATTCGAACTCTCGGATCTCGGCCCAAGGATTTGAGCCGAAAAGTTACGATTTAGTGATCATTCCTAGCGTGAGTTTACTTTGCTGATTGTGGTGGCCACTCGAATCCCTTCAAGTGTAATATTAACAAATGAAACTACAGAACTTGCCGTCGATTATCTCTTCAAAGAGGCTCTCGCGCGACATTCGCTCTCTGCTTATTCCAGGTGGCCGCGTACTGGTCCGTGAAGTAACTCCAGGTAAGTAGAAACATGAGCTTTATTGCATTGAGATAGGCGATTTCTGACATCCCGTAGATGTTCCCTTTATCGACTACTTGATGGTATGACAAACCCCCCTCCCCTTTCTCCTTTGCTTTAAGAATGATTCTCTAACATAGTCACAATGGAACGGCAGAGCTTGATTCCCACACCATTTTCTTCTTTCACAAGCGACCTACACTTGACAAGTCCGTATTCCGCAGATTTTTGGGAGAATCAACTTCTCGAGGCTGGCTTCATGAAACCAGAGTTCCACACTTGTGCCATGTTTGTGTACCCCTGGTCAATGAAACAAGCTATCCTGGCGAAGGTTCCACAGAAAGAGCCCAGGAAGAAAGATATATACCTTCTTTGTCAAACACCACATCATTCATGGGTCGATATTTTGACTCGCCAATTCAGCCAACAAGGGTACAAAGTTCATTCTACCACGCTGGAAGATATGCCAGAGCAAGAAGGGGATGTCATTGCTTTGTTGGATTTGGAAGTTCCGTTTCTACGGGAGATATCTGCGGAGAAATACAATACCCTTTTGAAGTACGTATCACAAAGGAGGCGAACGCTGTGGGTCTCCAAGACCTCACAAATGAAATGTGATGATCCTTCCTCTGGCTTAATCACTGGGTTTGCAAGGACCATTCGGCTAGAAGCTTCGATCGAATTCGCAACTTTCGAAGTGGATGATTGCACTGATTCTGCGGCGAAGGCCGTAGTCAATGTATATCAGAAATTCCACCGACAGTCTCAGAAAAAGCAACGAGACCCTGAGGTCGAGTTTGCTCTGCATAATGGCATCGTCCATGTCGGACGATTCCACTGGCTGCCCCTGGAACAGCTAGCCCCTTCTCCTAAGCCAGATTCCCCAATGACTCTTTCAATCGCAAAGCCTGGAGGTTTGGATTCCATTACTTGGAAACAGCAGCAGATTCATACTCTAGGTGAGGATGATGTCGAGGTGGATGTGCATTACGTTGGAATGAATTTCCGGGTATGTAGATACGATATTATTCCAAGGCGATATTATGCTTAGCATTATAACTAACCAAACAGGACATAATGGTAACTTTAGGTACCATTGATGGGGAACGTGGCCTCGGGCTTGAAGCCAGTGGGCTTATCCGCAGGGTTGGTGGAAACGTTAAGCATGTAAAACCCGGGGATGCTGTCAGCGTGCTCGGGACCGGGCTCTATACCTCACGATTCGTGACGTCCAGCAAGATGTGCTTTCCGATTTCAAACGGTATATCCCTAGAGGATGCAGCCACTCTCCCTGTTGCGTACGGAACGGCTATTTATTCTCTTCTCACTGTTGGACAACTGGAAAGAGGGCAGGTGAGAGAACTGAACACTTTTGATACGATGAAAGAAAAAGGAACCAAACTAACGAGAGAACCATAGTCTGTGCTAATTCATTCGGCATGCGGTGCAGTTGGACAGGCAGCAATTCACATTGCTCAAATGATGAAGGCTAATGTAAGAGTGAGATTTGCAGAGTGATAAAAACTTGTCTTGACCAAATTTACAGATTTACGCTACCGTGGGATCGGACCTTAAGGTGCAGTACCTCGAGGATACCTTCGGAATTCCACGTGCGAACATCTTTTATTCCCGAGACACCTCCTTCGTCGCCGCGGTCATGGCCGCAACTGAGAATCAAGGCATAGACCTCGTACTGAACTCGCTAGCGGGAGAGCTGCTCCATGCGTCTTGGAGCTGCGTGGCCAAGTTTGGCAAGATGGTGGAAATCGGGAAACGCGATTTCATTGGCCATGGCATGATGAAAATGGAGCCTTTTGGTGCCAATCGCACCTTCATCGGCGTGGACCTCCTGCAGCTCGCTCTGGAGAGCCCTGTCCGGTTTGCACGGTGAGTACTCTGATTTTCCATGAACGGTAAAGACTGAGCTAAACCGCGTTATCTTTTTTTATCAGATTGGGTGAAATGTTCACTCGACTTAGTTTGAGTGGGAAAATCAAGCCAATCCACCCGGTGAGGATCTTTGATGCATCCGAGACTCGAGAGGCATTCTCCTACATGCAACGTGGAAGCCACATTGGAAAAATCTTGATTCGATTCGCAGGCGCGAATGCCGTGGCCAATATTCCGAAAGGGATCACCGCCACATCAGCAATGTCTTTCAGACCAGATGCCGCGTATCTCCTTATCGGTGGCCTTGGTGGCATCGGGCGTGCCGTGTCGAATTGGCTGGTGGAAAACGGAGCCCGTCATCTGGTATTCCTATCTAGGTCAGGAGCGCATCTGCCAAGGGAACAGGATTTCCTCGAAGAGCTTCGCTCTCAGGGCTGCCAGCCAGTCACAATCATGGGAAGTGTGGCAAACATGGACGACGTAGAACGCGCAGTGGCTACGAGTCCCAAGCCAATAGCCGGTGTGATTCACCTAGGCATGGTTTTGAAGGTGAGTGGGAGCCCAATTGATGCCCTGTCACGGAGAAATTACTAATAGAATGTTATCTATTAGCCTGCACCTCTTCTGGAGACTGACTACGACGACTGGAAGGCAGTCCAAGATCCCAAGGTCAAGGGTGCTTGGAATCTGCACTGTGCCCTTGGCTCTGCGACTCTAGATTTCTTCGTGGTCCTGAGCTCTATAACTGGTGTTTGCGGTAGCATTGGACAAGTGGGCTACTCGTCGGCCAATGCATATCTCGACGCATTAGTACGCCATCGCCGGTCTCTGGGCCTGCCTGCCGCAACACTCAATCTAGGTGCGGTTGGCGATATTGGCTGCTTCACTCGGGAACCGGAATGGCTGGCCACTCTTCGTCAGTGGGAGTTACGATTGTTGGATGAAAGGGAGGTAATTGAAGCTCTGCAGGCAACTATACGTATAAGTCGGACACCGTGTGGCAGCCATGGAGTATCTGCCTCTGGCCAGGTGATTGTGGGAATGAGCACTACTCGAACACATGCGGATCCGGTATTGCGTATCCCTTGGCACGATGCGCGGTATCGGCTCTATGCTAACATTGGACCGACAATGGGGAATGCCAAGGAACATCGAATTGTTGATCAGTTGAAACGGTATATCATTCAGGCCCAGCAAAGCCCGGTGATGCTGAAAGAGCAACAGGCGTACGATCTTCTTCTTGAATACATCGGACATTATATGAATTTCAATATCAGGAACCAGACCGAGGTGGCCCAGATCGCCCAAATGTCTATTGACTCGATTTTCCTGATTGAGGCTGTAGGTCACTTCCGGTCCGCCTTTGAGATTGAAATGAGCATGACCAGTCTCTCCGGCGCCACCACCATCGAAGATCTTAGTCGTGTGTTCCTGGCGGAACTATATCAGAGAGCGATTGGCCCGAAGGAAAGGGATTCCCTATGAAGCGGTCCTGAACGACCGATTGAACAGGGGTATATGATACAGTTTGCTCGCTTAGAGAAAGAGGAGTTTTGCTTGTAATTAAGCTTGCTCATTGCCTAGCCTAGAATATAAGATCTAAGAATTGAAGATTCAAGAGGATGCCGCAAACCCCAATCAAGACAACATTATCAATGAGATCATCTTGACAAGGATGGAAGGATGGAATTGGGAGGTCGTACGCAGTCCCATAGACGCCAAGGGTCAACCCCATTTTTAGTAAATCATTTTGGCCTGCAGGCCTGAATTCAGACCAGCAGAAGAATTAAAATACCTGAATTGCTATTACATTTGCCTTAATAAGCAAGGTACTGTGGTTTTATCAGCTGTCTCTAGTGCATGGTAAAATGAAGCTTTTTACACCATAAATATTCCTACATCTCCATTTTTCTAGGTGGTTTACAAGCTCTCTCGCGGCATGTATGAAAATGAAGCTTTTCATGCCATACAAAAGCTTCATTAAGAGCTGTAAACCACCAAAAACAATGGTGATACATGAATTTGTATGGGACGAAAAGCTTCATATCAGTATGAATAAATTACATTACGTTGTATAGAGCGGTGTAATAACTACATGTTAACTAAGTGGTCGAGAACCAAGGCAAAATTAGGCATTCGGGCACCAACGATAAGCCTAGATGGGGTTTTGACCCCTGGCGTCTATGGGACTGCGTAGACAGCTCCTTTTACCAGGCTAGTATAGAAATTTTAGTGTTTATGTATCCTAAAAATATGAAGTTATCAAAATCCCAACGTTGACAGGAAGGTTGGTCTTGATGTTTCCAATGTTGATTAGTGAGCGGGGTGAGTCACGCAAAAGCCACAGCCCTAGAGCCGTATAAAAACCTCGAAAGTTTCGACTTCACCAATATCTCGCACCCTAATAAGCAGTAATTCGGCGATTCAAATCCCAAATCGACAAAATGGCATTGGAATTTACTCTTCCTACGGCTTTGATCCTGATAGACAACCAATCAGGTTTCTCCGACCCAAAGACAATATCCCATTGGGGCACCACACGATCCAACCCGAGTTATGAAACCAACCTTCAAGCACTTCTCTCCACATTCCGAGCTGCGAGATCTTCATCTTCCACGCCGCTGGAGGTGATCCACATTTTCCACTCCTCCACATCCCCGGAATCTCCGTTCCACCCCTCCAACCCTGAACAGGGTATTCGTCCTCTAGACTTCGCCACCCCTGCCTCAGATGGGTCGGAGCCTGTCTTCTGGAAAACTGTCAATTCTTCTTTTATCGGAACTGGGCTTGAAGCGCATTTGCGTGAAAAGGGCTTTCGTCAGCTTATCATTGCTGGGTTGACGACTGATCATTGTATTTCAACTACTGTGCGAATGGCCGCTAATCTCGGGGTTGTGGATCGGTATCTTGGAGATGGGCCCGTCCGGCTGAGATCGGATGGGACTCATGAGAATGACGTGAATGTTGATAAGGGGCGTATTGTCCTTGTTGAGGATGCCACGGCTACCTTTGGAAAGGCTGGAATTGATTCGGAGACTATTCAGAAGGTTTCTGTGGCTAGCCTCGATGGTGAGTTTGCGGATGTATTTGCCACAGAGGAGGTTATTAAGGCCTTGACCAAGATTCAAAGCTAGCGTGATAGTGTCTCAGCATATAATGGTCTTAACTCCTGAATTCATATGAGACTCAATCTTCTTCACTCAACCCCCAGGCTACCTCAGCTATTCTGTTCGGCCTAACTTTGATTTCCTTTGGTCTGGTTCTCAGTTCTACCTCTTCCCACTTTGGGCTCTATTTCGTTGAGAATCAAACTACGTTGATCGAGAGACCTGTGCAGCCGGTGCGAGGGTTGATGCTTTCGAGAAGATCGGGGAGGGCGTGGAAGGGGCGTGCCTTGTTGTCGTTAGTGTTGTTCATCATATGTAGCGGTTCATGGAGTTTTTCATTTGAGAAGTACGCGTTGGGTTATGGAGAACATATTTGATGGATGATTCAGGTATTGTGTGGCGTTTGAGTCCGTGGGGGCAAATGTATTGGCGCAGAACGGCTGCGGGATCTGGTGTGCAACAGTTTTTTTCAGGATAGAAACTGTTGGAGAGGTCTCAATTTGTAGGAAAACCGTAAATAGCAAATGTAGGGCTCTAGGCAAAAAGTGACAGCGTGACGAGATCTCTACACAGAGATGTGTGTATATCTATCGGCAGGTTCAATGGCGACAACAAGTCGCGATCCCGAGGTTGTTCACCTTTCCTGAATAGGTAATTTCCGGACTTGGCGGGAGTGCAGGGCTTGGCACCACCCACGGGTATGCTGACTAAGACCCAACCCAACCCACAGGTTGGGGTTTTGGGCGGGTTCCAAGGTTTTGGCGAGGCCTAGTCTCAACCATGTGTTCCACCTTAATATTCGACTATATAGCTAAACGCGATTTTCTGTCTGACGTCACTAAGCTGCTCCCGGTCTTTTAAAACAAGCTGCCTCGACGCTACAAAACTTGCATTGGAAACATACTCCTTACTTGAATCATGTCTCTACCTCTCATCACACCATGGGCAACACACGTCGAGAGTCAGCTTTGACCAAGTCCATTCAGTCTGGCTTGCTACGCGAACCAGACAAGTGCAAGAAGACACCCTGGGGTCGGTTTCTTGCTTTCTTCACCGTGCGACGAATTAAATTCGTCCGACATGAGCTGGAATTATTTGCACGGCTACGAAAGGAGATCTGGAACTTTGATGAATATGAGTATCAGGCGAGCTTCCGCACGACGAGCGGCCAGCCCCCTTTGAAAATGATGGGGGACTTGGGATACTCTGGTTCTGTGAGTAGTCCTCGTTACAACTGCAAAGAGATAATACTGACTTCTCATGATGGTAGACATTCTTCAGCAGTCTCGATGGCCACTTCGTCATCAAGAGCCTCCCTCGTCGTTTCGAGCATACCTTTTTCCAGGCAGAGCTCCTCGAGCCATACTATTATTACATGCGAGACCATCCAGACTCGGTCTTGGTATGGATCACAGACTATATTCTCTCTCCCTATGTGACTCTTGGTACTCTCTTTGGATGCACGCCAGCACACCATATTGTCATGGAGAACATCCTCAGCGGCAAAGCCGAGGATCCCAACGGCGAACAGTGGGAAACCTACGACCTCAAACCCATCGACTACTTCTACCCCGAGCGTGATCTTATCCCCGAACCTCTTGTTAGCGAAGAAACGCTGAACAGACTGGCGGATATTTTCAACGACAAGCTCCATCTGTGGAAAAAGGACTATGACGCTTTTATTCAATCCATGGTAGCCGATACAAAGTTCTTGGAAGAAGCAAATGTCGTTGATTACTCTCTGTTCCTGCTCAGAATGCCAGCTTCTTCAGAACCCGCTATTCTAGGGCGACAGAGTCCCTGGAGAGAAGGTCTCCCGTCTGCTGATGGAAAGTGGAAGTATCGGGCTGTGATCCTCGATTTTTTCTGGGCGCGCCACAAATTCCACGCGCAAGCAATGTCCGGGGTCGTGCAAACGTTCAATGTTGTGGGTCGCAAAGGTCCAATGTCTATTACGACGACGGCTGGCGAGTACCGTGAGAAGTTTCTGACGATGGTTAGGGAAATGATTCAAGTTCAACAATGATATCCTACGCGGCAGCTTGTTCTTGGCGTGTTCAGCGTATACTTTTAATTTGTATGTAAACGCGATTGATATTTCAAAGCTTTAATTCACCTTCTCAACCACCAAGCGATGCGCCATGTCAATATATGATTTTCTGGATGGTACCAATTCTTTACATACGGACGGCGTACAATTGTTGGATATTAGACTATCCACGTGCTGCATCAATAGTAAATTTTGGGCGGCTCCTGATTTACTAATTGGTCGTCATACGTAGCAACTCGTTCCAAGTTAATGTGACATACGAACTCAACAAATGCATTTCACGGCGGCAAGACCATTAGAGGTTTCATATTGCGCGTCTCGTCGTGTAATGCAACCTGCACCGCACGGAAATTTCACCTGCATTGCATATGCACGCCAATATAATATTCTATCACCATTCTCAATCTCTGAACCCCTGTTCAAAAATCTCGATCTATTCACTTCAGTTATTCAACCAACGTTACGCATCAGAGTAAGCACTATTGAGGAATACTGCTTCCGTGACAAAATTTTAAAACTCGCAGCGTTACCTTTCCATTTATTGCTTTCAATATGTCGTCAGCCGTTTCAATTTATGTCGCCATCCACGACGACGGGGGAGTTTACGAACACTGGGGTAGTTTCATCGACGAACACTACCTTAATCATCTATTTTCAATCCCTTATTCTAAAGAGATATGGTTGTTAAGATATAGCATTATGCGTTTTGGGGTGATTCGCTCGTACGTGATCCTAACTCTCTGTAGAAGTCCTAGCTGGGGATTCATAACATGGCAAATGGTTTTTAATTTTGTTTCAATCGCTGTAATCATGACTAGGGCTATAGAGGCTACATAAGTGCTCCATGCAAAATCATCCCGAACACCGTCAATCTCCGGTAACTCCGATAGACCAAAGGCCAATTTTGTGCGTCCATCTTGCCTTCAGCCAACCGGTAGCCGAGGCTAGGCATACAATCCCCCCAACGATCTGACCAAACTCGAGGATTCCACCTCTTGTAAATTCGAGGTTTCTTTTCCTTCAAGGCCTCTTCCACTTTCCATGGTTGTGAGTCGTGCGAGGCACGAACGATATGGTGAAGCATGATCAACAGGTTGTGTCTTCTTTTGGCCGCAATTAAACTTGGGTCATGCTTTAGAACAATCTTTCGGTGTTTCTGAATGTACGCAGTAAATTGGTTTTCGTATTCCGACACCCAGCTATCCTGGAACCAGTTTTGGAAACGTTCTAGGCGAAGAGCCCCAGCCGTTTTACCGGGAATATCATCGAGCTTTCTATCAAGAAAGATTCGGGTATCTGTGAGCCAATTTTTAGGTGCTGTAGCAATGCAACACCAGTCGTTCGATGCACAATCGTTTCCATATTTGTATAGAAGAGACTGAGACTTCTCTGGTAACTCGCGCTCCGTTGCTATCGTAGCAGAATAGGCCGGTGATATTCGATAATACCAATTTGAAAGGCACGTGAAAGGAATGATCGCAATATCATGATCGGGGCGATATCCGTTGGTGTATGGGATACTCTCTTGTGGTTTCTCATCACTTGACCAATCCTCTAGTAGGCTCACCCATACTGAAGGAGCAGAAGGCGTTGTTTTTAATATATCGACGAGTTGGTTGACTTTCTGCCAAACTTGAATGATTTGACCTGGATCTCCTTGAGGGGGAGGTAAAATGTTGATGAACATTTTCCCCCCGACTTTGGCCCAAGGAAAGGTGTGAAGATGGCTGCGAACAGCTTCGATATTTTTTAAGTCCCATCCGTGGCTGTGCGTTTGCCTGGTAGTGAAATTGAACCTCAGCCCGCCCGAAACTTGGAACTCGTGTTCAAAGTCCCCGAAAAGATGATCTGATATCTCTCGATACAGATACCGATTGCAACGCAGAATAGCCAAAGCACAAGGGGCTGAGTGTATTTCATCGAAGACAGATTCCCATATCATCCAACGAAGTTCAAGCGGGAGGTTTATGAATGTCCCCAGTTGCGCAACGCCGGGATCTTGAGGCGCGGGCTTGTCTTCGGCACGATTCATGGTGTTTTGTTAATTGTAGAAATGATAAATGTCAAGATGAGGAAAATCTTTTAGCTATCACACACACACCCGTATCGGACCAATAATCACTGACCTTTGTGTCGTGAAAGTGTCTCCACGTAGGTTAAAAGGTTGTAACAGGGGTGAGATTCCGATGAAGTTTGATGAAATTCAGATTGGTGGTGTGTAGGAAGCTAAGTTATTGCTCTGATGAAACATCAGATATGATCCAGCTATGAGTCAAAATTACTTGAAATGGTTGCGGTCCGGACCTTCAAATCATGGTATGTCCAAAACTATCTTGTTCAAAACAGTCTAGTAGAAAAAAAAAGCCTTTTCCGCCTACCATGTCACCGCTCACACCCCCGAAGTCATGATGTTATAGTAGAAATCGTACTAAACCCGCCCACGGGTCTCTAGGGCTGGCAGACACCTGACCTCAACTGCCTAGGTCCGCCCAGGTGCGGGAGTTGAGTCAGAATTCGATACTACCCGTCTACGTAAACCCGTGGACCTACCTACATATGTAGGTATTTATATGTCATACCTAACGGGTATGTACCTAGGTAGCCTTGGAATTTGAAGTTGGAATAATGGATCTTCTGTAATCCTATGCTCCGCTTAGGCCACTAGTTACCTACTCCTAAGGGATTACATAAGAGCATTTAACAGCCCTGGAGGTATAAAGTATGGATCCGCGCTGTCAAGGAATATAGAGAGGCTAACAGGGCTCTAGACGACCCATATTTTCTAGTGCTCCGGCTGAAAAGCAAAGCCCACGATGTGCCGAGCAGCGCATTACTGCCCAGGAAGTACCCGCTGCTAGGCTCCAGGATATAGTTCCCCAGCAGGTTGAAGTTCATCGGCAACTTCGCTCCAGGCTCAGCCAGTAATGACAACCAAGCACATCGAGTGCTTGCCATTCCACCAATGGACCGACAGGTGGCCAAGAGACATGAAGGTGTTCAAGGTCTCTTCCAACAAAATTACTCAACGAATGAACTGAACGCCAGGCCAACTGGACTAACTAACCAGGAATCACCCGAGTCACAGAAGTTGCAAATCCATGAAATCCTCGCAGGATGTTCCTCCCTCCAGGATGGAGCTTATGCGGCCTCTGTCCCTGACGATGTGGTTCATTTGTCTCAAAGTTCTATTTGGGATGTTATAGTCAAGATCTATATCGAAGTGCATGGTTGCTTGAGAAATGAGATTGTTGTTAGAACCTATTCAGATGGAGGCTGTGCTGATTGATTATGCCTGGAACGTCCCTGATGCACGCGAGGCCGAGGTCTTGAATGCCATGACTACGATTATCCACAGGCTTCACGTATGTTCCTTCCCCCCGCTTGTTTGGCTTGATGACTGACAATGCCCTTTATTTGATGGCCTGGCACATCGCATGTACCTTGCTAACAAGTCAATTAGAATCTGGTAGATTCTAAACCACTGGATTTGACATTTGACACCTCGACGATCAAGAAATCAAGACGTTGCAGTCCCCCCACTAAATGAAACTTTTGATCTTGAACTCGTTACAACAGCTGTTATATCTAATGGCATCGGGCTAGTGAAAACAGTCCAAAATAAATTTCGCCCTTTCAGTATGTTTATCATGTCAGACGTCCTTCAACTCTCTATTCCGTCAGCGCGATGCCATTCCATGAAGCAAATCCCCACAAATGACCAACTGGAATGTTCGAGGTTGCAGTTACCTAGGTTAAGGCCCTCCCTCACTGTCCATGTCAACCAATCTTCATTCTAATCCTCATACTACATATCCATAGTAAAACAGCGGGCCTAAAAGCCAGCACGAATTGCACAGAAGAGCAGAAGCCACCATGCCTCGTCACCAAAGTCTTCTTCTTCTGATACATCATCCTTCTCTTAATTGCCTCCATTTTCCCATCAAAAAAGCACTAACATCATCTATGTGACCATTTATCCTAGTGAACTTGCTGCACTTAATAATGGAGTTTGCTACTTTATCAGCCAATCAGCACTATATGTCATACTACATGCTTCTGGGAATACTCCTTCTACTGCCCACGATCTCCTAATCAGGCCCTGGAGGACCGCTAATGCCAAAATCCAAGTCTCTCTACGGAGTAGATTCCAACTTAGATCCTCCGTTCACCTCAAATCATGTACTCTTCCATAAGCAGGGTCCTTGAATCGCCTCAACAGAACCCTTCAATGGGCAATCTTGAAAAACAACCTGAACGGCAATGAAAGCGACTTTCAGACGGCCAAATGCCAATCTCTTCTTGATTGAATTATATTCTCATCAGATCACATTATATGCCCCGGCGACTAACTACCTGTTCCATTCACTGTCTAGTTTGGATATCTCCCTCTTATTATCCGCAGGGAGTTCCAAATACATGTACGTGTCCCTGCGCAACTCAGAGCGCCCATCTCTGGCACCCCCTGGAAGCTCAGGCATCGGCTGCACTGGGCGTATTACAATCTCAGCCTCACCCAATTTCACATTCTTTTGCTTCTTGTTCCTTGAAATGAAGAACCACAGCAGGCCTATAATCAGGGCTAGGCCAGCCACACCACCGACAACCCCACCCGCGATGGCACCCCTAATCGCTGGGTCGGATGTGCTAACTTTCTTTGACTCGGATGTGGAAGAGGGTTCGTTATTAGCGGTAGTACTGGTTGCTACCTCACTCTTTCCAAATAGGGATTTAAAGGCTGGATCAGCCCACGGTAAGGGAGATGGTGAGGCCTTGATATCGCTGGCCGTCGAAGAAGATAGGGAAAATGAAGATAGGGCGGGCTGTGCAGCTATTAATTTGTTGAACTCGACTTCGAAGGGGGTAGAGTACTCACATCAAACGACGATCGGGTTGCCTCAGATTGAGCGTCATATATGAACGCTGGAGTATCGTAACAGCCTGCCTTGCCGTCATCTGCCCAGGCACGTCTTCCGCCAATTCCAAAGATCTGACGCCCGTATGTGACACATGTGAGAGTCATGCGAGGGTCGTCAAGAGGGGGAGCAGAATACCATTTGAAGGACGGAATTGATAAGTAATTTCTAAAAGGTGTCAGGCAGGTGCGTGGGGATCACGATAGAAAGCATACCACATACACATCCAGAATAGTGTCTTTGGATTTTAGATTTGCCCCTCCAAGAACATATATCTGATATGAGGGCGAGGATTCGTCGTGCTGTACGGAGGCGCAGAATTGTGTTCGGGACGCTACAGTACCCGTCGTGGACTGGTTATACCATTTTGCCCCAGCAATGTCATACACTTGGACATGGCTCCATGAGTTCTGGGACTGTTATTAGTATTCTGATTTTAATACAGGGATTCCCAAGGCTTACCGAGCTCATCGTAGCGTTGATTCCATCCTTAATCGAGGGAACATCGCCTCCGATATACACCAAAATTCCCCCGTCACCAACTGGCACGTATGAAAGCGAACCTTCTTGGACAGCTTCGTAAGGCCCGTCGAGAGACGTATACTGCCCGGTTGTAGTATTTAATTGAATCAGCCCCGTGCCGTACTCCTTCGTTGAGTCTGTGATTGAAGGTGTCGTACCACTATCCCGATAACCACCTATCCAAAAGCCAGCTTGAATAGCAGGCGCATTCGTATACACTGTCAGAAAGTCGATGTCAGAACCACGTCTCGGTATAATGATTGGATTTCAACATACCACCGTACTCCAGTCGCGAGGGCTGAATGGTGCCATCCTGTTTGCCCCACAATTTCTCTTTGACAGTCTAGGTCCAGATCGTGTCTTCGGAAGTGATGTTGTTCAGAAACCGGCCTCCATACTGGTACGATGTCGAGTTTTCCGCGTTGGACCAGAGCGCCATGTCTTTAATGTTGGGAACGTCGGGGTCTATCTTGGTCATTTTATAGTTCTTGCCCTCGGAGGTGGAGAAAGAAGACGTGAGATCGAGCGTCACGAGATAATTGTCTAAGGGGCAGCATAAGCACACCAGGTCAAATTGGTGAGAAACAGCTTCAATTGACTTACTCGAAGCGTCGCCATCATCTGGAATGAGTCCTCCATCCAGACCAACCATGTACAAAAAATTGTTGGCAATATCCGCTACAATCAATCAGCATCCGACAAAAATTGACTTTTCTCTACATACCTCCAAATCTGTAACTGCGACAAAATCCCCCAGATAGATCCGACAAAACTGTTCTCTTGGCAAGATTTATGACTCCAGCGTTTGCGAAGGAGGGAGCCAATACCCAATGGAACATAAACCACCAACCCGCCATCTTGGCCGTTGCGTCGTAGCAAGCACCCAAGTGCAAAAGAGAGTGGGAATTTTCCAGGGTCTAAGATGACACGGGCTGGGAAGCCCCATTTACTTAACAATCACGACAGCGCAACTTAATCTTATTATGTTGTATCAGGGGCGGGAAGAGTTCCAAAATTAGTCACATTAAGCGCTTGGGTCTTATGTTTGGAAGCCGTTTTGCTGAACACTGCATGACGCACGCGCCGTCAAGTTAACGTGGATATCCCGATTGGTTCAGGGTTTCTGATCTGCATACCCGGCCTTTCAGAAAGCCAGGTTTTTCTTCTCTTAAAACGGGAAAGTGGAAAGGTCAATCATTTGACACAGATGACTTTTAGCCATAGTGTCATAAGTGGCTGGCGCTTCGACATTCCGTTTGATCAATTGTGTGTTTTGGACGCGACACCATCAAAGTGACGTGCAGGAATTTTCAAGGCAAATGTTGCACAACATTTACCAGCGGGAGCTTGCTGGATTGTGAGTGGTTTATGGTAAATTATGTGAGAATTAATGGAGTCCGCGCGAGACTTCAAGTCATTCTTTTGATAGAATAAATACAACCATTAGCACGTATAGAGTACTCCGCAGTATCTCGTGGGACCCACAGTGTCGCGTGCATTTGGGAACGGATGTAAAGGGGACATTGATTGTGGACTAACCATAAGGATTTGAAGAGATAAATTATAGACAATGATCATTGTTTAAACCATTTAAATCGCACTGTCATATGATATCACGAGAACAGGACTTCCAATGCTGCCAATTTCGGGTATCGGCAAAATATATTCAATGCGAAATTTCTAGATAAACTGTTTTGTGAATACACCAAATCAGGAACCCGGAACAGAGTTCTGTCGGGCACAAGATTTCAAAAGCCAACGCCATCTATTCCGTCTTTTTCGAGGAGGGTTTGGGGATTTTTCGCGTCCGACGACGTAGCATCTCCACTCGCTCCTCCATGGTCCAGTTGACTTGGTCGCCAATGGGGATCAAACATTTAGCCAGGTAGTCGTAGTTCTTCCGAAGTAGGTTCACAGTAATGAAGATATAATCGACATTTCGGAAGACCAGGGCGTCTTCCTTTGCATAGCGGTCCTTTTGCGCAAGGAAAGCGACAGGGTGATCTCTCCAGTGGCGGCGCGGGTTGAGGTGGTGAGAAGTGTGGTAGCCATCATTAAACGAGAAGCGGTTACTCTGGTATTTGTCAGTCTCAGATCTACATGTTAAGCAGGCGGGTGGAAACTCACCGGAACATCAATCAGTGTGATACTGGACAGGTAATCCGAATCAGGGTCGGCCGGATCCACGAAAGCGTGTTGGCCCCAGTTACCGACCATCAATCCCAAGCGCATGACGGTGAGCGGAAGGATGAACACGAACGTGGTAGCGCGGGCATTGACGTAGTTGTAGAGCATATAAATAGCAACGTAGCTACCCACTTCCCAGAAGGCACATTTGGCTGCATACTTGAACTGCCCCTTTCTCCAAAAGTACATTGGGAGCTCCAGCCAAATGAAAAAGATGAACCGGCCCACATAGGTCAGGAAGTCGGGGATGCTGTCGCGGTCATAGTGCATCGTTGTACTCAGATCGTCCGTACCGTTACCCTCGACGTGGTGGTGCTTGATGTGGTGGTAAAAGTAAGAATTCCACGTATGGCCGTGCATGGGGTCCAGCAGGTATGGGAAAAGCATGTCGAACAGATATAATTTTGATGTCAGGACTCCATTCTGGTGGATGTGCTGGTGCTTCATCAGCGTGAAAGCGCCGCAATAAAATCCTTGCATGAGCCAGTGCAAGGCACCGTGGAGGTAAGAGAATCGGTAATATAGGAATGCGGCACTTGGGACAATAGTGGTGAAGTAGAGTATAAGGTGCGTTACCATGACCACGTCGGTCTGGTATCGCACGATTCCCTTGGCCCAGTTGATGTATGGCGTGAGCACGTACTTCTGGATAGGCGCGGGGAGCTTGGCCCGCAGCAGCGGGGTATCCCAGAATTGGGAGATGGTGGGATCAAATTCTACATGAGAAGGATCATTGAGATTGTGAAGCTTTTGGACTGTTTCTTCGGTGCTGAGCTTGTCCAATGGCTGTGCACTTGTTTTGCCTGGATCTGTGTTAGTTTGGAATTTGATCGACAATGCATGACTCCTGTGTTATTACCATCTGAACTGGGTTGAGGCTCAACGATAGCATCGATCACCAGTCGATCTTGGTAGGTGAGCTGGGGATCTGTGTATGTAGAGGGATCCATGATGTCTTAGTATGACAGAGCCTAGTCTTCTGGTCAATCCTGTCCAATGTCTAATCCAACGGGCGGACACTAACCCGTATCCAAGCAGCTGATTATAACGAACTTCTAAAATAATTTCCGGGATTTCCGGGCTTATAAAGATAATAGATGCCTAGCAAATAGGCTGGACAAGTCATCTAATAAGCAACGCGTCAGGGGCGCGAAGAGATTTCGGGACTCAACTGTGGGTCCTGGAATCGACAAGTTATGTGAAGCCAAAACAACATTTTGAACGTTTCTAACATTTGATCCAGTATTTTCAATTACAGCTCAAGCTATCCGTTGCCATCCGAGAGTATTCGATGGTCTCGCTGTCAATAACTTATGATTATGTTACTCCATATACTCCGTAGCATCCATTCCAATCTGATTCAGGGGGTTGACCGGGAAACATTTCCCCCTGAATATCCCAGCTTAACACTTTGTGGGGAAACCTCCAGGTAATGTACAACTTTTAATGTGTTAATATAGAACTATAGAGTAGCTTGATTTACAGAAAATAATCCACAGGTTTTGGTAAATAAGATGATTACGATAATTTACATTTTTTTTAAGGTAGCCCCTGGCGGAAGATCACTAAGAAAAATAAGCAGTCAGCCCATAACGTATTAAAGGTCTCGGGATAGAGGTTTAAAGCATAAGAATTTTGAATGGATGCTGCAAAGAAGCGTTGTGCTTTTTGGAAAATATGGCAAATATTTCGCAATAAAATCTGTCATTTTGGTATCAAGTTGTGACATATGGGCTGTAAGGATGAAAGATGAAAGAGAAGAATCAACGAAATACAAACAAAGCGATATCTGGCTTCAATATCCAATAGTTGCCAAGAAACTAGCATGGTTGAGGGGAAATCGGTGACTTCCTTCGATATATAAACTCAAATTCCTTTTCTATGCTAGACTTTAAAGACCTTGTTGTATAATACCTTGTCTAGGGCCGATGTATTCATGCTGCAACTGCACAGGAATCTTCTCTGTGTCCAGGACCAGCGTCAAACCCCGGGTTGGACCTGTCACAGGACGGCCAGGACAGTTCCCGTTGTCGAAAATGGAAACAATCAGGCCATTTTCGTGGAAGCGGGCATGGTACTGACCATTGAAGTCTGTTGCAGCGCCACCGGATAGGTCTTTGAACATATTTGCTTTCCCTCCTAGCTTCCAGATCGCAGCGCCTGTTTGACCGTCTATGTAGGCAATGGAGCTCATCATTCGACAGGAAATGAGATAATTGCCGAGATCGTCTTTCTCGATGCTGTTGACATGGAACAGATCCGGCGCAGTTTTTTTTTTTGCTTTTACCATCGCCCGGCACCAGGGGGCTGGAAATGATAGTACTCCTCAAAGCTATAATGGTCCGAAGCCCGCCACTCGAATAGCACCTCTCCTGTCTGGACTTCAATATCCTGGAACCCTGCATCCGGAATGAATTCGACTTCCGGTGGTGCCTCGAACGTCGTTTGGTTCACCACGAAGACACCATTGATAACTAGAAGTGCCGTCCCTGAGGGACTCAGGGTTAAGTCATGCACATCAAGCCGCCACCCGTTCCCCGAACGGATTTGGTACGCTTCCTTGTAGCGGGAGTTTATCTAAAGGACATTAGAATATTTCCCAATGCGATGTCGCCAATGGGCAACTTACAAACGCATAATAGCTTGACACTTCAGAAAGGGAAACAATCTAGTCCTCTCCTTGAAAGGATTGTATGTGTGCTGTGACATACCCGGTCGTGTGCCAGACACAATATTCGTTGTATCGAGGAGCATCATCCCAGAACGTTCACCTACTTTCCCCAGTAGGGCATAACAGTGTAAATACTCTCATTGTAACACTGTGCACTTTCCTCGTGAACATTCAGGATAGGCCCAATAGCATTAGATGAGTGGTACAGTTCGGTCAAACGCTCCAACGTCATATGGTCGCGATCGATATAGAGGAGAAATATCAGCCACTGACTTACATGTCAGTAAGAGCACCGCCGCGAGGTGAAAACATGGTTGCGCATCTGATAGTACCGCCGGATTAAAGCGTAACATGGCAATAGTATGAGATATGGCCTGCAGCCGATGTCGGGGGGCTATCCCAGCCTCCGCTGCGGCGCCAAGCTATGTGCAGGCGAAACCTTGGGGAAGTCTTGGGCCTTTTGTTTTGGTTGTCTTTATGGTAGCTTGTGTGATGCTAGGAACACCTTCTTGTAGAGCTTGTCAATTATCTAATGGATCTATTGTTCACAATTCTAACATTGGAAGCGAATGCCCAAGTTCTGGACTGGCGGAACGTCAGGTTCGCCGGACGGAAATATTGTTAATAACGTTATGTCGAGAATGCTTTTGTGGGAGCAGGGAATGCATGAATGTGTATTGAATTATCACATATTGAGTAGAATTGGTTGTTCTGAGACTATCTAAGGATATCTGAGCTAGAGACAGGACGTGACTTTGAACAAGTTGATAGCTGTTAGAATTCAAGGGAACTAATCGAACTGGAGGAGGACCTTGGGAGATACTTATATTATTGTATATTGTAGGTCCACGAGCATACTTTGGCACAATCCAGGTTTTGTATAATGTACTCCGTATGACCTTCAAAATCCTAGGACTACCATCTAGGTAAGATGGAGAACTGGCGAGTTAATTGTGATCTATCCAATCCAATTAATCCGAAAACCCCTGCACGGCCGCACCCACGTGTGCAGCTTGCAATACATTAATGACGTTATACCAATGGTGCCAACAAGGGCAGGTTTATTGGCTATAGAACCGACCCTGGTTACAAACGCACATCGCCATCTCGCATGCAATTAACTTTAATATAGGGGCTCAATATTGAACCCCAATGTACGATAATAGCCCCACCTGTTAGTGAGAGACAATATACATTTTAAGAAGGCACACGTTTCAATTGGAATATGAAATAAAACCCAGTGACCGATAGGGCAATATAGGAGTTAGTACGTTCGTATAGTGAGAAGTGTTTAGTTGTTGCCTTAGGCTTCCCATAAATAAGCTACAACACCATAGTTTGGTATAGTGGAACTAGGTTATTAACCTTTAAATAGTCGGCGATATTACTTCAATTTCGATGCTATGAGATTGGGATTTACAGAAGCAACCTTGGAATACCACACTTGAGATATGGGGCAGGGCACCTTTACATAGCGGTCTTCTAATGAAGCAACATGCGGACTCGGAGAACGTCTCGCACTCGAATCAATTGGAATTTATCAACAGCTTACAGTAAATCCCCCTCTTTGTCTCAGCCCATGTTCTTTTATAGTCATATAATATGTTGTAAATAGCGTGTTTCTTTACTTAGACCACTTCTCACCAACAGATTTCAGTCAATGGGCTCCGAGAAGGACGAAATTTGTCTCAGTCATCAAGAAGCGATGTTACAACGGACATTCGAAGAGGATGATAACATCCTGATTATTCTCATAGATGCCCGAAGCCGAAGAAAATGTCTCACATCCCCGCTGCCAATTCTCTAGTTCTTCGTAGTTGCTTACAACCCCAGTCCCACTAAGGCTTGATGTAGTAAGATTTTCGCCACCCCGACACATCACTGGTACAGACCCATTTTTTGTAGTTTCGTTGACATCATGACCTCCAGCGATCAATGCAATATCCGTTGGTGATGGGGTTAACCATGTCTCAGTGAATGTTGCTTCCCTCGGGTCATTCAGAATGTAAAACTCTGACTGGAGGGTCTATTCAGAAATGGAGCTCGTTATTAATTTTTAAACGAGTAAGTAATTAGAAAATCATCTGTAAAAGACAATGCTATGATGTGAATCTCCACAGTTAGAAATTCTTCAAAAGCAATCCGTGCACATAAATAGTGCTGGCTTCCCTCCTGAACGTGATATTTTTCACTTTCAACTCTGAACAAATCCCAGCCTCCAATCTTCAATCTCCAACCTCCAGCCTCCCTACAACTTCCAACCTCTTAACCCACCCTTCCTCTCACATCACCAAAACAATTACATCAAGAACATCAAGATGAAGTTCCTCGCATCCCTTCTTCTGCTGGCCACCTCTGCCATTGCAGCTCCTGTCGCTACTACCGCCAAGCGACAGGAATCGCAGCACTTCCACCTGAAGTCTACCGGCGCCACAAATGCAGATCACAACAACCTATATGTCTACTCCTACCACACGGGCGCAGGTCTCAGCGACGCCGTGCTTACCAACGATGTCAGCATAGCCAGTTCTATCTATCTGAATGGGACGAACGCACTCGTTGATTTGGGGACTGAATTCACTTGGGGACTGATCGCCACTGGCGACACCAATTATGCTTGTGAGTATCGCCACATACTTTGGAAAAGTCTTCTGTGTCACATTTCAGTCTGAACTAACCTGATCTTTTCATTTTCTTTAGCTTGGGAACCTATCGTTATCAACGCCGGCAGCGGCGGCAGCGAAGGGTACTCCATCAACGGCGACGACTTCCAATGGTCGGAAAACAACGGCTTCGGTGGATGGCTCGGTAAGAAAACCCCGCGTCTTTGTTCTTTGTCCTCATTTTTAAGACATGGCATTAACATCTCCAAAACAGTCTGTGATTGGTACCACAATGCGCCCCAGCTATTCTACTTGAACCACTACAGAACCGCCACCATCCCCTCCAGCTGCTCCCAGGTCCAGATGAAGACCGAATACATCTAGATATCCCCACGGTCGCATGGGGTGATTTGGCCCCCTTTAATGGCACTTTATGATCAATGGTCGGGAGTCAGGACTTCCTAATGTTTACTAGTTAATAGCGATTTCAACGAATAATGAATATGAAATGCTTGCTTTCTTGCTATGTACATTCTGCTAGTTCAAGACGGGGATATCAAAAAACACACTAGCAGGAGAAAAGATCGAATGCCGATCAACCGCGTGACATCATGTTTCAACGTAAAGCGTTTCCCTTTTCTTTCATTGCTGCGCCCAGTCATGAAGCTGCAATTCCCGCACTGGGAACACTCGAGTTTTCGTAATAGCGCTTGTCCATTCCAGCCTGTAAGCGCGCTTCTTCGTTAAAAGGCCCGCGGATCGGACCCTTGAAATGCTTCTGTACATTCGAACGGAAGATATGGACAGGATCAGTCCCTTCCTGGGCACAGATCCACGTCAACCACCGATGACCAGTGGTGACATGTGTGATTTCATCGTTGTGAATAATCTCCAGGGTCGCCACGCTCTCACCATCACCAGCTTTGCGGAACTTCTCGATTGTCATGGGGTTGACATCCAAGCCTCGTGCCTCGTGCACCAGGGCGATAATACTGATTCTCGCTCGGAGGTCGTACGCAGTTTCAGTTGCCGATAGCCACAGACTGTGGTGTACCGGGAGCGAACCAAAGCTAGAACCCATCTCCTCGAGTCTAGTGCGGAGGAGGGAGAAGTGCTTAGCCTCGTCGTTCGCGACCTTCAGCCAGTCGTAAAAGAATGCGCGTGGAAGTTCCTGAGACGTCCCTTCTGTTTGGAACGTCGCAAAGCGGATACAGATATCAATAGCCAGATCGATAGCCCACAGTTCGATATTGGCCAGCGCATGGAGCATAGCAATGCGGCTCTTCAAGGTCCCGCCTCGTCCGGCCTTCGGCATGTGGCCCGGGTCAACAGTTTCCATTTTCTCGCGAGGTGGCTGGTCAGGCGGAGCGACAGTGCCCCTGCCAAGCGGCATAGGTGAATCCGAAGCCTCTCTAGCAGTGAAAATAGAGAAAAGATGTGTAGCCAGCTCGATCTTGTGCTCTGGATTAGCGGTGTTGAGAACGTGGGCGGCCCAGTCACACAACGTCGCGTCGTCGCCGAGATAAGTCGCGATGCCGGGATCCTCTCGATTCGCAGAAGCAGAAGCAGAAACAGCAGTACTAGAAGTAGCAGCAGCCTTCTCCGCAGGCCGCGGGTGCTTGAGCTTAACTTTCTCACTAACAGGGTCAACGCTAGCAAGCCCGACGCTGCCCCCATCCTCGACGGGGAAATCCAGCGCGACAAACTCGCCACGCACATCCACAGGGAACGTGCAGGCCTTGATACCGACGCTCGATTCGCCAGTCTCTACATTGAAATCGTATGCGTGCCACGGACACGACACGACATACGCCGAGTCCTCGATGTCAACCGAGGAGTCGGCCATTGGGCCGCCGGCATGCGGGCATTCTGCCTCCATGGCGTAGTACGACCAACCGTCATTGGTCTCGTTGGATTTCAAGCTTGATTTGTCGATCGTCGGTAACCGGAATAAGACCAGTTTCTTGCCTGTAGTTAGGCGGACCACGTATCGCGCCTGCGTGAAGTCGGATAGTTTCCCGCAGTTGATCCACATCTTGATTTTGGCAAGCGTCGCTTGAAGTCTGTTTGGCGTAATTGGATGGGTTTGTTTGAGGCTTTTCGCCTCGATTGATTTTAACGATCACGTGACCGTATGTATTATGGTCCCACTTTCTGGTGCGGCCCTTTATATAGGGCCATTTAGTATATAGGGGCTTATATAGGGGGCCACTTATATAGGGGATGTATGGTATATTTTTTAGCCGAACCTTCTAAGGTTGTTCGCTCAATAGTTCTGGAATTTATGACAACAATCTCCAGGCCTTTCATTAATATATTATTATTATTATCAACGGTAAATCTTTCGCCTAGCACGGGCTTTCGGCGGTCGCCATCCACCCCCGCCGTGTTATCCAACCTTGAAAGGGGAAAAGTGACCTATCCAATCCTACCCGTTTTTACCGTTATTTTCTTCCTTCGAATTCTTGAAGAGAGATAGAAAATACACGGTAAAGGCATTCGCAATAATTTCAAATCTATTCATTGTTTCCTTATAAATTATAGTGTAAATTACGTAGTTAATATGTCATGGATACGATAAATTCGAGGACGGCAACTACATAGTACTAATCGTACATATAACGTATGTGTAAAAAAGGAAAACTGTATTTAATTAGGAACTATTTGAATGATTATTATAGCCAGCGTATATGGTACTAACTACATGGTAAGTCATGTGAGTCAACTGAAAGAGCTGAGATGAAAGGGAACATCCATGGATGTATCAAAAGAAAAATAATCAAAACCTTTAATGGTAAAAATCTTATTGTAAAACCCATGCCCAGTAGGGGTGTTGTGAAAACTCTGCAGGCGAGAAAACAAAGAAATGGCGTTGAATATGTTGTATATCCTAAAAATTGGAGTGTATTTATGTTTCTTGTTTGCACCCCTTTTTTTTTTCCAGTCCAGAAATTTTCACCTTATATTAATAAACCAATCATACAGCTAGGGCGGGATTATTTGGAACACTAATAAGATTAATTCAAAAATGGATAAATAGCATTGAAAGTACTATTGTTGGATTGTTGGATATGTCAGCGTGTAATCGAGTCTTAACGCAGCACGGGAAAGTAAAAGCTGTCACTCATGACCGTTGGCGTTTATAGCAATTTCCTCAGAGGTCGAAGGACTCAACCCCGCAAATGACCAGGTTAAAGTGTGATTGAGCGGCAGACTACAGCGGACTTTAGACGCCTGGTTCCCCAAACAATAAAGTGTGGGCCTCGCTTGTCTCAATTAATAGTGTCGCCAACCAGAAAAGTGTGTCGCAAATTTTCCCCTCATCATTAGGAGGATACTTTCCTATAATATCTAGGCTATTAGAAGCCATCTCGCATTTATATAAATTCACTTTGAATAACAAGGTTGACTATATAGCTTACGAGATAGTGTACGTGAGATTTTGAAAATTACGTGGTTTTGTTACTGGTATTTATCACGTTTGTGACTGCCTTCACAAACCGTCACAAGTTTATCAAAGCACACCTGAGCACATTTTGCGACAGGGGGGTTTTGAAAACGTCTAAGACGGATAATTCCTCGTCTATTCTGCTTGTCTTTCGACACTTCGACTTTTTCACATTTCAGTTCACATTTCAATACCCCGAGCCCGGATAAGTGACGTTTTTACTCTGCCTTGGTGAGACGCAGCTAGCCAACTCTAACGCTTTAATAAAGACTAACGCTATCCACAGAACACCACCTGAAAATGGACGGTGGTCCCAATCATCCGATCAAATGGGGGACATGTCGAGAGGGCGTCCGGTCCCAGCTGCAAAGATTTGACTCACTGCCACAGGATGGTTTCGCGTTAATGCAGTCCTATCAAGCTGTCCTTGATAACGATGAAACTTTTACCCAGTTCTTCTCGGACAAGCCACTCGAAAGTTACACCGTCGAGACGCGTCTAAGGGAAACATTGGGCATTCGTCCTCCATCTTCATCTGACTCTGGGCCGTCTAGGAGTGAGAATGATTCCTCTATTAGCTGGGTCAACATCTTTCGACATGGCAGTTTCGAAAAGCAAAATGACGGCTCCTATCACTGCTATGATCAAGGAAACCTCGTTCAAATTGACGAATCCCTTCACAAAAGCATCCTACTCAACCGATGCTTTCTCCCAGCAAACTCCTACCTGTGGCCAAGTCCCACCGACGCTGAAAGAGAGGCGGAAATCACTCTGGCAATCGAGGCAGATGTCCTGGATGAACTCGACAAAAAGATCAAATGTCCGTACTTCCTAAACTTTCTTGCACGCGCGGGTTTCAAGGGACATACTAATGAAAACAGACGTGGAGAAGCTGAAGCGACTTCAGCTGGCACTGAAGAAGCGCCGAATTAAGCTCCAGGGCATTCGAGACCCCGTGAAACGGTCTCGTACGCCGCACACCCCCGGATCGCAGTGCCCTACCCCGAACGAATCACGTCGTCCCACGGTATCTGTCGAGAAGCACGATACTCGTGCGCGCAGTTTATCCGAAAGCTCGGGTGTCTCAAGCGGATCCGATATCCCTTTCACCGTCCCCGGAGATGTCTCAAGGCCAATATCCTATGACAGTGAGACGGATGATGAGATTGCCCACGCACGTCAACAAGGGCATTCGAAAATCGTCGATCTCGTCGACAGCAACCAGAAAGCATATGATGAAATGGGAGTGTCGGTGTCTGGCCTTCTTAGCACCAGAAAGCCCGAAGTCGCACAAAGCCAGGCTAATACACAGAAGTCCAAGCAATTCCAAGTAGACTTGCCAGCGAAACACCAGCTTCATGGCAACGAGGACTTGATGCGACCGCCTCCAAAAAAGCAAAAGACCGAGACTGCGTCGTCCCCGATAGATATCGAGACCATCGGCCTTGGTGAAGTACTTCCAATGTGGAAAGAAAAGGTCGACACACCCATTAAACCGCAGTCCAAATCTTCATCTGTAGGAAAGCGACGCACAGGACAAAAGCGAACGCGGAATAACTTCACCGATTATGAGAAGGAGCACGCCCCAGCCTGGTTCAAGAAGCAGGTGGATGCAGGAAAGTCCCCGGTTGAAGTTGAGAAGGCCTATGTCGAAAAGTTTGGTGTCTTCCACCGTTGGCTCACAGTGAAACTTTGGGTCGACCGGTTGGATGAAAAGGCCACCAAAGAAGGGAAAGGGGTGGATATAGCAGAGACCCGGAGCAAAATCGTCGTATTGAAGGTACAACTCCCGTTGCGTCTTCATTTGGCCTTCATGAATGACAATTCCCCCTAGCCGATTCGGAAGTTCCCAACGAGCCAAGCAATGCCACCACCAGCTGTCCCCAACCCTGGTTATGCCGCCGCGCCGCCCTACAAATCCCCATATCCCTTATTCCGGTCCTCTGAGCAGCCTCGGGGCTCATCGGTCGCGTATGAGCTGGATTGGCCCTCCAAAACGGCTGGATCAAGCCCGATCAAGAGTGGCCTTCCGAACGTGTACTGATAGGTCGGCCTGGATGTCGATCATTGCAGGTCATCTTTAGCTCACATCACTTTGATTGCATTTTCAGGACCCGAAAGGTTCACTCACAGTATGTTTCATCATTTGGTAGCACCGCAAATATTTGACTAATCCATGTTCTCAAAGAATCCTCAGTTAGCGGGAACTCTCTTTTCTATTTGTGGTTTGAGGATCTCGTGCAGCTGGTCAACACTTATCTTCACATCAGCAACTTCATTTAGCACTTATCTTGTAATAATACCATTCCTGCCGTTTGAGCGCACTCGCTTTTGGTGTATTCCTTTATCATTACCCAAGAAGCAAAGAAAATGTATCTATCACCGGCGATCGTACTGACCACTGAATGGGATCTTGAGTATGCAGGAATCGTTTGATCGTCAGATTCTCGTTAAATGTAAAACTCAGTAGTCTAGTAGCATCTTAGCTTGTACAACAATTTAATCTCTCAAGAGACCATGCGTTTCGACCGTCTCTCGGCTTTCTGTAGACCGCTTCTCTTTGATAGTTGAATTCATATAAACTCTGTTCAACCTGGCTCATTACGTTCAATCCTGCAATCGTGTCTCTCTCCCAAAGCGCTCTTGTCAATACCCTACGCCCTCTCGTCTAATCCCTAGCCTCTCTCGTAGTTTCTCACGTCGGCGCCGTACACTCTCTCGTGGCTTCCCACGTCGACACCCCAACCAGGTAGGCCACCCACCTACGTAGTTCTCGTAGTAGCAAACGGTCACAGTACGCACCCCGCTTCCCCGACGGTCCACTACATGTAGATTCTACACACTAACTAGTAATGCGCTACACCTACGTGCCTCCCTTCTTCGATGGCCACTCTCACTCTAAATGTCTCTCTTTCAAAGTACACTATAATCCGATTCCTCACCTGGTTAGTACGTACCTCTCCATTCGATTTACGACTCAAAACTCTGCTTCTTCGTGCCGTTAATCCACATCCACGATCCGTTCCACCATGCAGCCGCCCTTCTACACCGTCTTTTACAACAGAGGCAAACGCGACTTTCATTAACCCCGCTAACGCATTGGACCAATTATATACTTACCCCTACATAGTAATGTGGGACGTTCGCACTTCGGAACAGCCTCACCAATGCCACCAGCCTGGCCAACACGACCATCCTGGCTTCGGCCTCCGCAAAAGCCAATGCCGTCTTCACCGGCGAGCCCGTATACGACATTTACAACCGTTTACAACTTGTGGGGAGATGGGGAGACTATCATCAAATTTACAAGTAGTTTATGAACTGACATAGCTTCTGTAACAATACAGTCTCTCGGTACATTATACATTCCCACCTCTTTCTAGGGTTCGTTCTGTAGACGTCTCTCGTTGACAGTTTTTCTCTACTTGTGCGCATTCCATTTATCCAACACTCTACGATCATTACCTTGGCGGCGGGAAATAAATTTATAGGGGTATTGACATACCACCGGCTTTGTTTAGTTCAAGTCCAGCATAGAAAAAGTACGCCAGAGTAGCCACATTATATAGAACTGTGAGAAATGTGACAACCTTACTGTCGCTATAACATATGTATTTGTTTGAGTAGACCGCATTTTTCTTCGATTGTTCCCTTTTAGTTCTCAATCGTTCCTACACTTACTTCCAATTCTCTCGAGCTTTCCCACCCCCCGCCATTCCGAACATTCTTCAGGCGGCTTGGACTAAAGACCATTCATTTCACGCCGCGAGGAGCACTGAATAAACTATGGGCGACCGACACCCTCTTTCCCGGGTCGCTCGCCCGGTAGAGGGCTCTGGTGCCTCGACCCGTGAAACGAATGTGACGCTCAGCCCATATCTTGCACTGCAGCGCGACCTTGGTGCAGCTTACCAGAAGTACATCGGATACGCCGAGATCATTGCTAGAGGTGGCCCACTGGCGCCTCAATTCGGCGACTCGATTTTCTACTCCGAAGTAGACAGGACAGCTGCTAGAATATTTGGCTCCGCACGCCCACGCTTGGTTGAAGGCAGCGTCCAAACACCCATTACATGGACCGATGTGCTTCGTCAAATGCTGACTCCTGGAGATTTTCAACGACAGGCAAATGGGATGTACCGATGCCGTGTTCGAGGAAGTCTAATCGAGGTCTCTGAGGCAAATTACATGGAAATCCTCACCGGTGTTACCGAACGACTTTTGCAGCCCTTGCAAAACTTGTCCAATGAGCAGAAGGAAACCCGAGTGCGCCTTAAGCTAGGCTCCTACCTGCATCAGACGCACAACACACTCATCCAATGTAAGTCCGCCCATTTCTATGATCTGTTTTTGTATAGAAACTAACGAGTCACTCAACCAGTTGTCATGGCAGTCCGGGCATCTATTGATGCTCTGAATAGAACCGTGACTATTCAGGGTGCAAATCCCAACACCACTGAACGTGCTGAAGCTCAACTGCCTATCCCAATCTCGGCTCGACGACCCGTTAGTTCTGCTCGGGGTGTGGTTGCAAATTCCAGCTTCACTGGACGTCATGAAGCTCAACTGCCTACCCCAATCTCGGCTCAACGACCCGTGAGTTCTGCTCGGGTGGTGATCTATATATCCGATACAGACAGCGACAGCGATGAGAAGACTGGCGGCAACATCAAAACGGAAGCACCAGAATCGGCCCAGTCTGAGCGCGTTGGGATCATCGAGAACAATCGGGCGGAAAGCATGCATCCTGAGACCAACGAACTGGTTAAAGTCGAGTCATCCGAGGTTGTTCAAGGCGAATCCATTGTTTCAACCAGCGACACCGATTATGTTCCGTCAATCGACGTTTCTCAGAGCAATTTGAGTGACTCGGTCAGCGAAACCGATGATTATGTCTCGTCCACCGACGGTTCTCGACGCATTTCCACTGGTTCGGAGAGTGACTCGGACGATGATGCTCCGTCAATTGATGTTTTCCGAGGCAATTCCAATGATTCAGGCAACGATGAGAATGATGCTGGCTTGGTTGCTTATGACATTTTGCGCTTGGCCAATAGCCTGGTCAACGACAACAATGAAGGTGCCGGATTGGTCGATAACAACACCCCTTCCGCCACGAACAACCAGGCGGTCGAAAACACGGACGCCAATGCTAATGCTAATGCCAATGCGAATGCGGATGAGAACACCAATGCCAATGTTAATGCCAATGCTGAACCGTCTGGCCTCGCCTCCGATGTGGCCTCTGACACAATCCGTCCGTGGTTGCTCAACATCAATACTCCCGGTAATGCAGACGACGACGCTCACTCATCTGGATCAGACATCCCTTGGAAGATCAAGTCCGGAAAGAGATCCCATTCGACTGATACTGCTGAAGGACTAGACGGAATTCCATCCCATGCCTCAAAGAGACGCCGAGCTGAATCCCCTTTCAGCGAATCTGGAAACAAGCCACGGGCCGCCGCCAAAAGATACTCTCATTTGGAAGAGGACGAAGGACCAGCATTTGTGAAGTCCCTGGTCAACAGGGGATCTACTGGCGCTGAAATTGAACAGGAATACTCCCAGGTATTCGGGGTTTTCCGGTCTGCGGGTGCTCTCTTCAAGAAATTCGAGACCAAAGGTACTTGGGCGTTGTTGAAATCTCACCGACAGGCCACGCAACAGAAGACTATGGTACTGAGCCCATTGCTTCATTCTTGATATGGAAATTTGCTGACAACTGCTTGTAGTCAGCATAGCCTTGCTCGGATCGAGACAGATGATCGCTCCATGGGGTTGGAGCCCGATAAGCTGATGAGGAAGCCTGGTTATGAGATGAAAGGGACTTTGGGAGGAAACTGGACAGGAAGGCTATGAATTGGGAGGATTGGTTGGGATATGGAGGTTTCTAATGCAATTGGGAGGAGACGAAGCAAATCTGCATGATGGACGGTCATGAGCACTAATCTAATGATTTCATATTAATACCAAGCTCATGAATTCAAGCATAACTTACCATGCATCGGATTCAGTGGTGGTTTCCAGTGTCAGGGGTAGATACCGCCTATGCTCCTGCGAGTATTCATAGTTAGGATCAACACCTAGTGTTCTCCGCCCATTGTATTCACAGTAAATACATGTAGTACATGAACCTCGTTATCGATATCGAGTCTGAATTGTTCCGCCTCGACACTCCGTCGACTTCCTTTCATCGCATCCACGACGCGTCTCAACTTTTGTACCAAAGCATTTTACCAATCCCTCTCTCTCTCACTGTTGTTCTTGATTGACCCATTAGGTTGTCGCATAAACAGTTGCCACCATCATGAAGCAAAAGCAGTATCTCAGCATTGGTCAAGCTGAAGCATTGCACGCAACTCAAGGTGAAACCAACGACCCAATCGAGTCACCCAAGGGTGTTCATCGGGAAAGTAAGTCTTCGTCCTCGGGATCTGATGCTGAGCTTGAACCCGCACTCAACAAGTTTTTCGGTGGTCCTCCTTTTTGCTTGATGCTGCCTGATTCAATTGAGGGTCATACCGAGCCTCGGACGGGCAATAGAGCGTGCAAGGGGCGTGTTCAATCGTCCAGCCGCTCATATGCCATAGTTTCTTGGATGGATGTACTTTCTGAAGCAACGACCAGGGATCACTTTCAGCTCCAGGAAAATGGCATGTACTGGTGTCGCGTGAAGGGAAGGTTGATTGAGATGTCTGCCGAGAATTACCACTTCATCGCGTTGGGATACCCGCAACGCATGATGCAGCCTTCATACCTATCTGAGGCACGGAGAGAACAAGAGACTGCTGGAGGTGTGGGAGAACAAGACGTCAATACTGTCGTGAATCGTGAGTTTGCAGTTTGCCCTAATCAGTTATCTGGATACTAATATATAACAGCCGACACAGAATCGCGCGATAACCCCGTACCGGACCCAATGGACATAACACGAAGCCCGACTGCATCAGATCTCTCACATCGAACTGAGAAAAGCACCACAATTTCATACCAGGGTGAGAGAGACGTCAAGGGAACCTCACATGTGGCCCAGGAATTCCAGGCTGAGACATCGCGGCTGCGCCCTAATCATAGGCAGACTGATTTCCAGTCTCGTCGCAAGCAGGGTTTCTCCGGCTGGGCACCGGTTTGGGTCGCAAACAACCCAGTTAGATCAGAAGATGACCCGATCAAATCTGACATCCCGATCCACATTGATAATGGCAGCGCAGGAAGCTCGGATGTCCCAAAGCAGTCCCAACCTGAAACAAGTGGTGCTGGGAACAGAGGCAAACTTCCAGCTACTCCGATCCGTCGCAAGAATGTTTTCATTCCGTGGACCCCTTCTCCAAAGAAAAAGAAAGACAGCCACACCCAGGAGGGTTCAGCTGTCGCTAATACCTCCCCTCGCGCGGAGACGCCGATGCGGTATTCCTCGCGCGAACTCAGCTCGGGGCCAGCATTCATCAAGTCCCTGATCGAGGCAGGCACGCCGTGGGAAGAACAGGAGGAGCTTTACGAATCCAAGTTTGGTATTTCGCGTTCCCAGTTTAGACTTGTCAAACAGTTTGGCCTGGTCGATATGAAAGATGGCGGCTTCGACAAGGCTGCGTTCAAAAAGCCCAGAAGCCATCATAAGGCTCAGGTAAGCAATATCTTAATCCCTCTTACTCTGGTCTCTTTCTTGTTAAATTCACCCATTTGACTAAAAAATTTTAACAGTTAACCTCAACCCACACGGAAAACCGAGAATCCAGTTTGGCGACGGAGGGTTCCCAGGGAAGTGACGGCGAGCGTGACAAGAAAATCGACAAGGGAAAGAAAAGGGACCCCGGCCCTTCTGATGCTGCATAAGTCTATGGTGAAAACCTCAAGTCAACCACGGGTCCCTAAATTGCTTGGGATCAACTTTGCTTCCATCCGCACCCAAATTTCAACAAACCTCGCAAATCCGACATACCTGAGAAGATCAAATCCGACAAGACATCCCGTGGAAAGATGAAATTCTTGTTGGAATGCTCGAATGGGAAATGGAGCAGTGGGCTGAATACATGCATGTGTACCTACTGTAAGATTTATAAGCACAATGAAAGTGTACCCAAAAGCGATGATGCAGTCATATTGACAAAATTAGGTCATAAGTACATAAGGTATAAGCTTGCTATCGGGACTCAACGAGGCGTTAAAAACATGGAAACTAAAGAGTCATTCGTAAAGAAGGTATGCAAGAAATATGAATAAGGCCCTTGGATCCACCGTAGATGCTTCAAAAATATCTAATATTCACCGCTCTTACAAGGCGAGAGCAAGACCCAGAACACCAGCGGCGCCAGCAAGGCTCACAGCGATACCAGTAGGGGCGGCACCACCACCGGAAGTGGTAGATGCAGCAGAGCCGGACGCCGAAGCCGAAGCCGCAGCCGAGGACGAAGCAGCGTCCGAGCCAGTGGCAGTAGAGGAGGAAGATGAATCCGTAGCAGAGGTAGAATCGGTAGAGGACGAAGCTCCAGAGCTAGACGCGCCGGAGCTGGAGGCACCAGAACTGGAAGCGCTGGTGGAGGTGGCAGAGGCAGTGCCAGGGCTGGAGCTGCTGGCGCCGGAGCTAGTGATCTCGGCGGAGATGGACGATGCGAAGGAAGGATAGTAGCCCTCAACTGCAGTAGTGACATACTCCTTCACGCTGTCGGGAAGGCTGCTGTACCATGTTGGCCAGGAGTTGGAGACAATTCCTTGCTCGACTTGGGAAAGGAAAGCAGCGGTGTTGGTGGCCTCGGCCCAGAATGAGGTTGGGACGGCGGTTGCGAGAACCACGGCAATGGAGGGGGGAATGATATTTGCGAGCTCGGCGTCTCCGGATTCAAGAGCCGAGTTGGTGTCGGCCGGGGCGGCCATGGCCATGCTGGCGAGGAGGAGGGTTGCGAGAGACTTGTACTGCATATTGACGGTTGGAGGAAGTATATGTTTAGGGTATAAGATGAAGATATGTAAAATGGATGTGAAGATGGGGTATTTATAGGGTAATTGAGGAGGTGGAAGAGAGAAAATAGAAATCAGCATCTGGGGGCTTTATGCTTAAATACGCCCAATACCTTGTCATAAACCCTGGAAGGTATCGCGAGGCTGGGGCTCTAGCGGCGCAGCCCGAATGAGCCCATCGCGCTATGTTCCCGGGGTTCCACCACGGCCAATCGCAGCCTCGTCGCCCCCAAAAGCTGTCGATCAAACGGCAAAAGGCGCCCCAGATCTTACATCGCGCAATCCTTCGCCCTATAATCTCGAATTTTGGGGGGTTAAGTCCACACCCTGCTACGAAATTACCCGACACTGTACCTCTCGGGCGACACTACCAGAGGCTAACTGATGTCCCCTTTTTTTCTAATCTCGAAACTTGTACGAATCTTGATATTCCTCCAGAGCTTGAGGCTGCAGTCATGAGCTGGGGTTCGGTGTTCTATCCGTTTGCCAAGTCCCAAGATTGCATGACGCACGCCTTCTTTGCACGCCGCTTCATCATTGGGTTCGGAAGCTCTTGGATATTGATATGACATCATTTTCTTGGGGCGGGCAAAGATTTACTTGGAAATAATCGTTGCTGCCTTTGTCTGTATGGCGTTTGACTGGTGGTTGTGTGGTGTCATCCCCACCTGGTCTTGTGCATAGGGTTGTCGGTGCGATCCGAGGGTTCAATGAGAGAACAGATTATCGAATACGAGTTTTTATTTATACATATACACCCATAATAAGATCATATGCACTGCCCAAGCAAACATCTTGTTGATCACCATCCGTGGCAAGTCATTGGCACAAGGTATCGAAGAGGGTCTACAACATACACAGCCCTGTGGCCCACGTTGTTTGTGTTAGGTAAAAGGTCATGGATACCTGCGGTGAGATTCTGGTCACAGCAAATCAGCCTATAGTAATACTGAGACATATTAAGTTGGGCTCATTTGAGTACTCTACGATGGACATCGGCAGTGCTTGGAATATTCATATAGCCACAATGGGTACGTACTTTTATTCTCGGCGTTTGTAATGGTCATAAACCATTCAGACCCGATGGCCAACATCTTCCATTTGGTATGACGGTCGATTACCATCGCCAATTGATCACACTTTATGCACGCTTGCATAGATGTGTAAGAGACACCGTATATATATCTCTCACCAGCAGTACTGACTACTGTATTATAGTGCCGAGTCAGGCGTGAGCTCGCAAAATCCATATATACATCTTTTTGAGCGACGCATCAAGTATGGTTTATCTGTATAGAAGCATGAAGGCAGCGAGCCCCGTGCCAAAGGGAGTCGCCATTCACCGTTGGACAACATTGAAGGCTATACGGCCCGGCCCCACTTGATATGTTCACATTGGATGTTTTGGTGGAAATTTCCTCCTTGATACCAATTTGAGGGACTTGAGGCAGAATAAATCTTTCAAATAAAGAAACCATTCATTATATTCACCCTGTTTGAAGGAATAAAATGGGGATAGAAAAAAAAGAAACAAGAGCAAAAAAGAAATCTCTCCCTCGGGGAATCGAACCCCGGTCTCCCGCGCTTATCGGTATTAATGACAAGCGGAAATCATCACCACTAGACCAAGGAAGATGTTATGGCTGAGTTACGGCTCGACCACTTGGTTGGTTGATGGAAAAATGTTGAAGCGAGCGATTCATGACCATCGCCCCTTGGAACCTTCGCAAGGTTCCAAGGTTCGTTGAGCCACCCCTCTCCTCTCATCCAATCAGCATGCAGTTTATTGGCCGGTCCTTGCAACCTTCGGAAGCAACATTCCCTCCCGGCTATCTTACAACTTTATCTTGGGCCGTTTTGGAGATAGCCCGGCCCAAATTCCACCATCTCCACCCTTCAATGTTCTTAAACGGCAAGTCCTGGAGAGGTCCGGGTCTAAGAGCCGAGGAACATTCCGACTTCCCCGAGGAAGGAATAAATACATCAGAAATCGCAGTATTATGCTTTGTGCAGGTTTAAGAATCACAAAAAAACAGGAATCATGACATCCGTTTTCAAGAATGGGCGCATCTTCATGCCGTCACAGGCCTCGAATAATGAGGCGAACTTTGCCGAAAGCATGATCATCGAGAATGACAAGATTGCCCACGTCGGCTCTCTCGATGGAATAACCATCCCAGAAAATGCAAATGTCATTGACCTAGAAGATCGCACTGTCATCCCAGGCTTCATCGATGCCCACGTACACATCCTGCATTACGGGCAGTCATTGCGCAAAGCCAATCTCATCGCATGCACCTCCCTCGATGAGATCCGCGAAGCCATCAAATCTTACGCCGAAGTCCATCCATCTTTGCCGCGCATATTATGCAGAGGCTGGATCCAGTCATCTACCAATGGAGTCGCACTAGCAAGTATGCTGGATGGTATCGACCCACGTCCCATCTTTATTGACTCTTTCGACCTCCACTCCATGTGGTGCAACGCAGCGGCTCTTGATGAAATGGGAGCTCATACTGCCCCCGATCTTCCCGGTGGAACCATCCACCGTGACGAAAATGGAAGAGCTTCAGGCTTACTTGACGAATCCGCCATTATAAACCTTGCATGGCCTTATCTAGAAAGTCTTAGCTCCACGAAAGATAAACTGAGTGCTTTGGACACTGCAGTTGCTGCATACACTTCTGCTGGGTATACCGGACTAGTGGACATGGCCATGGACGAAGGGACATGGGAGATTCTGAATCTCTACCGTCGCGATCATACCATCCCATTCCACATTGGTGCACACTGGCTCGTCCCCTTCTCAGCGGACCAAACCGCCAACTTCAAACACGTGGATCGAGCAATCGAGCTACACAACCAGTACAACCAGCCCGATTTCCATATCCTCGGAATAAAGCTCATCTGCGATGGCGTTATCGACGGATGCACTGCCGCTCTCCTCCAACCGTACACTGGTAAATCCGATCCCGTCGAGCCAATCTGGCCAGAGAACATGCTACAAGAAGTTGTCAAGCGCGCCGACTCAGCGGGCATGCAATGCGCAATTCACGCAATAGGCGACAAAACCATCCACCAAGCAATCAACGTTCTGTCGAGAGTCGGCACGCCTGGCCGAAGACACAGAATCGAACACCTGGAACTGACAACCTCGGAAGACGCCAAGCGACTTGGTCAGCTGGGTATCACGGCCTCGATCCAGCCTGTCCACTCGGATCCTATGCTTTTCAAGGCGTGGCCTGGTCTTGTGGGTCCCGAGCGCTGTAAGCGCGCTTTCGCCTACAAGGACTTCCTGGATGGGGGTGCTCCTATGGCTATTGGGACCGATGCACCGACTGCGGCTCACTTTCCTTTCCCCAATCTTTACAATGCTACCACTAGGCGCTCGGCGCTTGAAACCGAGACTGATGATACTGTAAATGCGCATTTCAGGTTGGGGTTGGCTGAGGCGGCTACGGCTGCTACGGCTGGTGCCGCTTATGCGCGGTTTGCGGATTCTTGGACTGGAAGTCTGCGGAGCGGATTATATGCGGATTTCTTGGTTGTTGATATGCAGTGGAGGCCGGAGACATTGCTTGAGGCGCGTGTCTGCCAGACTTGGTATCGGGGGAAGAAGGTTTTTGATTCGTGGAGTGATTGACAGTGGTGATGACTTCCTCGGTCGTACTAATACGTTTAGTTAGGTGAAAGGGAGCCAGCCCCAAGGGGGGATGATATATTATATATTATTAAGCTCACTGAGCAAGTAAAGATTACTAGTACAAGGGAGCAAGCTGGTAGGCTAGAAATCCTTTTAATAGACCCCCCTTGTAGCATGATCCTCACAGTCCGATTCGCAGTCCGTCTCACAGCCTACAGCGTGGCGCCGCAGAGAAAGCAACCCCCGTGCATCTAGATGGTCCAGCCAGCTGGCGTACCAATCCAAGAATTCTGGAATAGAATCAAAGTGCGCCTTTCGGCCGTACAGAACGCTAGGATTATCAACCTCGGCTTAAAAACAACCACTCGCCACCCCCAGTCCCGGATGTTGGCAGTATCCTGGATGTCTCCATCCTCGTGCTTGCCATTGTCCTCGTCATCATTCGTCCACAGCCGGCAGTACACATACGCACTATACCACGCCGGGCATTCGTACAGCTGGTTATATCCAACGCCGGTGATAAAGCCAGCCCTGACCTCGAGGTCCTCGTCGATATACGCCTCCAGCCACTTATTCGACAATTCATCTTCCAACTCCCGCTGCAAGGCCTCTTGCTCGCTTTTCAGTAGCTCCGGATCCGCCAACTTGTCGCGTCTCTGTCCCTCGTCAAGTCCGTCTAGTTGATCGTTCTCGATCCCAGTCGACCAAGCTGGTGTGAACGGCGCAATGCTCGAGAGCCGGAAGTCAATGTCCACCACCCCTTGCGCATACTTTAAAACAGGGCTAGCTCGGCACACGGCGGGATAGTCATCGGTCTGTGGTCTTTGTGGGAAATGCACGCGACGTTAAGCTCCACGTCGTCTTCCGCGATGATCGCGTCCGCCTGCCGCTGGCACACACGCTGAACTATGCCGAGGTACATCTGCCGCCACTACTCTGTGTGCAGCAGGGGCGGGAGCACGCCGTCAGCCGATTTATAGGATGGCATGGCGTTGAGAACAGCAGGGATATTGAGGTCGTTGACTGACGCCTGCTGTGGGATCGGGATCCCGTAGCGCCTCCCGCGCGTCTTGGGGTCTTCATCGTCCCATTCGAGATTGTCAATCCATCGGTAATGACAAAGCTAGCGGCGCTTCTCCTCTTCAGTTGCTAGACCTTTTGCTTCGATTTCATTGACGCGGTCCTGGAGAAACTTTTGGTTTGCGGCGGCCATTCTGCTACGGAAGCGGGCGATGGCAAGGCGCATGGTTTCGTCTGCGTTTGTGTCTGTGTCTGTGCCTGAAGCTGAGGCTGAGGCTGAACCTGCCATTGGTGTTGTCAAGGACAGCTTCGTGTTCTTTGCGTCCGTCATTATCGGTCGTCCTTTCTTTTTGGTGTTTTTTGTTTTGTTCTTTCTTCTTTGTGAAGTGAGGAGAGGGGAAAAGTGAGAGAGAAATTAGGAGACTGGGGCTAACAGTAATACAGAGTGGGGCTAACTAGGTTATTGAATGCAAAAAATTGGTTAGAGTAGGCACCACCCTGCTAGTTCGTCATTGGTGCCGAGCGGAGAGCCTACAGGCCCTGGAGCCTATGCAGAGGACCGCAAGACAGTATACACCGGCCGAGAACGAAAGCCCAGACGCATACAGATCATAACCAAAGAGTCATATACGCCTATCACATCGAGGGTTCGAAGCAGACCTGTTCGAGTCCGAGCCCAAACAACAATAAACAAAGCCAGTATCTCTCCAAAGCCAGACTTGCAGCAACCGCGTTGCTCTGTTGGGCAGCAACATGGGAATAGGCTGCGCAGAGCTGGAAGTAGAACCCTGCAAATAGAAGAGCACAGCTCAGCTCAGCGAGGAAACGGAGCCCCCTAAGCGAAAACGACGACTCAAATCGAGCAGGGTCCACACGAACAACGCGTGCGCTGCTGCAAGGGCCCATTGCAGGGCCCCCGAGTAGTCCACTAGCAAATGCGCGGTTTGTAGGTTAGTACTAGACATGGCTAAAAGACCCAGTCTCGATTCTAGCGCTTACCGGCGAATAGAAAATAGGAAAGCGGCGGAAAGGTTTTGACGGTCAGCTGCCCTCGGCTGCGAAATATCTCCAGCTCACGATGCATTTCTTTTCCACCATAACAAGTACGAGGCCTTCCCAAATCCAGTGTCTATATCTCCGTCTTCGACAAGTTTCGTATGTATATGCTCCAGGGAATTTTCAATCATTGTCTTGAGACTATCAATTCTGTCACACCCCTCCGGAGACTTGGGCCTTTCGAAATCGGTACATAGCACATTTTCGGATTCGGTGGTAGGTAACAGATTCGAATATAGATCTGAGTCGGTCGTATCAGAGACAACCATAGTATTAGTTTATACATCATAGGCATCGTCGATCAGTTGACTTCGCTAATCGTCTATTTCCATTAGTTCACCGGTATGATCGTCAGACTATAACTACGGCGTGAAACATACACTATAGGGAAAGGAATTCTATAGAGAAGATGATAGACTTGAATATTCTAGCAGAAGTTAGTAATATTTCGCTTTTTACTCTAGATCTCTACTAAGTTAGAAGATGATAGTGAAAATCTTTCAAGAGCACCTACCTATCGAGAAAGACGTGTATTTATTGCATTCATTTCTCAAAAACATGTCACTAGTCTTTGAATCCGGTATGGCAAAGGAACTTATTAGCTTGGTGGGACCCTGTTCTTTCACCTCGCAGGAGAGAATGTCTGGCGCATTGTCAAGAACCTTCTCAAGAGCGCCTGGCTTCCAGTGACTGATAGGTCACTGTTTCTCGATGTATGATATGAATGCAACATAGAGTTTTTTATATGCGGTCAATAGTTCGGAGGGTCTAGCCGGAGTGAGAAATGGGTGAGCGCCGCTTTATGGTCGCGCGACCCGGAGTGGATGGACATCACGGTGACATCACCAGTACGCGCCTTTGCCTCACGAAATAATTGAGGCCATCACAATGAACGATGTACAGTACACAAGTAATATATATAGTATTGGATTCACAGTTGCCTAAGTTACAGCTTATCGTCGCTTCATGAAGACATCACTCCCAGTTTAGATTTAGGTATTCCATCTGAAACTTCCAGTGTAGTCCCGAGTCCAACAAAGTATATGAACGCCAATTACTCTTCAAGTTGTTCGGGATGTGCTTGCAGCCCACGGTCGACACTTAGATCAGAGAGGAATGAATCTGATGCTCGTTAGTACATGCAATGTGATCCTAGCTAGAGTGGTAGGTCGGGGATAAGAAAACATACTGTGATCTACCTCCTGCGAAGAGCGGTGCCCTGTGCTCTGATTCAAATCTTCCATGGCATGTTGGTGTGCAAGCTCCGAGCACATTGCGCGGGAAGATCTGTTTTAGTTAAGTCGGTCAGTTATGGGATACTTCAAGGCCAGCTTCGGGCGTTGTGGTCTGAACCTACGGGGCAACGTCTCTGTCAACCATGATATCCTTATTTTTGGCATCAGATTGGTCTTTCTCTTGATGCTCCATGCTCCCAAGAGAGCTGCGGCGCTTCTGGTAATTGGGATCTAGGGGGTTCTGATCCCTGTCGGTTTTGACCATTTTCGATCGTAGTAGACTGTGTAGTGGTGGAAAATAAAGGGTTGGGGATATGTGAGTGTGGTGTTAAAAAGCGAATTATTTGGCAATATGTTGGAAACTGAGAGAAAATAAACTATTTATCTTATGTTTAAATGCGGGGAGTCTTCCATGTCATAAGTTGGGCGTGGCAAACTTATGATATAAACACTTCGTGCGAACCTATCATAGTCATCTCGATCCTGGTTTTTGAACAACGAATGTCGTACATGCTAATTATTGATCATAAGGAAATTAAAAAGGGGATTAGCTATTGTGATACACATACAAAAGTGTGATACACACACAAAAGCCGACTTGCTCGTTACACAAGGCGAAATAGTTAATCATGGCCAAATCGGTATGAGGTCAAGTGCTCGTCAATGAACGACACGATGGCAAAATTAGTAATCTTCTGGTTTGTTCTTTCGATTATGTTTAAAGGAGGATAGATGTGAAAATATAGATGTAGTGATCCCCGCTGGATCATCGTCCATCTACAGATTTCCCATGTGCTCCACTAAAGCCTCCAACAAAGATATCACTACAGTAATATTCGAAATCAGTTTTACCACCATTCTCTTTCTCTTTTTTGTTCCTGGTCCACCTAAGTTGCACTAGTCCATACAAGGATATCTTTTCGCTATCCTGGCATTTGCTTCGATGAGTTCGTTTAAATTACACCTCTAAAATAACTCTCATGTTCAGCATAGAATATTACAGTGATTTTGAATTAAACAAATACAGCAAATAGCAGCCTTGTATGTACATTTGCTCCCGCATTCGCGTAATGAACGTGGGAAAACCCAGTAGGAAAAAAACACGTCGGAGCAGCCCAAACTCATTTTATCCTGCTAGATCACGGAGGCTTTGCTCTAGAGCAGCTTGAAGCTGGCGGGCCTCGGAACGAAGGTGGCCAATCTGTGGAGACTCAACTGCTAAGTTAATAAGCTCCTCCTCCGAATAGGAGCTGACCGTAATGGGGCTAAACGCATCGGCCAACTTTGCAAGGATATGTCGCTCGATGACTTGACGACAGACATTATCTACGAACGTCTTCCGAGCAACCTAGTTCATGGTTAAAACAAATTCCATTAGGTGTCATATGAAACAGACCTTGTAATAAGCAGTCAAGTCGGTTTTTGCTTCAGAACATGCTTGCTCCTTCATGTCAACGATGACACGCTTTTTGAGTGATGACAACAATTTAACACAGTCTTTTTCTGTGTTTTCCAAGTGAAGGCTGCCGTTCCAATCATCTCGGATAGCATGACGCACAGAATTTTCAATGAGGCTCTTAGAAGCTTCGTTTCTTGCATTCTGTATGTTGTCCGTATAATAATGATTATACGTAATTGGCTGTCGCGTTTCATCTTCAAGAATTCTTTCAAGTTCATGTTCCGCTGCTTCGACATTTGCCTCCAGCGTGGTGCTGACTAGGCGACCAATGTTTTCGCGCACCTTTCCGTCTTTGATAGCGTACATCAATGCAGCATTCACGAACTGAGAAACAATCTTTGAGATCGCCACAATATGTTCTCGAGCAATCTGGGCCCATCTCAATGATTGCACATGGAACAGTTCGGTGAGGAGAGCTTGGTTGTAGTTCCCTGGTAGCTCTTGGCCCCTCGTTCGATCATATACCTGTAGTGGTTGAGCATCACAGTAATTTCTCTCGCTAGCAGAAAGTCATACCTGTCGAATCCAGTCAAGCATTCCCTCTTTCGTCACAAAAAGCTGTCCACCTTCGTTTTCGTCGGCATCTGAGGGGTTCTCTGAGACAATCTTTCTTTTTTCACCATACTGTCTGATGTGGTCGGAAAACATTTCATTCTCCATATGGATAGCAGCACGAAGACGAACTGAAAGTTGTCCGTCTCGTATCTCAAAGAAGCTCGCATCACGACCTCCGTATGATCCGTCAACGCCGGATTGGATGACATTGTAGTAATTGGCGCCAATCTTTGTCAGGAACATGCGTATCTGGTTTGGAGACTTCCGTTCCGTTCCAAGCTCATCAAGCTCTTCGTTTTTCTCTCGGAGAAGGCGACGTATATCTTCACGTACTTTGGGAAGCTCACGCTCGATATGGTCATCCAATATTTCTTCTAGAAAACATCGCAATTTGTCGACTCCAACGCGTGAAAGATCCAGCCCCTGCTTCTTCCAAGGCTCGGTGGAAAAATAGGCCAGTTCTATTCTGCGTCGCTCTTCTGTAGTTATACCTGCCTTGAGCTCCGTCGGGCTGGGGTTTTTCAGAACAAAAAACCCAAGTCTGAGTTTGGTGCGGTCGCAGTTGTTGGCAAGCCGAGCGATACGTGCCTCCGTACCAGCGTTGATGAGATCTGGCTTGGTAATGATTCCGACAGTACGGAGACCATCCTCGTCAAAACGTCGCGCACGCTGGATGATACCCTGGGTATCAATGTCGCTAGTGGCCGGTATGACTGCAAGGATGATGGTCCGAGAATGTTGCAGATAGGAGTCCACTAGCTTCTCAACTATCTTCACATCCTCTTCACAATCCGCGACTGATATCAGCCCAGGAAGATCAACAATGGTCAGGTGGAGACCTGTATTTCCAACTAGCTCAAGTCTGAGAACATCCGCTGCAAACGCTGGGCCCTCCGCCTGCGCATCGATGCCACGCACCCCCATGAGCTTCGCCGCCTGCTCAATGATGCTTGGCAACTCCTTAAAATCGTGAAGAACGTGGTGATAAGCAGTCAGATGACGTTTGTCTTCCTCACTCCTGGATGGATGAGGTATGATGGTTGCGGTGGTTCTAATATCCGTGGGCTCGTGGCGGAGGATGATCTCTGTTGCAAATCGAGTGCAAAGGCCATCCTGTCGAGGAAATGGTATGCCGCTAATACCTTCAAGAACCGAGCTTTTCCCGGCGGACTGGTCCCCACAAACTACCAACTGTGGTAGTGCGATGTGGTCGCCAACTCCATTCGCGCGAATTCGGTCGATTTGATTGAGGCGCTTGGATGTTTTGGATGACTGGAGACTGAGGTTCTTCTGTGGATGAGAAGAGTCACATAAAATAGGTCGTTTGTCTGGAGGCAAAACAGCCATTTTTGTAGAGTTCAGATCGCTCACGGTCATCTGCACCTGTTTAGTCTAAAAACAAACTCCGTTGGTTTAATGTTCTTCGGGGTTTGGGGCCAATTTATATTCCTACTCACGACTGTTCTCGGCCACAGAGTAACCTCAGTCTCCAGTCATCCAAAACATTCAAGCGCATCAATACATCAGGCCCAATCTGCAAGAATGTGACTAGCAACTGCAATATAGACGAGGAATGAGAGACTGAATTTGCGAAATGTAAACTCCCCGGGTGCTCATTTGGAGAAATACCCGTTAATGTATCCTTTGACCTTCTACGAGTATTGTAAAGGCTGGGGCCCTTGCATACACCTTGCGTATACAAGGGGCAGGATTCTTAATAACTTTGATGGCTGGTGCTTCAATGGCAGGTATTGGACGCCTCTCTCCTTCTTCTGAGGCGCTACTCATTCTTTTCTCCAGCTGATAAACTAATAACAATTTCGATAGAGTGTTCCCAATTCAGCTAAGGATAAGATCAAAAAGAGTGATGAAGGTAAACTAAATCTGGGCTGTACAGTAAGACCTGAAAATCGTCACCAAGATGTTCATGAAAAACGAACATCAGCGGGATGTGGATGGGTGACTGACATGGTAAGAAGAGATAATATTTCTAGAGGTAAGATTACAGATATTTAAACGGGCTGACGGAAATATATTCTTATTGGGACTAGTTCCCTTTAGGTTGGGCCCGGGAACTAAAGAGAGAAAGATTGGAGGTAAAATCTCATCATCATACATATCCATTCCTGTTCTTCTGATTGAGCCTTCTTGCTTCCTTCCCTTTCTCTCGTTTACTCTTAGTACATGTTTTTCCTACTTGTTGACCTACCATCGAGTCCGAACCACCATTGCGGGCAGCTTCTAGATCCCGATGGAAAGTAGTAACACTTAGTTTCCAAGTATGAGACATATCAGCGCCATCTCTTAGCGATGAAAGTCTTTTTGCTAGTTCTTCCACAAAAGCAACACTTCTGTGGCGGCCCTCCTCACAACACGCAGTCACAACCAGTGAGATATTGGGTTTCTGGTGAGTCGTGATTTCAGACTCGTTGTCATGGCTTTTCTGTTTCTCGAAAGAACAATTCTCTTGAGATAATGCATCATAAGTTGTCTTGAGTGTATTGACAATCTCATCCTGCGTTCTTTCAAGGAAGCTTTGCACAATGTCATTCTTCAGAAACTCCTTCTGCAGCCGAGGTGATAGGCCAGTTGTCATGGCACGTAGATTTCGCGGTGGATTTGGAAGATGGCGAATATTATATGACAACAGAATTGAGTTCTGTTCCTGAATTTCTGGTGTCACAAATGGGCCATTGGCATGGCCGTATGAGTAGAGCGAGACGGTGATTGATGGATGCCACGGCGATATCGGGCTGCTGTCAACTGGGGAGATCATCGTGGTTTGAGTGGAATGAAGATTTTATCTCGTAATTCAGTATTAGTTCCGAGGTCTGCCTGGTTACTGTTAGTTTGTCCTTTTGTCGAATGTAGATACATGTAGACAGGGAAGCAGTTGCCTAAACAAGAAAACAGACTAGTACCTAATAGGCAATGGAATGCGATCGCGGGAATGGAATCGATCCGCAACGGACCGTATTTTGGCGTCAGAGCTCGGATCCGAATTCAGGGTTTCGCTTCTATATAATTTCGATCATTGGAGTATTCGATAATAGATATCAAAATTAGATCTCGGGAGTTTGTAGATGACTCATATGCGGCTGAAACGACCGCCAAGTGTTATTGATAGGTTTATGATTTCATAGGATAGTCAAATCTGAACAATAGAACAGGGATTTGGATAGTACGCTATAAAGTGACTGACGGCTCTGGTGGCAGAACAAAGAACTCAACAAGACTATCCCAGTCATTTGAGAGTCACTATTTTACCTAAACGCTCCGATTGATAGTAATTAAAGTAAATTAAGCCATTCTCTTGGCTTCATCAGGTGAGCCATCAGACCCCACCACGTCTTGGCTACTTGATACAAGTCTAGGTACACCCGGGCAATATAGAACGATTAGCTATCCGATGTTGAAGCGGCGATATCACTAAACGTGGAATGATAGATGGTAACCAGAGTCGTCTTCTAGTCCCGATCGACGAAAACCGTGTAGCTCGAGGTGCCTCGCGTAGGGTAAGCTGAACGTGATTCGCCTCAGGATGAATCCCACAGGGCATACAAAGCCAATGTGGGGTGCAGAAGCAGATCATTTAGCTAATTCCTTCATCTAAGCACATCAGAAGAAGAGCCGGTCAATGCAACACCATTAACCAACCACGTTGTGTGAAGTTCAAATCGCCCTGGGGCATATTGTCACTAGTCCTAATAGGGCTATTATCTGGAGAACCGGGAATTTTGGTGGGGAGAGGATCACTCAGTTCGGATCCTCAGTTGGGATGCGCGCACAGAATTTTTTTTGCAGCTCGGATGGGTTTAAATGAAGCTGGATTCTCTGTTTTCTGAACGGTTGAGCTTGAGGAAATTGCATTGCTGCTTGCGACTACAGTCTATATAAAATCTTTCGCGGGAAACATTACATCATACATTCAAGTTCGGTTCACTCCGGATCCCCACGTGGAAGAGAAGCACGAAGACACCAAGAATTTATGAACCAGGAGGAGCCTTGAAGAGTTTCGTTGAGTCGCGGTGGGATCGGAATGGTATTCGCGCGTGGCGATGTCTCTGGCCATGATGATCAGACAATAGGTAAAACCAGAACAACACCCAGCAACCGAAATCCCGAATAGAGACTAACAGCGAAACAGATCATCAAGATCCCAGCAAAGATGTCACAATTGTGTCCTGGGATGGACCGCAGGATCCCGGAAACCCATACAACTGGTCTCTGTGCGAGAAATGGCTTCTCACAGCCCTCGCCATATTCGCCACCTTCATGACCATGATCAACGGCACAATCATCACAGTAGCCCACGACCCTATGAACGAGCGATTTAACATTTCAGACGCCAATTTTCCTCACTCATACTGGCCCGTCACATCGTGGGCCGTTGGCGGCGGCTGTTTCTCCCTGCTGGTCCTCCCGCTCATGGAGGACTTTGGTGTGCGGTGGGTGTTCCTGGGCACATACGTAACTTTCCTCTGTTTTGTCGTGCCCCAGGCCGTGGCGCAGAATTTTTACACGTTGGTTATAACGAGATTCTTTGCCGGAGGATGCGTGTCCATCCTCGCTAATACCTCTGGCACGGTGATTGGGAATGTCTGGGACACGGAGAAAAATCGAAACGTCCCTGTCAGTCTTTTTATCCTTGCCTACCTATCGGGTAGTAGTATTGGACCCGTCATTGGAGCTGCTATCTACCAGGCTCTCACATGGAGGTGGATTGGATATATCCAGCTCATGTGGTATGGTGCTTTCTTCCCCCTGTACTTCTTCTTGTTTAAGGAGTGTCGTGGAATTGCAATCCTAGGACGGCGGGCGAAGGCTCTGCGACGTGAAGGCAAGCACGCCTATACCCAGCATGAAATCGACACACAAGGCCAGTCGATTTTGAGCATCGTGGGCCACAGCGCGAGCAGGCCTCTTTTCCTGTTCTTCACCGAGTCTGTGGTGTTTGTGTCGACGCTTTGGTCTGCCTTTACCGTTGGTACGTTGTATCTGTTCACTCAATCTGTTGAGCAGGTATTTGCAGAGCTGTATGACTGGACACCAGCACAAGCTGGATACGTCCAAGCAGCAGTCGTGATCGGAGAACTTCTGGGATGGGTGATTACCTTGTTTTCAGGCAAGCTTTATTTCGACTCGGCATCCCGCAACAAGGAAATCCCCGGTACGCCTATCCCCGAGGCCCGGCTGTATCTCGCCATTCTGGGCGGTATATTCGGCATCTCTGGTGGTATGTTCACATACGCTTGGACGTCATACCCCGGTTTTCCGTGGATGGCGCCGGCCGTTGGTCTCGCCATGGTAGGAGCCGGTAGTGTCATTGTCGTGACGGGAATATCTGACTACGTGGTCGATGCGTACAGTAAATACGCGGGCAGTTGTATGGGTATTATTGCCACTGGTGAGAACACCCTGGCGGCATTCCTGCCTCTAGCTACTATGAGCATGTATTCTCATCTTGGCCTCCAGTGGGCTAGTACGGTACTCGCCTTCATTGCGTTGGCTCTGTCTTTTGCCCCAATCCTGGTGCTTGTCTGGGGCAAAAATATCCGAGCACGGAGTCCGTTCATGAAGGAAGCTATGGTAGAGAAGAGGAGGAAGAGTATCGACTCTGTCTGACTGGTTTTGCTCTGTACACAAAGCGTTTTGAATGACATGTTGCACATATCAAGGACTTGCGGAGTATGTTTGTTATCTTGCCTGAATTTCCTCGTGTCTCAGTTCAGCCTCCCTGATCCAGGTGGACAAGTAAATCAAGACCCTCCTGCGCTCCGGGAAGGTCCTTCCCCAAAGACTCGGTCATGGGACTTCGAAAGCTACTCCGTACTTACGTAGGTATGTCTCAGTTTGTTCCTGAAAGGATCAAACCTTAAAATATAGACATTCTCACCTCATGAACCCCCTGCATGAGCAAGAACACATGGAGAGTGAATTCAAGATTGTGAATGCCAAGAACCGAGTGGATCTCACTTGTAAGAACATTAATATAGTTTGAATCAGGGGGAATTCTCATCGGACTTGAGAAACGCCGGAGATATTTCAGATTGCGGTTTAGAACAGGATGTGCCGCTAGCCTGAAATGAACATCCCCCTTAAACTCCACCCCGTTTGTTGTCCCAAGGCCTTGAGGCAAATGATTGTTCTTGATTAATGTTGTTTGTCGAGAACATTATACCTTTTAGCCGAAGACTGACCAACTTGAAACAAAGGAAGAAAAAAAAAACAACACCGAAAAACACCACTCCGTTCTCCATATCGCAACCAACGAACCAACCGGACCAGGAATAATAGCCGAATTACCCCGTTTGCCCTGCTCCTCTCAAGAGCGGGAGGTTAGACGG